CAGAAAAAAGAAGATAATAATTTTCGTTATAAGGGCAACATAGGGAGTATTATTTTTTTTTTGGGGGGGGGTTCTTAAATAGCAAATACTACAAAAAAGAGCCTTGGACATTTTAGATTTTTCCCTTATTGGTTTTAAGAGGATTATATTCCGGAATGTTTTCAGAGGGTTTCAAGGGCCATGCTAGGTAGGCGGTGGCCGACCCTAAACCCTCAACCCCCTAAGCCCTAAGTCTGTTGCCAGGAGAAGCCTGCACAGCCCGCTCGAGCGAGCCAGCAGCAGGCCACTGGCGAGGCGGTTCTGCGCACTGTCTCGTGGTGAGCGCATGGGCATTGTGGTTTAGGGTTTAGGGTTTAGGGCTACCCCTAAACCCCAAACATACACCCATGCCACTGCATCAGCGTACAGGACTCACATGCAGCGCTAGACCTCAAGCTTTTTAAGCCCAACTCCTTGGGAATTTTCCTTCTACTAGCAGTTCTCAATAGGGATTATAATGGATCATAATAGGGTGTACGATAATCCTCCTATTAAGGACTGATAGTGTCGTAGGGGGTACTGTAATAATCCCTTACTAAGGACTGACAGTATACATAATGTGGGGTTCTAGAACAATCCCTATGAAGGACTGTTCGTAGAAGGGAGAACGTCCCAACCGATTCCTATCATGAGAGATTGGGCAGCCAGGCCCGTGTGTGGCTCTACAATCCGCCTGCCTTCCGTGACGTGGCAATACGTGCCGTAGGCTGCAACATCAGCATAGAGTGTCTTAAAGTTTCCTCATTTATAGGGTTGATTATGGGTACCATGGTGACGGTCAAGGTTTGCGGTTTATGGTTTTACGGGTCTAAAAGCCCATATGCTGGCTACTTCTCAAATGTAGCCTGGCAATCGCTGCTGAGCGCTGCTTACTGTCCCAGGTGCAACACCGGACATTGAGGGCCCCAGGACGCCGCGGGACATCAGGTTAGGGAAGCAGAATGACTTGTGGAACGAAAAAAGTAGAGGCCAAAGGGCCGTAGTTTGGATCACACCCACCAAGCAGATAGTATTTAGCAAGTAATAGGTTGCACCAGTCAGAATTACAGGGTAGACCACTAACCCTAAAATCCCCACACCGAACCCTGCAAACATAAGTGCTCCGAACCCTGAGAAACCCTAAACTAAACCCTATAAACCCCAACCTCGACATCAAAGCCCTGTAAACCCCTCGAGCCTTACATGCTCTATACCAAGAACTGCCTAAAAACCGCATACATGGTCAAACCCTAACAATAACCCTGAGCCATGCGAAGCCGGATATGAGCCCAGAGCTCTGTAAGCCCGAGGCCCTACACAAAAACCGAAAACAGGTTTAGGGTATATTCAAACCCTAAACCCTGAACCCTGAACCCTAAACCCTAAACACCCCCTAAGCCCGACGCCTTCAACTCCGAAGAGAAAAGCCCGGCAGGACACAGGTCATCCTAAGACCTGGACAGCGCTTCATGGTGTCCGAGGCCTTTCGGAATAGGGTATGTAGGGTATGTAGGCTTCAGGATTTAGGGTTTAAGGTTTAGGGTTTAGGGTTTAGGGCTGAGGGTTTAGGGCTGAGGGTTTAGGGCTGAGGGTTTAGGGTTGAGGCAGGGGCTGGGTGCTACTAAGTGACGGCGTGTTTCAGGGTTTTTGCTGGGTAGTTGCCGAGGTCCCCCCCCCCCCCCCCCTCCCCCCCTTCCCCAGTTTAGCTTAAACCCAAAACCGCTAGAATTTCCCTGTGGCGGCCCAGGGTCCCATACCAGGGGGACTCCATATCAGGAAGAATAGGGAGGTTGGGGACCCCCCATGCATGAAGTCCTTGGAGTCTTGGAGGTTTAGGGATAGGGTTTAGGGTTTAGGGTTTAGGGTTTAGGGTTTAGGGTTTAGGGTTTAGGGTTTAGGGTTTAGGGTTTAGGGTTTAGGGTTTAGGGTTTAGGGTTTAGGATGATTTGCGAGTTACTGGGATCCTAGGGTAGTTGGGGGGAAGCGTCCCTTTTCTTGAGCCGAGCCCTGCTGGCGGCAGGAGCATGTGGGCACGGATGGCATCCGGTATCTGAAGCTCGCAGACGGCCGCATCCTTAGACGGCCTTAAGCCCCTTAAGAACCCCTAAAGCCCAAAAACCCCCTAACAACCCCAAACCCCTGAAACCACTACAGCCCCCAAAACCCTAAAACCCGTAAACCCTTAAAAAAAAAACCCTAAAGCGCCATAAACCACTAAAGCACCCCCCATAAAACCCTAAAACCCCAAACCCCCAAGACCCTACACCCCCTAGATGCCCTCTATGCCCTCTAAGCCCCTAAAACCCTAAAACCCCTAAACCCCCTAAAAACCCCAAAGCCCCACAAACCTACAACCCTAAAACCCCCCGAGACCCCTTGAATGCCCCCCTGAGCCCTAAGCGTCTTCCCCAGGCTCTGGCTGGATGTTTGAGAACAAGCCTGGAGCCGGAGTGCTCTGCGTTCGCCAGGACCGTTGCCCTAAACTTCCTGAACCCTAAACCCTTGACCCTTGACCCTTAGCCCTAAACCCTAAACCATAGGAGGTCACGGGCTTGTTTTTTTTGTGTATTTTTTTTTTTTTTGGGGGGGGGGGTTGGGCTTTGGAAGTCTTTGGCTTTAGGGTGGGTAGGTAACCTCGACTCGTTGGGGTGTTTGGCTTTTTGGGGGCTTTCGGGGTTCTTTGCTTTACAATAAGCCCTTAGAACCGAAGGTTGTTCTTCCTCCTAGAAAGCCTAGCCCTAAACCCTGAACCCTAAACCCCAAGCCCCAAGCCCCAAGCACTAAGCCCTAAGCCCTAAACCCTAAACCTTAAACCCTACGCCTGCATGTTCCAGCGCCTTTCAGAACGGTGGCATGCCCCAAGACCTCCTGTCGAGGCTAAGCTGGGGCCTTAGATGGACTGGTTTTGTTTGGTTCTTAGATTTAGGGTTAGGGGGGGGGGGGGGGTTAGATTTAGGGTTTTGTGGGTTAAGGGTTTTGTGGGTTCAGGGGTTTAGGGCTTTCGGGGGTTGGGGGTTAGATTCAGGGTTTTGTGGGTTTAGGGGGTTTAGGCTTCGAGGGTTTAGGGTTTGGGGGTTCAGGGTTTGGGGGGTTGAGGGGTTTAGGGGTCAGAGGTCCAGGGCAGGGTTGATCCAGCTTGCTGCAGCAAACTTCTGAGACATCCTTTTTTGAGACATGCCGCGCGGAGTTGTTGCTGTTGGCCTCGCTCGCACATGAACTCCCGCTCAATGAAAGGTGCCCCAAATGTGCATTTCCCCCTAAACAGGGCCTCAATGTCCCAATATGCCTCCAAAATACTAGAATCCTCATGGATCCCAGAGCCCGTAATCCTTACAATAAGAACCCCATAAATGTATCCCCATATTGGGAACCCCGAATCACTCCGCTCATTCTTCTTCTTATTTTTCTTCTTCTTCTTCTTCTTCTTCTGCTTCTGCTTCTGCTGCTTCTTCTTCTTCTTGGTTCGGGTTTTTCAGTATCAAGGCAGGACGCTGTTGGATTAGGAGATCATGGTCTGTGTGTTATAGTTCAGGAGGGTGCATCTGACCTTGCCCCCTGTGCCTGATTCAAGGCGACCGGGCGCCGCAAGATGACAAGCTCATGCATGTGGAGGATGCGAAGGCCTGCCCATGCCATGCCACCGTCGATTCTTGCCGGCCCCCGCAACAGTCCTAAATCCCCAATGACGCCCTAAGCCCTAAACCCTACCCTGAACCCTAAACCCGAAATCCCAAACCCTTAATCTTCACCCGGCACCCTAAACCCTAAGCCCTACACCCTAAACCCCAAACCCGAACCATCCCCTGGCCCTGCTCGCAGCAGGCTTTCTTGATGCACATGCACAGGATTCTGAACACGCTCGCGACCCAGATGCTGCATGAAGATATACATACATGAAATATATATATATATATACATATGTATATATATATATATATACCTATCTATCTGTATTTTGTTGTGAATCAACAAACGGCAGATATTGTGTATTTACATATGTATGTATCTATATGTGTATGTATAGATGCCATGTAGCGGCACGCGTCACGCTGATACAACCAGGTCTCTAACAAACATCCCGAGGCGCATCTTGTCGTCAACCTCCACCCTCAGCCTTGAATCCCAAACCCTAACCCTAAACCCGAAACCCTAAACCCTAAACCCTAAAAGCTTTCAAGGCTTCTCCTTTGCAAATTCAGGAAGCAAGTGCGGCCTGTGGTGGAAGGCAGCATCCGGGAAGACCAGCCACCAAGCCCAGAAGCCCCGAGACTTGTCCCGCCTGCATGAAGCCTAGCATTCGCGGTCAACGTTAAGCCCCAGGTACCAAATTTTGGGTACGTACTCTTTCGTCGTCAAGTCGTGCTTAGTTATGGAACCCTAAATCCTAAACCCTAGAGCCTAGAGGGTTGTAAAGGATGCTTGGAAGGTCTTGCCTTATATGTTTAGAAACCGATGAGACCAAAAACCACAGCAGGCCTGCAGAGGGAGCTTCCGGAAAGAATACGGAGCGTCACCGAGGCAGGGTTTAGGGTTTAGGGTTTAGGGTTCAGGGTTCAGGGTTCAGGGTTCAGGGTTTACTTGAAGGTTCGCGGGTACTGATGAGTAGGGTTATAAGTGCGCGAATTAAGGTTATAACCATAGTTGCCCACTTCTAAAGCCCGCTTATAAGTATCCATGAACCTCCAAGTAGGGCCGGGCTTTGGGAAATTTATGGGTTCGGGGGTCTTGAGGCTTTGTAGGGATTAGGAATAATTAGAGAATTTGGGTCTAATCTTTAGGGGTCTTATGGGTTTAAGGGTTTTGGGTTTGTAGGGATTAGAGAAAGAGATGTTGAGTTTACTTGAAGGTTCATGGGCACTTATGAGTAGGGTTATAAGTACCCTAATTAAGGTCATAGCACCAGCTAGCAGCTAGCACCAAGCAGCTAAAAGCTCGCAGCTAACAGCTAGCAGCTAGCAGCCAGCAGCCGGCTAGCAGTACCAGCTAACCCTTGTTACCCCACTTATAACCCACTCATTAGGGTTTAACGACCGCTGATGAATGTCCTGGTTGAGAGTGCTGAGCGTCAGGTGAACCACTACAAAACGCTGTAACGTAGCCTAACAAGGCATAGAGTATAACACATGAGCAAATACCATACTACCTCTAATCCCAAACCCTGAACACATTGAATGCTACATTACCCACATGGGCGGGGGGGGGGGGGGGGGGTTTCCGAAAATTGGGGTACCTTTTTTGGGGTGTCCCTTTAAAGGGGATTCTGCTCTGTTTGGGGTATGAATGCTGTGCCCCTATTTTGGGAAATACCCACATGTGGGCTGCTGTTGACCCTAAACCCTAAACCCTAAACCCTAAACCCTAAACCCCAAAACCCTAAACCTTCGGCACCTGACAGGTTCAGAAGAGCCAAGAGACCGAGCTGACCATAGAGAAGGCACGCTCCCATACCACCAAGTACCCCTTCAGCGGATGTGGAGTAGTTCTCTGAGTAACTGGGTTCTGGAGTACTGTACTTTAATACTTTTTTTTGGTTCTGGGTTCCTATTATAGCTACTTATACCTAAAAAGTATATACTTTTTTTCCAGGGTCTACTCCAAAGGTAGGGTAAAGGCCTAGACCAGATTTCTACATTGGTGTACAGGGCACAAGCCAGGCTAAGCAGAAACAAAACAAAAGGGCTTTGGGCTTAGAAGTAGACTGGGAAACTGTCAACCTTTTTGGGTAAACCTGTGGGGTACTCGACAACTAAGCAAGGCTTTCAGAAGTTTAGGGTTTAGGGTTTAGGGTTTAGGGTTTGGGGTTTAGGGTTTAGGGTTTAGGGTTTAGGGTTTAGGGTTTCTTTTGTTCTGCGGACCAGGCCAAGCGAGTTCTCATCGATGCCTGCAAAAGCGCCTTGGAGCGATTAGCACTGCGAAGCTCAGGGTTTAGGGTTTAGGAATTAGGGTTTAGGGTTTAGGAATTAGGGTTTAGGGTTTAGGGTTTAGGGGGTTGAAGGTTAGTTTCGGGTTTCGTGGGTTGAGGGTCGAGGGTCTCAGCTGCCAAGTTTGAGCCGACGCGTTGCCCGAGGTCTCTTCAAGGACTTCGGCTTCCAGGTGGGAGCATGCACAGCCTCCGCAAATTTGCACGTGCTGTCTCTGAAGTTAAGTGCCCCTTGAGCCCTAAGCCCTAAACCCTAAACCCTAAACCCCTTGGCCTCAGGTGTCTCAGGAGGGTCAGCAGGAGTTGCTCGAAGCGCCTGGGCCTCTGAGGGCGACAGGTGCATGGCACTCCCCCAAATGCCTGCCAGCTAAGTCCATTGCTACTATTTGCTTAAGAACCCCAAAAGAAGAAAGCAATAATAGTCCCTATAGTACCCTTAACAAGGAATAATATTCTACTTTTTTTCGGGGTTCTTAAGCAAGTAGTAGATTAGGGTTTCCACCTTTGCTCAAGAGACGCCAAGGTTGCGAGAACACGAGCCATGCAACCTGGTCTACATCATGGTGCGCTGCACTTCCCATGCTCGCGATGCTGCCTAGAGATGCAGACTCTGCAAAGGGGCCAGCAGGAGTCCCCAATATTCCCAGACTTATCCCGTACTTAAGGGAAATTCTTCAGATTGCAGTAGGGGTCCGAACATGATCCAAGGGGTCTTCCTTAAACAGGGGGTATTGCAGTGTCTGGGCAATATTGCATCCCTTTGGATCCACACAAGTATCCCTAAACCCTAAACCCTGACTTGTGTAGGGTTTTAGGGCTTCAGGGTTTGAGCGCTTCAGCAAAGTATGCTAAAACCTAGCCACGCCCTCGGGATTCTTACTGCGATTTTGCATTATCTGGCTTTAAGAGAGAGTTTCAGAGCTCTTGGGATGTTTTGACTTATTCCTGACTCTTGGCTTTAGGAAAAGTGTCGAAAAGGGAGGTCTCAAGGGTTTAGGGTTTTTGGAGGTTCCAAGGCCAGGCTAGCTGCAGCTGCAGTCTCACGGCAGGCCACGAGCATCGAGCTGGTGCTGCAGATCCCTCCTGGAGGCCCGAAGAAGCTCGGTTCGGTGTAAACCCTAAACCCTAAACCCTGAACCCTAAACCCTAAACCCTAAACCCTAAACCCTAAACCCTAAACCCTTGGAGTCTAGAGTTTAGGATCAGGGGCTTTCTTGGCTAATTCGCCCCGAAAACAATCCTCAGGCCTCACCTCCCCCAGCCATGTGGATGCAGGTTGGTTCGGCCTGAGTCAGCTTCGCCGGGGATTCCAGGCACGCACAGGGGGTTTAGGGTTGAGGGTTTCGGGGGTTCAGGGTATAGGTTTAGGGTTTAGGGTTTACGGTTTAGGGTTTAGGGTTTAGGGTTAGGGGTTTAGGGTTTAGGGTTTAGTGTGGGGGGAGGGGTACCTAAGCGATATAAGACTAGTATACACTATATACGGTACTTTCGTGAACTGTATACGAAGCTATCTGTACTCAACCTAATCTACTCTAATTATCATTACTCTAAGCTATAGTTTTCAAATAAAGAGAGAGGCCTGGATCAATCCCCCCAAACTGCCCTCGTGGGCCCTAAGCACTCCAGATCCTCAGGTTCAGCGTTCAGGGTTCACTCCGGCCCTGAAGCACCTTGAAACCTAAACCCTGAACTCACGGAACCCACCAAACCCTAGCCCTAAACCCCAAATCCTAAACCCCACACCCCAAACCCTAAACCCTAAACCCTAAACCCTAAACCCTAAACCCTAAACCCTAAACCCTAAACCCTAAACCCTAAACCCTAAACCCTAAACCCTAAACCCTAAACCCTAAACCCTAAACCCTAAACCCTAAACCCTAAACCCAAGCAGCCAGCAGGTTGTCGTGAAGCACAGCGGTCCTGCTCAGCTGGTCGGCAAGCGTGGAGTGTCGGGAGCTTGGCTTCGAGGGTATGTAGACCCTGCGGGTTTAGGTTGGTTTCGAGGCGTGGGGACACATGCGACGTGGGGGCTTCATGAGTTACGTTTAGGGCCAGGGCTTCAGGTTTAGGGTTGAGGGTTCAGGTTCCAGCGCTGGGGTTTTAGGGTTTACTTAGGGTTCAGGGTTCGGGGGTTAGCATCGGGAAGGGACATCAGCATGCATCAGGCTTCTGAAGAAGGACGGCGAGCAGTGGCTCGTGCGCTTGGATGGCGTGGACGAGGAGCTCTTGCGAGCATGTTGGCAGCGATGCCATGAGGGGTGAAGGCCAATTTGAAGATTTTCCGAAGCCCGCCCCCACGCCAAACACTCTGCGGGTCGGGCATTCTGAGCTCATTTATAGAAGGCGGGCGCAAGAGCGAAGAGGACTGAACAACAAAGCCATCAAGCGAAGTCGTGCAAGTTCTGCAGTAGGCCTAATCCCTAAACCTTGAGCCGTACACGCTAAGAATTTCAAAAAGAACCGAAAACATAAGCGGACATCCCTTGAAGGACCGACTTCTACCTTCGGAGGAGCTGACGCTTGCCCCAGACCCGCAGGCGGTCAAGGACGGCTCTTGCACTGTCGGGTGCCGCGTGCAGGGTTTGGGATTCGGGGTTTAGGGTTTAGTGTGTGTGGGTTCAAGATTTAGGGTTTCAGGGTTCAGGGTTTTCGGTTTCGGGCGCGGGGTTTGAGACGTTGGGCTTCAGGCTGGTGACGGTGGCATGGTTGGGAAGATCGCTCTCCGATGCTCATGACAGGCAACCTCCCCTCTGAACCCTCAACTTTCAGCCTTACGACCTCAAAACCCTTACGAGATGAATCGCTTCAGCCCCCAAGCCCAAAGCCCCAAATCCTACCTAAACCGCAGTTGACCCGAGATGTTTGGGAGGAGGCGAGCAAAGCCAAGGAGATCAAGGCCCACTTTCTGCTTCGAAAAACCCCTGGATCCTGAAACCCTAAACTTCTACACCCTAAGCCTTGAACCCTGACTTTCCCCCAAACCCTTAATTCCCCACACCCTATAAAAAAACACATCTTTTCTGAGCCCGAAAGGCATGGGAAGACCAAGACCCCTATAAGCCCTGTAAGGCCCGACAGGGCTCATGTTCGACGCAAAGCCCCAAACCTTAAACCTTAAACCCTCAACCCTCAACTCTGTCAACCCAAGTATGGCCTTGGGCTCAAGAGGCGCAGCAAGGTTTAGGGTTTGGGGTTTAGGGTTTGGGTTTAGGGTTTTGGGTTTAGGGTTTAGGGTTTAGGGGTTATGTCGGTGATTCGTGGCTTTCGGGCTCCAGAATTCTAAGCGTGCAGGGTTTTTTGGCGTTCAGGGTTTTTGGTATTTGTTGTTGGTTGATATTTTGTTTTTGATGGGGTTGAGGATTTACAGTAGGGTCTCGGGTTTGGGGTGTCAGAGTATAGAGTTTTCAGCCGTAGGCTAGGCCCTCAATGACGTAGAGTCGTTAGAGGGTCAAGGTTCAGGGGGTTTAGGGTTGGCGGTTCCGGGTCCAGGGTTAAGTTTAGGTAGTAGAGTTTGTATACCCTAAGCCTTTACGCGCGTAGCTTAAAGCCCTAAAGCCCTCCTTTAGGACGTATCTTAGTAGTGAATGAGGGAAATAGAGGCACCTTATATCCCGAACCTTTGGGGATCATATAGGGTGCCTAATTTCTTCATTCCCTACTAAGAACCAGTAAGTTCTGAAACCCCCAAACCCCAAACCCTGAACCCTAAACCCCAAACCATAAACACCAAACCCTAAACCCCAAACCCTAAACCCTAAACCCTAAAACCCTAAACCCTAAACCCCAAAGCCTCAAACCCGAGACCCGCCAGAGGCCTCGGCATCAGAGAAGGAGCTCGAGATGGAGGCTGCGTAGTTCACGAGCTTTCGGGGGAATAAGGGTTTAGGTCCGAACTTGTGGTTTTAGGGTTTAGGATTTAGAGTTTAGTGTTTAGGGTCTAGGGTTTAGGGTTTAGGGTTTAGGGTTTAGGCGATTTAGGGTTTGGATTTTAACATGAGATCCGTGTAGAGTCAATGTACCGTGGTCGATCTCCGAGAAGAACCTCCAACCCTACAGCCTCCAGGTCTTTTTGCACCTCGTTGGGCGGCAGTGTGAAACCAGTGGGCTGATGTACACGAAAAGGAAGAGTAGTTTTGTTCTTCGGGTGTAGGGCTTGGGGTCTTGACGGTCTTGCTTGTGTTGCAGCTGTGCCATATCTCACCACCGCTAGACTCACTCCCTAGGCCTTCTTGCGAGAAGTGCAGACTCTAAGGCGGACTCAACCCTCAACCCCTAAACCCTAGCCCCCAAACCCCTGAACCTCTGCTCCCTAAACTCCTAACCCCCAAACCTCCACCCCTCAACCCCAAACCCCTCGACTCCTCAACCCCTCAACCCCTCAACTCCCTAAAACCCTCAAAGCCCTAAAACCACTACAACCCTCAAAGCCCCCACGAAAACTCTAAAGCTTAAAAACCTTTAAAGCCCCTCCAACCCCTACAGCCCCTTAACACCCTAGACCCCTCAACCCTAAACCCCTTAAAACCCGAAAGCCCAGCCTTGAGCCCTAAACCCGAAACCCGAAACCCGAAACCCTAAACCCTAAACCCTAAACCCTAAACCCTAAACCCTAAACCCTAAACCTGTAACCTATAAACCCTAAACCCTAAACCCTACAAACCCCTAAACTCCAGTGCCGGAGGCGTGGCAAGTAGCTTGCCTGGCCGCCTCCCGCGGTCGCAGCCCCGGGAAGCAGCTGGCTGAGGCCCGAGCTTTTCTCTCCCTCCCGCGTGTTTCTTGGGGCGCGGAGGGTTTGTATAGGGTTTAGGGTTTAGGGTTTAGGGTTGAGGGTTTAGGGTTTAGGGTTTAGGGTGGCTTCGGGGATGGAGGAGAGCTCCAGGACTGTAGTGTTCAAGGTTTCGAGTTCCGGGGTGTAGGGTTTAGGGTTTAGGGTTTAGGGTTTAGGGTTTAGGGTTCATGAGGTTTAGGTTTGCAGCTCCTAGGAGTCAGTTCATTCTGATTGTCAGTTTGGGTCGTTTTTTTTTTGGCCCGGAGCTGTCGGGTTTAAGAGTGTAGCGTGGCTAGCTCAGGGTAGTTTAGGCTTGAAGAGCTTCGGGTAGTTTACGGTCTCCCCAAACCCTAAACCCTATAAACCCTATAAACCCTATAAACCCTATAAACCCTATAAACCCTATAAACCCTCTAAACCCTCTAAACCCTCTAAACCCTCTAAACCCTCTAAACCCTCTAAACCCTGGACCCTAGACCCTAGACCCTAAACCCTGAACCCTACACCCTAAACCCTAAACCCTAAACCCTAAACCCTAAACCTTCCTGCCCGCGCTCCCTGCCAGGCGCCGTGGTGGGCTGTGTGCCACGATCGCGCCTCCCGGCGCGCGACTGGCAGGCGAGCCGCTGAAGTCATTCTCAAGCCTACTTTGGGATCTGAGGTTAGTTTAGGATTTAGGGTTTAGGGTTTATTCGTGATTTATTTAGGGTTTGGGGTTTGGGGTTTAGGTTTGAAGGTTCATGGGTACTTTTTAGTGGCGGGGGGGGGGGGGGGGGGTAATAGGTACCCGAAGTAAGGTTATAGCTAAAGTTCTGACCCTCTTATAAGCCTGCTGGTGGGTGCCCATGAACCTCGAAGTATGTCTTGCAAGATTTGGTGGGGCGGCTCAATCGTTGAGTCTCTAGTTGAGCATACTCTATTGTGGGGTTCGGAACCGGCAAGCCCCAAGCCCTGAACCCTAAATCCCCAGCCCTTGCAAAGCAGGCTCTTGGGACTTTCGGGTTTTGAGGGGAGTCTGTGGCTTTGGGGTTTAGGAGTCTACTTGGGGTTTGGGGTTTTAGGAGTCTACGTAGGGTTGGGTTTTAGGCGTCCAGGGTTTTGGGGTCCGAGGGTTTGATGGCACTTGCGCAGGCTTGCTGAGAGGGAGCTGCTGGCCATCGCCTCCGGATCGGAGGCCGGCGCACACGGTTTCAGGGTTTGGGGTTAGAGTTCAGGGTTTAGGGTTTAGGTTTTAGGGTTTAGGTTTTAGAGTTCAGGGTTTAGGGTTTAGGGTCTTTGGGGCTTTGGGTGATTAGGTGAACACTCGTGAGGCTTAGAAGTAAGTATCGATAAAGATTAGGTGAAATTTCAACGCCGCGCCACCCGCCTCGGCCCAACCCTCCGTGACGAGGAGATCGCGGGTGTGAAGGTGCTGTTACAGGGTGGGGCCCCCTTACTATACTAACTGTAGTTAAGGGACTTATAACCTAACTTAGGGTCCTTATAACCCAGTTTAGGGCCCTTATAACTCTACTTATAGCTATGGGGCCCCACCCTGTAGGCTTCGGGGCTTTGAGAGGCTTTTTGTGCATCTAGGGATGATGCAGTTCTAGGCACCCGAAATGTCAGTTGTGTGGGGGGGGGGGGGGGGGGGGGGGGGGTAGCCATTTTAGGCGAAAAAAATGACAAATGAAGGGGGTGCAAATTTGGTGAGGGTATTGCTTTGTGCCACCCGGACACCTACGGCCCGAGGCCTGGGCGGATTAGAAGCGTTGATGAAGGCTCCCCCCTGGACCGTCTTCTCAACCGATGTTGCTGCAAGTGGCAAGAAGGGCTGCAGCGGATTGTGGCCAGCACTCCAGCACCGTGCACCTCGAAAGAATTCACCAGCATGAGCCCCAACCTCACTTCCTCTCCCCCCCCCCCCCAAACCCGAAACCACACACCCCAAACCCCAAACCCTAAACCCTATAAACCCTAAACCCCAAACCTTAAACCCTAAAGGCCCTAAACCCTAACACAGACCTGTGAGGCCCTAGGCACCCTCAATCCGAAGCCACGCGATAGGCCTCCTGGTCGGACTCCTTGAAGAGGTCGCACAAGGCCGGCGCCCCCGGACTCGATGGGTTTAGGGTTTAGGGGTTTCGGGTTCAGGGTTCAGGGTTTAGGGTTTATAGGGTTTAGGGTTTAGGGGGTTGTTTTGGCACCGTTATTCTCATAAGACGGATTACGCTACAAATGCAGTTCCCCACCCCCCAAAAAAAACGCAAAAAGGTACCATAAACGACCCAGAACCCCAAACCCTGGATCAGCCCCCGTTGAGGGGTTTGAGGGGTTCGAGCGTCTTGAGAAGGTTTGGGTTTGAGCCGTCTGTCGACCGGGTAGCCTATCCGGTCGGACTGAATTTTAGAACTTGGGAGCCCAGTGGTACCCTTTACATTTTTTTCCCAAAAACAGGGCGCCCTTATTATAATGTGGTTACTGGGCTACCAAGAGAATTGCTTGGGGTGAGGGGCTTTTAGTCTCAGGGGGAAGGGACGGCTCCGCCAGCTGAGTCCAGGCCCCTCTTTCGATTGGCTCCAAGGTGATTGCGAGGGACTGCCAACAGGATATTCACCATGTCTTCCCTCATTATTCCCTCATTGCATGTACTGTTTCAACAAAAGCTTTCCGAAACCAAAAGCTCAGACGCTAGCCTGGATAGTCCCACTTAGCCGCGGTCCCCATGTAATTATGCGATAACAGCCCACAAATCCCAATTTCAGCTATTAATAAATTAAGGCCGCATCATGTTGCGTGTCTGGAGCGTTTCTGGGCGAGAGCTGGCTGCGATGCGGGTGAGCGGCGCACTTGAACAGGAACACGTGATCGACTTGAAACACCACTTGCGAACCCAGCATGGTTTCCCCGTCTGCCTTCAACAGCTACTACATAATGGCCGTTGCTTGGAGGATGGTGCTCCTCTAACTGGGCCCGTTGATTTGATGCTGGTGCTGTTGTCCGCCCTAAGCCCGGAGCAGATGCCTGAAGCTGAGTGTGAGTTGCTTGAGTATGCTGCCGATACAGGCCATGTGGAAGTGGGCCGCATGCTGCTGGCCGCTGGTGTCGACGAGAACTTGCAGGACGATTTCGGCCAGACTGCTCTCATGCATGCATTTTTCGAGGGCCACATCGAGTTTGTACGTTTGTTGCTGGCTGCTGGCACCGACGCAAACGTACTGGACGATTCCTTCCACACTGCTCTAATGCATGCATCTGTCGAGGGTCACATCGAGTTTGTACGTTTGCTCTTGGATGCTGGTGCCGATAAGAACTTCCAAAACGAGTCTGGCGAGAGCGCTCTCGGGCTCGCATGTTCCAAGGGTCACGTCGAGATTGTACGTTTGTTGCTGGCTGCTGGCACCGACGCAAACGTACTGGACGATTCCGGCCACACTGCTCTGATGCATGCATCTTTCGAGGGTCACATCGAGTTTGTACGTTTGCTCTTGGATGCTGGTGCCGATAAGAACTTACAAAACGAGTCTGGCGAGAGCGCTCTCGGGCTCGCATGTTCCAAGGGTCACGTCGAGATTGTACGTTTGTTGCTGGCTGCTGGCACCGACACAAACTTGGAGGACGATTCCGGCCAGACTGCTCTAATGCATGCATCTTTCGAGGGTCCTACGAGTTTGTACGTTTGCTCTTGGATGCTGGTGCCGACAAGAACTGGCAGGACGAGTCCGACGAGACCGCTCTCATGCTCGCATCTTCCAAGGGCCATGTCGAGATTGTACGTTTGCTGCTGGACGTTGGTGCCGACACGAACTTGCAGGACAACTTCGAGGAGACCACTCTCATGGATAAGTCCGGCCAGACCGCTCTCATTCGGGCATCTTCCAATGGCCACGACGAGATTGTACGTTTGCTGCTGGAAGCTGGTGCCGACAAGAACGTGCGGGACAAGTCCGGCGAGACCGCCCTCATTCGCGCCTCTCGCATTGGCCACGTCGAGATTGTACGTTTGCTGCTGGAAGCTGGTGCCAACAAGAACGTCCAGGACGAGTCCGGCGAAACCGCTCTCATGTGGGCCTGTTCTACGCTCTATGGCAACGTCGAGATTGCACGTTTGCTGCTGGAAGCTGGTGCCAACAAGAACTTGCAGGAAAAGTCCGGCAAGACCGCTATCATGCTCGCATCTCCTTGGGGCCACGTCGAGATTGTACGTTTGTTGCTGGAAGCTGGTGCCGACAAGAACTTGCGTGACGAGTCCGGCATGACCGCCCTCATGCATACATCTCCCGGAGGCATCCACGAACTTTGTTCCAAGCCCGAAGAATTCAAAAGGCACGCCGAGACTGCACGTTTGCTGTTGGAAGCCGGTGCCGACAAGAACTCCCGGGACGAGTCCGGCCGGACCGCTCTGATACGGGCATCTTCCAAGGGCCATGTCGCGATTGTACATTCGCTGCTGGAGGCCGGTGCCGACACGAACTTGCAAAACAACTCCGGGGAGAGCGCTCTGATTCGCGCCTGCTCCAAGGGCCATGTCGGGATCGTACGTTTGCTGCTGGAAGCTGGTGCCGACAAGAACGTGCGGGACAAGTCTGGTGAGACCGCTGTCATGCGCGCATCGTCCGAGGGCCAATACGAGACTGTATGCTTGCTGAGGGTGAAGTCGGCGAAACGAAAGCCTGAAGATTGAAGCACAACCTTAAACCCTGACCCGTAAGCTTCAAACCCCTAATGTTAAATACCCCCCCCCCCCATTTTGCCGTAATAGAAGCATAATTCTGAGTGTCTAATGTTAGGGGGCAGGGGGAGGTCTAGGGAGTCTAGGGTTTGAAGTTTGTACGGTTTCTAGTTTATCGGTTTAAAGGGGTTTACAGGTTTCAGGGTTTCGGGTTTACAGGTTTCAGGGTTTAGGGCTTCACGATTTTAGGGTTTAGGCTTAAAGTTTAAAGGTTTCAGGGTTTAGGGCTTCAAGGTTTCAGGGTTTAGGGCTTCAAGGTTTCAGGGTTTAGGGTTTACCGGTTTCAGGGTTTAGGGCTTCAAGGTTTAGGGTTTAGGGCTTCAAGATGTTAGGGTTTAGGGCTCAAGGTTTTAGGGTTTAGGGCTTCAAGGTTTTAGGGCTTCAAGATTCTAGGGTTTAGGGTTTAAAGTTTTTTTTGCGTTCGAGTTAGAAGGACGGCGGGGTTTAAACCTTTCACTTCACAGACCTCGACCCTGAGCTTTGAACCCTGCATTACTCTACCCTAAACCCTAAACCCTAATTAAACCCTAAACCCTAAACCCTAAACCCTAAACCTAAGCCCTAAGCCCTAGAAGCCCTAAACCCTAAACGAAACCCTATAACATATCCACACTCAAGCAAAAGAGGTTACCATAGCTACCCTAACTCTAGCCCATAATCTACGGGGAGTTACATGGATCCTTTTCTGGTCCCTTGCCTCCTATAGAGGGTTCTGATTCATGGGCCCTTAATTTGTTTAGGCTTAGATATGGAGGTTTCCCAAAATAGGGGGTACCCCTTTTCATGCCCCAAATAGAATAGAATCCCCTGAAAGGCAACCCCCAAAAGGTAACCCCTATTTCCGGAGACCACCGTAGAAGTACCCTTTTGGACCTCCAAGTGCGAGCAAAATACAAAAAAACAGCAGGTAAAGCCGCAGCCTCCCCCTCTACAAAGCTCGGCGGTGACGAAGAAAAGCTAAGGAAGACGGTGGTTGTGTTCGGGGTTTAGGGTGTAGGGTTTGCGGTTTAGGGTTGAACGCCAGTATCCCCATGAAGAAAGGGACGCCCTGTCATGAGATCCTAAACCCTAAGCCCTAAACCCTAAGCACTTGAAGCCCGCCGCTCCAAGATGGTGAGAGCCCCAAACATCGGGAAGTATATGTGGGGAGCTGCGGGCAAGAGGTTCCAGGGAAGCAATGAGTTTCGGGTTTAGGATGCAGGATTTGGGTTTAGGGTTTAGGGTCTAGGGGTTTGGGTTTAGGGTTTCGGGTGTAGGGTCTATGGTTGAAGGTTTAGGGTTTCCCGGCTTATTGAACCCGCCTGCCCGAACTAAAAACACTAGGGCATAGGGGGGTCCTAAAGGTCTTTGAATCGTTTCGGCGTTTAAACAGGGGGGGCTTAGTCCCCCCTACCCTAAACCCCCAACCCCTAAACCCTAAACCCTAAACCCTAAACCCTAAACCCTAAACCCTAAACCCTAAACCCTAAACCCTAAACCCTAAACCCTAAACCCTAAACCCTAAACCGTGGGCTAAGCCCGAAAGCCACGCCCATCTATGCAGTCGCAGCCTCCTGCGCCCCTGCCCATCGAAGACGCCCCCGTGCCTTCGCTGTTCGCCATGATCGAGGACTGCGCAGGTTTGGGGTTTGGGGTTTACAGATTGAACCCTAAACCTTAAACCCTAAACCCTAAGCCCTAAACCCTAAACCCTAAACCCTAAACCCTAAACCCTAAACCCTAAACCCTATACCCTGCCTAAACCCTAAACTCTGTTCTCACTGCAGTTCAGGAAGGGTACTCAAAGACCCCGTGAAGTGCGAGTCCGTGCTTGTGTGTTGTTGAGCTCTGCCAGCGGTGTAGGGCTGATCTAAGCGCCCCTAAACCCTCACCCCTATAAACCCTAAACCCGAAACCCCCTAAACCCGAAACCCTAAACCCTAAAACCTAAACCCTGAACCCTGAACCCTAAACCCTAAACCCTAAACCCTAAACCCTAAACCCTACAAACCCTAAACCCTACAAACCCTGAACCCTACAGCCCGCTTTCCAGTAGGCAGCCAGAAGAAGGGGGCCCCCAGTCACAGCGGGCGAAGGATAGCAGCTGTCTGGCTAGGCCGAGACCAGCTTGAGCCGTTTAGAGGGTTTTCTGACTGCGGGGTTTTCGTGAGATTTCGTACTGTACGTATAGCTGGAGCATTAAAAAAATAGTGGTGAGTGTCCGTATGCATGTGCATAACATGTATATGTGTATATGTACATATACATATATACATACATATGTATACACAGAGATTCCACCTCACATCTCGTGGTTCTTCTAACGAATCGTCTGCTTCTACCGATGCCCGACACTTCTTAGGGTTTTATGGGTAGAGAGATGACGCGTGCTCTTCAGTAGAGGCCGGTGGCCATGGACGACGTAGCTGCACAGAGATGGCTGGCCGCAAGAAGCGTAGTCATAGTCCCAGGTGCCATGAAAGCTGGAACTTGCTCATTGCGGTCTCAGCTGCAGTGGCTGGGTCATGGCCAGGACTTCTTTTTGCCCAACCAGGAGCTGCACTACTTCGACGAGGACGAGGAGTTTGAGAAAGGTGCGGCTTATTACTCTTCCTGGTTTTGTGATGCAGCCTGGGCAGACTGGGGCCCAAAGACGATTGGCGACGTCACGCCGAGCTACATGTACCTTCCTAAAGCCATGCCTCGCATTGCAGAGCTGTTGCCCCACGCCCGCATTGTCGTCCTTCTCAGGAACCCGATAAACAGAGCAGTGTCTCATCACAACCACGACCTGAGCAAGGGTCGTGACGTGGGCACACTTCAAGAGCGTTGGCAGCAACTCGGCGGGGCATTCCTTTAAGAGATTTGTATCTTGGAGCATGAGTTTCGGTTTCTTTGTCTTGCCCACCTTGCGCTTAGCTTAGTTCTGCCGCAGGTGAAGAGAGCCACCAAGCACACCATTGAGTGCACAGGAAGCGAGTGGACAAAGCACGCACGCACGCACGCACGCACGCACGCACGCACGCACGCACCCACCCACACACACACACACACACACACACACACACACCTGGAGGTTCATGGTACTTAGAAACCAGATATAGCTGTGCTTATCACCCATTTATAAGCCCCTTAAGTGCCCTAATTTGATATGGGTATAAGTACGTTATAAGTACGGTTCTGTTTGGTTAATAAGTACCATGAACCTCCAAGCATAGTTGCAGACACAGACGCGGACACAGACGCAGACGCACACACATGAATAGATGAAGCACATGGGGTTGAAAGAACACGAAAGGAGGGAATCAACGAGTGTCTTTGACACGCTTTTGCACTTCGAAAACCTTGGCGACTGCAGCTTGTGTGATTTCGAGAATCGAGCCGTTCATTGTATCTTGTGACTCTCAAAACGAATGAGGCAAGAGCTTCGCAGCAAGGAGCCCAGCAGGTGGGACGCCTTTCGGAGGGGCTTCTATGCAAAGCAGCTGCATCGAATTCGGCAGTTCTTCCCTGAAGAGCAGCTTCTGGTGGTGGTCTCTGAGCGATTCCGGGACAACCCTCGCAGAGAGCTGCAAAGAGTTTGCAAGTTTCTTGGGCTCTCAGAGGTGGAGGACTTACCTGAAGAGGCCTTCGAAGAGCAGCATGTCAGAGACAGCTACCTGGAAAGTCCATCAACGGAGTTGCGGGAGGAGCTTCGTAGGTACTACGACCAAGACGTGCGGGAGCTGCGCGCCCTGTTGCAGGATGACCTCGTTGAGTGGAACCTAGGTATCGAGTTGGGATCATTTTCAAGTTCCCTGATTGTTCAATTTGGAGTTCTAATGATAAAAAAAAGTTGGGGCTTTTTGAAGTCGACAGCTAGGAACGACGACTTCCAGCCGCCCAACAAGCGGCCTCCAGAACCCGAGCTCGAGGGCGAAGACTGCGGGAAGATGATGCGCTGATTCGGTTCAGGGGTACTTGTAAGTATGCGGCTTCCGGTGTTTTTGTTTATATATATTTTTTTAATATTATATATATATATATATATATTTTTTTTTTTTTTTTTTTTTTTTTTGGGGGGGGGGGGGGGGTTTTGGGGGGGGGTTCAGAAGAGGCCGTTCAAGTTGGTAGGAAGCAGGTCGGGTTTTGGCTTTTGGGTTTACAAGGAGTTGTGTGGACGTGAAAGGGGATACATGACTTGCAGAGGCAGCTCTCCAAGACACCCTCAAGGAGTGCTCTTCCCTCAGCAAACCAAAGGATCTCGCTCCTGTAGGTTGGCACAAGCAGCTCACCCTAGACCCGGGACCCTAAACCCTAAACCCTAAACCCTAAACCCTAAACCCTAAACCCCAAACCCCAAACCCCAAACCCTAAACCCTAAACCCTAAACCCTAAACCCTAAACCTAGCAGAAGAAAGCATCCCTAGAACCTGTCCCAAGTGTTAAGTATGTCAGTATGCCGAAGACTACGGACACGTGGCTGTCTCACAGTGTGCCGCAGTGGGGTTTCATCAAGCTCCGGGGCTTGGGGCTCAGGTTTTAGGGTTTAGGGCCTTAGGGCCTAGGGGTTTAGGGTTTAGGGCTTAGGGTTTAGGGTTTAGGGTTTAGGGCTTAGGGTTTAGGGTTTAGGGCTTAGGGTTTAGGGTTTAGGGTTTAGGGCTTAGGGTTTAGGGTTTAGGGCTTAGGGTTTAGGGTTTAGGGTTTAGGGCTTAGGGGGTTCCTAACAGGAGATCGAAGCAGACGAGAACCACGATCGGGTGCGCGACGAGTTCAAGGCTTTGGCGCGTAAGAGGCTCAGCGTTGGCCCTGGAACACAACTTCTACGGAGGGCTCGGAAGAATTACGAACAGTATTCTCGTATGATCCCTGTATAATTCTACTACAATATAACCCCCCAAAACCCTACTGTACATATTGAGGCCCCTATGTTAAGTTTTCGTCGGGGTTCCTAAGTCAGACCCGAAAAACTGAAGGAATTCACAGGGCCGTGAAGTGTGGCAAACCGCATCCTCGACGTTCCCCGAGGCCGTCGCAAGCCACAGGCGGTGGCGGCTGCGACAGAGACGGTGGGAGGGAGCAGCAGCAGCACAGGCGTGTCCATTCTTGTAGTGTTTCAAGCTGAGGGGTTTTTTGACTGCTGGGCAACTAGGCTTTAAGCCCACGCACGCGCGGTCCTCAATGAGGTCAAGAGAAGGGAAGGGAAGCATTGCCTCGCAGGAACAAGAGTACGCAACATGCAACCCTACATCCTATACTTCTTCGAACCCTACAAAGCCCTGGTTTGTGTGGGCTGCCCCGAAAACCCGACTCGCACCATTCAGGCAGGCTTCGGGGTTCTTAGGGAACCCGAGACCCTAGACCCTTAGGGCCAATCCTTGGCAGGTCGGCGTCGGGGTGCCTTTAGCAGCTTCGCAGGACTTCCGACAGCAGTGCGACAGGATGGTTTAGGGCTTCGGGTTAAGGGCTCAGGGGGAAATGGCTTGCATGCAACTATGTGTTAGAGCAGATCAGGCTTCAAGCTTCTTGATGGGTTCTTGGACCCTAAACCCTAAACCCTAAACCCGAAACCCGAAACCCTAAACCCGAAACCCGAAACCCTAAACCGTTTTCGGGCGGCCTGTGGGGCTTAAGCGTGTTTTTGTTCAGGGGGCCCAAAGACTTTTGGGGGTGTTTTGGGGGTCCCTCTAGTTTAAAGCCCTGCTTGTTCATCATTGTGGGGATGGTTGAAAGAGTGTAGGGTTTGGGTTCAGGGTTTCGGGTTTATGCTTAGGATTTAGGGTTTAGGGTTTCGGGTCCTGCTAATAGGCAGAACAAAACAGGCCGAGGGTGCGGCTAGGAAGAAATCTGGCCCTAAGCCCTAAACCCTAAACCCTAAACCCTAAACCCTAAACCCTAAACCCTAAACCCTAAACCCTAAACCCTAAACCCTAAACCCTAAACCCTAAACCCTAAACCCTAAGCGTTGGGAGGAGCTCTCGAGGAACCCAAGTCTGCCGAGACCTTCGTTGACGCTGAGGAGGCGCTCCTGCATCCCTCGAGCTCCCCCCCCCCCCCCCCCGCAACCCCTAAACACCCCTGTAAAACCTCGCAGAAACCTCTAGAAACCCCTAGAAACCCATAAAAACCTATTAAAAAACACCTTTTAACCCCCCCTATAAACCCCGATAAACCCCGATAAAACCCTCAAAAAACCCGCAACGCTCAACTTTTCAACCTTGAGACCCCCTCAACCCCCCCAAAAACCGGCGCGGAAGACCGACCTGGAGCTGTTCAAAAGCACCAAGGCAGCTTTTGGAGACAGAGGTAGTGTTAATAGTTGCACGAGTCATTATAGTTCCTATAGTTCTTATACTTATTAAAGTTATCATAGTTATGCTAGTTATTGTGGTTATTATAGTTATTATCGTTATTATCGTTATTATCGTTATTATAGTTATTGTAGTTATTTTATCCACGCAACAACAAAACGTTGCCTCCAGCACCGCGTCCCAGCACAGTTGCGGCAACTTCCTCAACAGCAGTTCTCTTGCTGCGCAGGAGCAGGATTCCGACGACTTCAGAACTGCAGAGGCTCGTCCCGCTGCAGCTATTGTAGTTACATTGTAGTTATTGTAGTTATTGTAGCTGTTATAGTGATTATAGTGATTATAGTGATTAGAGTGATTATAGTGATTATAGTGATTACAGTGATTATAGTGATTATAGTGATTATAGTCATTATAGTCATTACAGTTATTATGCTTATTATAGTTTTCTTGTTTTTAGTCCTTATGGTACGCGCCACCCCACCCACGAAGCATAGAAACCTCATGACCGCCACGGATCCTGGTGTCCAGGCCCGTGCCAATCGCGGAGACATCAGGTGGGAATTGCTTGATCAGCGATTTAGGGTTTAGGGTTTAGGGTTTAGGGTTTAGGGTTTAGGGTTAGAGCTTGGCTCAGCCAGCATCCCAGCCAGGGAGTGAGTTGCGACCATGTGCTGTGCCAGGGATTTGCTGCGACGAGGGCAGTTTGCCCAGCTCTCAGCCATGGGCAACATACCGCTTGCCCCCCCACACCACAAGCCGAACCTCTTGATCCTTCCTTCCTTCCTTCCTTCCGTCCTTCCTTCCGTCCTTCCTTCCTGCCCCACTCTTTAAAGCCGCGCAAGAACCCTGATACCATCTAAAGCCCTAAATTGCCCTAAATGCCGTCTAAAGGGCCTTCTACAGGGTACTCCGAACCCTCTGCCCTAGAGTGCTAAACACTGAAACCCGAAAATCCCCACTTGGAGGGTCATGGGTACTTAAAGAGTGGATAATCTGAAGGATAGGTATGGTTATACCTTATCTTTGGCACCTACTAGCCCTACTTATGAGTGCCCATGAACCTTCAAGTCAACCCTAGGCAACCCAACACCTAAAACCCTAATCCTGAAACCCTATTCCCCAAGCCCCTCTTGTTGAGCCAAGGCCTGCGCGCGGAAAGATGCGCAGCTTGCTGTGATGACGGGAAAGCTGGCCTTCCTGGCACGAGTCCTTTTTGGTTGAGAAAGGTTCCACCTTCTTAGGGTCTGAAAGTTTAGGATCTGAGGGTAGTTTAGGCTTGAGGGTTTGGGATTTAGGTTTAGGGTTCGATGCAGTTAGGGCCAAGGGTTGAAAGTATAGGGTTTTGGGGTCTAGACTTCTCTGTCTAAGTGCCGCAAGTCTCATGGCAGGACCGCCCCGGCCGCATAGCCGTCGAGGCCAATCATTATTTCGCTTACTTGGAGGTTCATGCGACCTTAGAGGTGTGGAAGCAGTTGTTGTGTAACCTTAGCTTGGAGGATAAACCCTAAACCCTAAACCCTAAACCCTGAACCCTAAACCCTAAACCCTAAACCCTCTGCTTAAGTACCAAGAAGCCTTCAAAGGGGCATGCCTAGGAACCATACACCTTAAACCCTAAACCCTGAACTGAACCCTGAACCCTAAACCCTAAACCCTGAACCCTAAACCCTAAACTTAAACCCTAAACCCTAAACCCCACAGGGCCGCAACGAAGAGCTTCCCCCGCGGCGGACCAGGCGGAGCTGCATCTTCGTTTGTCCGTTACCTCTTACTAGGGTTTAGGGTTTAGGGTTTAGGGTCTAGAGTTTATAGGGTTTAGGGTTTAGGGCTTAGGTGCATCTTCGTTTGTCCGTTACCTCTTACTTACTGCTGGTTTGTACTGAAGGAATAGGCACTAGTAGAATGTTGATTCCATGATGCGGCATTCTTTCATGTCCTAGTAGTCTAGTAGCCAACAGGAATTGAGCTTCATGAAATCCGTGCGTCTAGGATAAAAGCAAGATGGAGCGTTGATGGCAAGATAGCCTGAACCCTAAACCCTAAACCCTAAACCCTAAACCCTAGACGGGCTGATGAGAGCTCTCCTGAAGTCAGGCCTCAGTGCGTGAAGGAAGAGTTTGAACGCCAGCGCGCTCGGTGGCACTTGCCACGCTCTCAGACCATCGAAAGCCCAAGCCCCACAATCCAGCACCCCAAGCCCGAATCCCCGAAATCATGCAACCAAAGCACCTTAGACATCCTCATTAAAAAAACACTTCTCCAACAGCTGAACTTTAAACTTTTCCGGTTTTCCTTCATTTAGTAGGAAGAATGGAGTTTAACCTTCTTTCCCCCCTTGGTTATTGGAGAAGTAAAGAAAAGCACCAACCCCCAGCAACCGGAGGTTCTGTGCACTCTCAAGGTGCCCAGTACCCAGTGCCAAGGCCACCTAGGGGCAAGCACGTCGGGTACATGCCGCAGGCTGGGGCATTCGGCCGTTCTTGGAATTTTGTGGGTAGGGTTGGGGTCTAGTGACATTTAAGACTAAGGGGTCAGCAAAAACTGGGAAGGCCCTTCGGTCTTGGGATGGCTTGCATGTTCGAGAACTGAAACCGGGCTTACGAAGACTCTTTTTAGGAATTGCTCTCGGAGGTTTAAACGGCCCACTGGGTTTTAGGGGTGTACCCTGCCACTTAGACTTAAACTGGCCAAGCCCAGATACTTTCCTTATGCTCAAAACCTCAATCCTTTAGCCCCATACCTGCAAGAGCCGCCCCTGAAAAACCCACCAACCCCACCCGAAGAAGCATCCCCTCCGCTCTCCATTCTCTTAAGGCCTCCATCTCTGCTTACTACGCACAAGTTCCACACCCAAGCCGCAACTTGGGGGGGGGGGGGATGATCAAAACTGTGGTGTGGGCCCATTGTGTTTCTACCAAAGCGAAAAACCTACTGTTTGCTTAAGAACCACCACCCCCCCCCCCCGCCCCCCCTCCCCCCAAAAACAAGCTGCAGAACAACGTTCCCTGGATCGTTTTAGTGCTTTGGTGGTTCTTCAGCAAATAGTGGTAACTCCTTACTATTTGGAGGGCACCAAGAGACTTCGAGGGGACCCATATTTTTCGCATCCCCCAAATGACTCGGCAGGCCCATGTCCTGGGAACAGGTCCTGAGCTCACGTCTTCTGAGGGTGCACCGCGCTGGTTCGTAATAGGGACTGAGGGAAGTGGGTACAGTATATTGATACATCCCCGTACCTACAGTAAGGGAGTATATGGGCTACCTGATTCCCTCATTCACCACGAAGAATCAGAAAGTTATCTCGGGTGGTGCTTATTCGGACCGGGAGTAGGCCCTGTTTTCATTTTTTAAGGGTTGGGGTTCCCTTACAATCCCCTTAAAAACCAAAATGGGCACCCTCTTTATTCCTAGGTTTCTCCCCGGGTGGTGCTTAAAAACCCCAAAGATCTTGGCCACTGGCAAGCAGACCGGCTGCGGGACCGGTCCCCTACCACATTAGGGTTTAGGGTTTAGGGTTTAGGGTTTAGGGTTTAGGGTTTAGGGTTTAGGGCTCAGGGTTTCGGATGGGTCTAGGGCCTTAAGGTTTCGGATGCCGAGGTCAGGGCAACCTCGGCGCAGTGGAAGATGGCCCGGCAGCCTAGAGACTGGATGGCAGCTCTAGCCGGTATGGGGCTAGGGTTTAGGTGTGTGTGTGTGTGTGCTTGAGTGTGTGTGCTTGAGTGTGTGTGCTTGAGTGTGTGTGCTTGAGTGTGTGTGCTTGAGTGTGTGTGCTTGAGTGTGTGTGCTTGAGTGTGTGTGCTTGAGTGTGTGTGCTTGAGTGTGTGTGCTTGAGTGTGTGTGCTTGAGTGTGTGTGCTTGAGTGTGTGTGTGTGTGTGTTTTTTCTTTTCAGGGGGTGCTGTTGGCTTTTTAGGGCTTGCACCTTTTAGGGCCTTTGGGACTTTTTAAGGTTTTTAGGTGGCCTTTAGGACTCTTAGGGCTTCGGCTTGCCGGCATTTTGGGCTTAGGCTTCGTAGGGTTTACACCGAGCAACACCCTAAAGCTCCAACCGTGAACAACCCTTCTTTAAGGAGAGGCAGATTAGGGCTTAGGGCTCAGAAGGCCCTAAACCCGAAACCCTCATAAGGCCCTAAAAACCCTAAACTTCCCTAAGCCCTAAACCAACCCGTTTTTGTTGTCCCCCCTGAGTCCCAAACCCTGGTTTGGAGGTGCAAGCAGCGCCCCGCGGCGTCCGGCGGACAAGGCGGCATCGGGTGTCAAAGCATCCAGGGTTTAGGGTTTAGGGTTGAGGGTTGAGGGTTTAGGGTTTAGGGTTTAGGGTTTGGGGTTTAGGGTTGAGAGTTGAGGGTTGAAACTGTCCCCTTGTCCCCTTCCCTCCTCGCAACAAAGAGGGTTTGGGGCTTGTAGGGTTTAGGGCAAGGTTAGGCGACGTTTCAGGGTAGCCTCGCTCAGTTAAAGGGGCATCTTGGGGGAATTGGATGTCGTGCGGAGGATGCCTAATTACCGAAACTGAACTGAAAGCCTGTTCTTTCGTAGGTTACTCCCTATGAGTCCTTTATAGGGTTCTGAAGGGAGGGGGGCTCAAGGGGGGTATGGAACCGGGTCCCCGGTCCCCCCGCTTGAACCCCCGGCCCTTAACCCTACAAAGGTTCTTTTCTGAGGGTGTCTGGCCTCGCTTAAGGGGGGGTCGGATGCTCGAACGCCCCGTAGAACCCCTGCTTCCTTGTTGTACTAGTTACGTTCCCTTGCGAACTCCATCCTTTCCAAAACTTCATGAGCCAACAAAAAGGGCGCGTCGTCGATTATTGTTGCATAGATATGATGCATGGGGCTTAGGATGTTTGGGATTCAATTTCGCGACCTACAGGCCTCTGTGGCACGAATCCCCAAAAACCCAAAGCCGAAACCCCAAACCCGAGATCCGAAACCCCCAAGTCCGAAAGACCCCTCAAACCCCCCAAAGTCCGCAGCCCGCCTCAGAACCCGAACCCTAAACCCTAAACCCTAAAACCCTCCTTGAGGCAGACCTCCTGGCGTCCAACTTCGGTGGCCTCCCTGACTTTGATGACCAGCCGAGATTCTTCCCAAACTCAGGCGCTGCTGGCTCTGGTTCTTAGTAGGGAATGAGGGAATGAGGTACCCTATCTACTCCCTTCAAGGGTATATGCCTCGTTCCCTGGTTTAGGGTTTAGGGTTTAAGGTTTATTGTTTAGGGTTTAGGGTTAGGGGGGGGGGGGGGCTGGAAGCGACAGGGAAACGAGAAGTGAGAGACTTAGAAGGCCCATGTGCAGCTGAATTTCTCTTTACCTACCTAGGTAGGCCTTTGGGGCATTTTATATTTTCCGTATTGGGTTTAAGAGGGTCATATTCAGGAATCTGTTTCAGAGGGTTTCAGGGCCATCCTGGCTACAGTTTTATGGGCCATACCTGCGAATTACGGGGTAGCCGCCACTAAACTATTTATACGTAAATCGAGCCCCAGGTAGACCTGTTTTGACAAAGCTGTTGGAAGGTGCAAACCATGCGAAATAGTAAGGATGAAAATGTGACACTGTTGCTTCGAGAGACATCGCACCGAAAGAGCGGTTCAGAATAAGAAGGGCCAGTATACAGACATGCCTGGCAGATGTCTGAATATCAAATTTTGAGAAGTGTGGAGCGCTTGCAGTTGCCAGGTTTTGCCAGCTTTGGGTGAGGTCCGCGAAGGACTCGGGCATGTCCAGAAATAAGGAGTACCCCCCTCATATACCCCAAAACAGGAGAATCATTCCTTATGATCGGAACGCACGCAAAAAGGCACCGGATTTCGGGAAACCCGCACATCCCGGTACGCAGAAAGACGTGCCGCATCATGTGGGGCATGTGCGGCAAGGAGCTCCTGGTCGAGCTTCCGCGCGTGTGATCGCCTGATAGACTGAAACGACGAGAGTCATCTGAGTCATCTGCGCTGGTAAGCGAAGACAAGCTGCTGTAGAGATCGTGTGCCTAAAAATGTCAGATGTCTCTTCCAAGTTTCTGCGGGCGCTAGCACGGCAAGATGCGGAAAGCATGCGTCCATGAAGTCTTTTGAAGCTAGCTGTGCCAAAAGCATTCACTGCAAGGGCAAGCGCTTGAATGCTCTTAAGGAATGGCGATCTTGACTCCTGCCAGGCGCAGCCAGATAGATTGCTCGAACTGGCAACATGCATATATCAGTATGGCAACATCACTCTCAGCCAGTCTGTTCCACATCCAAACCTGACACCCAAAGCCAAACACCATTCCATGCTGGCAAACCCTACACTTTACACTCTGAACCCCGAACCCTGAGCCTGCTTAGAAGGAACTTGTGTACCCAAAGACTTCCTGCACTACCGATCGGAAATCCCTATCCCGAATAATTGGGGGGGGGGGGGGGGGGGGTGGTTATGTGTACAGTGTTCAGTTGTTCGAAGATGTACAGGGCTTCTTATTTGAAGGGTTTGGGATTTGCAAGGTTTTATGAGGCTTGGGCTTCGAGATTGTTCGAGCCTGCCGAAGTTAAGCGGCAAGAGCCGGAAGCAAAACAGTTCTCAGCACTGTGGTACAGATCTTTGACCAGACTGATTGTAGGTCAACGGAAGGCGTGGTTTGTGCTTGCTTGCGCAATGACCTTCGCCTTCATGACAACAGCGTGCTGGGCCAGGCTGGGGCAAATGTTGCGCTTCAATTTGCATGTCGCGTTGCCCTCCAAACCAAAGCCCTTGGCCCGAAACTGCTTCTAATTGCAAGTCATCCGAAAACAAGCAAGGCGCGATTGTGAACTCAATCGATGCTCCGGCTGGAAGCTGTATCCTTTGCGGCTTGGCTTTCGATGCAGCGGGTGCTTGTCTAAGGGCTAACGCCGCTTCCGCCGGAGGGGGGTGGGGGAAGGGCTGGGTTTGTGGGGGACTGCGCGCCTTTCTTCTTACTCATGTGCCCAGCTTTTCAACTCCTTACTCTAGAGGTGTTTTGGGAGCTACGGTAAAGCCGATGTCGCCGAAAAGTTGGGAACCAAACACACCAAACAAACAGCCGAGGGTGCGGCGGCCTAGGGCCTAGACCCTCAAAAGCCTAGCCCGATTCCATCTCGTGACCAGGTATCTCGCAAACAGCCTTGGGTTGCAAACTCATCTGCAGATCTGTGAGTCTGAGTGCTCCTACCCGTAACAACTGCCATGTCAGGGGCTTAGGGTTCAGGGTTCAGGGTTCAGGGTTCAGGGTTTAGGGTTTAGGGTTTAGGGTTTAGGGTTTAGGGTTTAGCTTTTGGGGTTTAGCGCACTGGTAGATCGACACATTTCAGCCCACAGCGACAGACGAAGAAAGAGCATGACACCACCCCCCATCCGAAGGGGAACCTTACCATCGGAGGTGTGGATGTGCAGAAGATGGAGCAGGCGACTTCATCCGTTCGGGCTTGAGGTACTTAAGCCGTCTGCACGATAACCATATCTTTTCTTTGGGAACTATTTTCGATGTTTGTTCATATAAACCCCAAGAGGATATTGAAAATATGTTTTTAAGGTTCTGAGGGGAGTATAGACAAGCTCTGCAAGCACAGCCCGGTGAGCCCTAGACCCATAAGCAAAGCCTTCCAGGATGGTCGACGCTGCGCCACTTTACCAAGCCCTAATCCCTGGGTTTAGGGTTTAGGGTTTAGGGTTTAGGGTTTAGGGTTTAGGGTTTAGGGTTTAGGGTTTAGGGTTTAGGGTTTAGGGTTTAGGGTTTAGGGCCTGAACCCTGTAGGCTGAGCCAGGGTCTGTAGCGAATGCTCATGATGCTGACGTTTGTCGGCCGGCGCGCGAATGGTCCGCTCTCCACTGAGTTGTATAGGTCAACCACAGGAAGATCGCAAAAATCGGAAGAGGGGGCCATGTATGCCCTGAAAAACTGTATAAAGTTCCTTCCTTCCTTGCCTCCCACAAGCCACTTGACCACCGCCAACGAACTTACCTTACAATCCTCAGCCTTCTTCTTCTAAATTTAACCCCCAAGTCCAAAACTCCAAACCACCATACCCCAAACCCTGAAGGCTTAAACCCTAGACCCCATTTCGAACCTAAACCCCCAAATATAAGCCCTTTACCCTTAAACCTTAACCCCTAAGTAGCCCATACTCTAAACCCCAAACCCTGAAATCCCTAAACCCTAAACCCTAACCCAAACTTTAAATTGTAATGCTGTGCCTTGGCTTGCTCCATCAGTTCCAGCGGGGGTAGTTTGCGTGCCTTGGCGCGGTGCTGCCAGGACGGTGTGTCGTGAGGGCTGCAGTTGGAAGAGCGACCAAAACGTCCACAAATCTGCACAGGAGACATGTCGAAGTCTGGCATTGTGAAGAACTGGGTCGAAGACAAGGGCTTTGGCTTCATAGGCACCGCATGGCACCGCACTGATATCACAGTCTCTGCAAGCATCTTGTCAGGATGGCGATTTGCACTTCCCTGTGCAGGACCCGATGATGGCAGCGAGGATTTGTTCTGCCACGCCTCCTGTCTGCAGGGTTGCAAAGGCCTGGGCAAGGGAGACAAAGTCCGCTTCGATGCGGAGTACGACGATCGCAAAGGCAAGATGCGCGCTGTGAACGTGTCCGTGGACGGCGGCGGGGGTGGTGGGGGCGGAGGGCGCGGCTATGACCGGGATGATCGCCGTGGGGGTTATGACCGAAGGGATGACCGTCGAGATGACCGCCGAGACGACCGCCGGGACTACGACCGCCGTGATGACCGTCGTGATGACCGTCGCGACTACGACCGCCGAGATGACCGCCGAGACGACAGGGGCAAGGGCAAAGGAGGCAAAGGAGGTGATCGCTTCGGGGGGGACACCCGAGGTGACGACATCAGCAACGGCGGCAATAAGCACCTCACAGCTCGCGAGCTCTTCATGAGGCCGCTTGTTGCTGAGGGCCTTGTGCATCTTAAGCGCCCCCTGCTACCAACTCCACTAGGGACAAGCGCACAAGTCCAACCGTCCTAGCAGTTGCACCTCCTCTCCAGGCACGAGCGCGAGAAGCCAGGAAGGCGACGGCCCAGCTCGTCGAGGTCTTACTCACGGAGCCCGCCGCCAAGGCCTAAACCCTAGAAGCCCCCAACCCTAGCAGCACCCCCCGACTGCCCTTTAAACCAAAATATTACTGTAGGGTATATAAGTCCCCTTTTCTTACGAGGGCAGCCCCCCCCCCCCCCAGCCGAGAAGTCAAGGGCCGGGTTCTTCCAGGGTACGGTCTCGTGGGCTTGATTCCGTTCGGTAGTGGTGTAGGCTATCATCGGGTACCCTATAGCTGTTATTTTTAGGACCCACCCTGTCTTAGGCACCCGAAACCGGAGCATGAATTTCAACAACCTCCGTGTGGAATGTGGAAGGAGTTGGCTTGAATATGCTGCCTCCCCCCCGTCCCCCGCAGACTGTCTTGCCGGCATCGCGCAGTCCTGGTCTGTAGTTAGTCTCATGAACCCTGAAATTCTGAAACACTAAATCATTCTGTTAAACCCTGCAGCCTACACTTGCCCTAACCCAAAAATCCCTGAACCCTCAACTTCTTTAAATCCTAGCCCCCATACAACTCCTCAACCCTGAGCCCTAAACCCCTAAAAGCCCCTATTCCCGTAAAGCCCCGAAACCATGAACCCATAAACCCTGAACACTAGCCCAATACAACCCCAAACCCTACACCCTAAACTATAAACTCAACTGGCGCATCCTCACAGGACTCGCCGTGAAAACTTCAACTAAGCTTGGAGGCAGTATAATGGGTTTAGGACTTTAGGGTTCAGGGCCAGGGTTTAAAGGTTCCGGGTTGGGATGTTTCCCCTTATACTAACAGTCCTCAATAGGATTATCATAGTGGGTCCGATCACGGTCCTTAATAGGGATTACATTAGGGGGTCCTATAATCCCTGGACTGTTAGTGTAAGGGGAGCATTCCAAGTTCCGGGTCTCGGGCTTCGGGCTTAGGGCTCAGGGTTTATGGTCGTTGGCTTCAACGGGTTTGGGTTGTTTGAAGGCTTGCGGTTTGATGGGCTTTATTGTCTTTACGGGTCCCACAGGAGGCATAGGATTAAGGGTGAAGGGTTGAGTACTTAGGAGGTTTAGGGCAGTTCAGGGTTCGGGTTTAGTCGACAGGGGTTTCGGATTGAAGTACGGACTGTCGTGCAGAGTTGGTGCTTGTGGTGGTTTTTGTTCAAAGGGTGCTGTGGGTGTGGGTGCTGAAAGGCCTGCGTAGGGCCGTTACAAGGTTGAGGGTAGGGTGTCATGAGGGAGTATGGCCTTTGTTAGGAATCAGGGTTTCTTAACCTTGAAGGTTCTTGGTTTTGAAGAAAAGAGGGCTTATGGGATTGCGATTTGGGGCGTACGGCTGAAGGAGCTTTCTCTGCAGGAATGATGCGTCTAATGCACCTAATCAAGTGGCATGAACAGGTAGCTCAAAAGCCCCCACCCAGCCAAAACTCTCCCCTACACGACCTATATAAGGTCCCTGGTTCTTAAGGGTTTAGGGTTTAGGAGTCCCCTCCGCATGTCAGGAAAGCAAGGGGAGAGTGAGGGTGGAGCACGCCCATCTTGGCCGCGGCAGACCCTCCAGAGAATATGGTAACCTTAAAAACCCTAATTGGCGGTTCATCGGTACTTTTAAGTAGGGGTAGAATAAGTGGGGGAACTCCGTATTTGGGGTACGTATATCCGTACTTATAAGTACCCGGAACCTCCAACTAGCTTTTCGAAGCACTGAATCCCAAAGCAGCTGAAGCCTAAGCCCCGAACCTTACAACCCTAAACCCCCAAAGGGGCTGACGCTTGGGTATGTTGTTGGAGGCTGGGCTGGGAAGAGTACCATGACCTGCTTCATAGCAAAGATGTGCAGATTTCAACACACCTAGACCTAGACTCCCAGTTGTCAGTTGTTCCTTGTTTCTTTGATAGTACTTCGTTTTCTCATGAAATTCTAAGAATGCCGAAGCCCTACACCCTAACTAAGCCAAATTCTACTACCGCGTCTCGAGTTTTGAGCCCAGATGGCCTGATGCTGCAATACACAACTGTTTAAACAGCACGCAGCCCACGTGACTCGGCCGTTGCAGCGCAGCAATCTGCCGAAAGCCTCAGTGTGCCAACAGTGACAGGCAGGCCGCGAACCCCAAAGCCCCCGAAAGATCCCAGAAGCCCTCAACTCGAATGACCCCAAGACCCTAAACCCTGCGCCCTAAACCCTAAACCCTAAACCCTAAACCCTAAACCCTAAACCCTAAACCCTAAACCCTAAACCCTAAACCCTAAACCCTAAACCCTAAACCCTAAACCCTAAACCCTAAACCCTAAACCCTAAACCCCTAGCACTACGTACAGACGTTAGACCTTAGCATCCCCGAGGCCCCTACGATCCTCGAATCCCTCAACTCCTCTCTGCAACAGCAAGGAAGCCCATGGCCCCAAAGGACCGAAACATATCAGAAACCCTAAACCCTAAACCCTAAACCCAGGTCAGGTTCTAGTCTAGTATGGGTTGAGGTTGAGGAGTGATATAGGGCCAATGTAGGGTTGGAAAAACTGGTGGTCCCTATATATTTATACTAACCCCCAAAACCCTATTCTAATTGGTGAGGCCTCCGTATTAGCTCCTTGCAGCCGCGTTTCTTCACGCGCTGGCGGAGCGAGTCGTGCAAGCGGCGAGCAAAGCTTGCCTCCTAAACTTTGGGGACCAAATGGGCCCTAAAATTGGGATTTAGGGTTTAGGGTTTACGGTTGACCCAATGTTATGATCCCTATTGAGGTATATGAGCCGCAAACCCTTTTATAGGGTTTATTTAGTCCCCAAGGAATAGTCTACTGAGACTGCGTTCCTGTGGCGCGGTGCTCGAGCCAAAACGAAGCAGGACAAGAGGTGTGTCGAACGTTGCTGTTGCATCGGTGTCTCATCTGGCTATTATTGCCCGCTTCCATTCCGACTAGTTGTGCATGGTATCTTTGAAGAGTCTGTCAGGTACCTCCTTACGGCCTTGGCATCTCACTTGCTGGCTCCGTCCCGCGACACCGCTGCAGGCTGGAAGCTAACGTTCCGCGGTTTGCAAAGCTGACGCGGAGCGTCTTCCAAAAACCCCCCTAAACTCTAAACCCCGAACCCTATACAATCGTTCAGGCCAGGAGTTTACCTCGCACCTGGCTGTGATCGTGGAAGAGTCCAAAGGCAAGGTAGGGTCCATGAATACTGCTAATTGCTGAAGAACCCCCAAAGACTAAAACAACTTCTCTCAGCCAACCTTGAACCCCTCCCCAAAGCCCTACAACCCCTGAAGCCCCTCTCAACTCCTGACCTTAGCCGCCCTCAGGACTACGGACCGAGCAAACCTTAAAACCCCAAACCCTGACTTCCCCAAACCCTAAACCCTATAAGCCCCAAACTTGTAAATTGTGATGCTGTGCCCTCGTTTGCTCCCATCAGTTCCAGCGGGGGTAGTTTGCATGCCTTGGCGCGGTGCTGTCAGGACGGACGGTGTGTCGTGAGGGCTGCAGCTGGAAGAGCGACCAAACCGTCCACAATTCTACACAGGAGACATGTCGAAGTCTGGCGTTGTGAAGAACTGGATGGACGACAAGGGCTTTGGCTTCATAGGCGCCGTTGCACTTGCATGTTCTTGGCATGCCAAGCTGGCGGCATTGTTAGCTTGCATTTCCCTGTGCAGGACCCGATGATGGCAGTGAGGACTTGTTTTGCCACTCCTCCTGTTTGCAAGGATGCAAGGGTCTGGGCAAGGGAGACAAAGTCCGCTTCGATGCGGAGTACGACGATCGCAAAGGCAAGATGCGAGCTGTGAACGTGTCCGTGGAGGGCGGCGGGGGTGGTGGAGGCGGAGGGCGCGGCTATGATCGGGATGATCGCCGTGGGGGCTATGACCGAAGGGATGACCGTCGAGATGACCGCCGGGACGACCGCCGGGACTATGATCGTCGTGATGACCGTCGCGACTACGATCGCCGAGATGACCGCCGGGATGACCGCCGAGATGATCGCCGAGACGACAGGGGCAAGGGGAAAGGAGGCAAAGGAGGTGATCGCTTCGGGGGGGACACCCGAGGTGACGACATCAGCAATGGCGGCAACAAGCACCTGACAGCTCGCGAGCTCTACATGAGGCCGCTTGTTGCTGAGGGCCTTATGCATCTTAAGCGCCCTCTGCTACCAACTCCACTAGGGGCAAGCGCACAATTCCAGCCAGCAGTTGCACCTCGTCTCCAGGCACGAGCGCGAGAACCCGCGAAGGCGACGGCCCAGCTCGTCGAGGTCTGGCTCACGGAGCCCGCCGCCAAGGCCTTTTAAGCCCTACACCCTACCAGCACCCCCCAACTACCCTATAATCGTGGGGTATACAAGTTATACAAGTTCCCTTTGTGAAAGGGCAGTTGGGGACAGGTAACTCTAAACGCTATGAACCCCAGAAGTCAAGGGCCGGGGTCTTCCAGCGCATGCGGTAGAAGTCCTCTAAGTTCATGATGGTCCCGTGGGCTTGATTCCGTTCTGTAGTGGTGTAGACTCTCATTGTTTGCCCTATGGCTTTTATTTTCAGGGCCCACACTGTCTTAGGCACCCGAAACGGGAGCATGAATTTCACACGTATGGAAGGAGTTGGGCGGCATATGCTTCCCCCCCCCCCCCCCCCTCAAGTACAAGATTCTCATCCGGTCACAGCGTCAGGCTGGCCGTATGAGAGGAAGCACCCCCTGCCAGACCCCACCCCCTCGTCCCCCCGGTGCTTGCAGAGCGTCTTGACGGCATCGCACAGTTCCTGGTCTGCAGTCAGTCTCGTAAACCCTGAAACCCTACATGAACCTTTAAAACCCCTGCAGCCTACACTTGCCCTAACCCAAAATCCCTGAACCCTCAACTCATATAAATCCTAGCCCCCATGCAACTCCTAAACCCCTAAACCCCTAAACCCCTAATATCCCCTAATCCCCATAAAGCCCCTAAACTAAACCATGAACCCATAAACCCTGAAGCCCAAAAAGCTCCTAAACCCTAAAACCCCGAACACTAGCACAATAGAATCCTAAACCCTAAACTCAACTGGCGCTTCCTCACAGGGCTCGCCGTGAGAACTTCAACTGAGCTTGGAGGCATTAGGGTTTTTCCCGATTTAGGGTTCAGGGCCAGGGTTTAAAGGTTCCGGGTTGGGATGTTTCCCCTTATACTAACAGTCCTTTATAGGGACTAGAACAGGGAGAACTCTAATCCCTACTAAGGACTGTTAGTACAAGGGGGAACTTCCCAAGTCCCAGTCTCAGGCTTAGGGCTCAGGGTTTATGGTTGTTGGCTTCAGCCGGCGTATGGGTTTATAAGGCTTCAAGGGGTTTGGGTTGTTTGAAGGCTTGCGGTTTGATGGGCTTTGTTGGCTTTAAGGGTCCTCAGGGGGCATAGGGCTTAGGGTGAAGGGTTGAGTAGTTAGGAGGGTTTAGTCGACAGGGGTTTCGGATTAGAAGTATGGACTATCGTACAGAGTTGGTACGCTGGCGGCTGTGGGTGTGGGCGCTAAACGGCCTGCGTAGGGCCGTAAGGAGGTTGAAGGTTTAGAGGGTTTAGGGGCCTTCGGGCTGTAGGGTGTTTGGGCCTATGGTTATTGGACATTTAGGTCTTCAGAGCCTTTAAGAACTTTAGGGCTTGCAAGTGTCTGGTTTAGGGTGTCATTCGGGAGTATGGCCTTTGTGAGGGACCAAGGGTTTGATCTTTGAAGGTTTATGTGTTTTGAGGAAGAGAGGGCTTCTGGGACTGCGATTTGGGGTGTGCGGCTGAAGGAGCTTTGCATGAAGGACGCGTATTGTGCACCTGATTAAGTGAGCGCACGACATCCTCAACAGTCCGAACCATCCGAACCTCTGCCTTACACCGTTACGCCCGAAGTTCCCTGGTTGTTATATAAGGTTTTAGTGTTTAGGGCCCTAAACCCTAAACCCTAAACCCTGAATCCGCATGTCAGGAAAGCAAAGGGAGAGTGAGGGTTGTGCACGCCCATCTTGGCCGCGGCAGACCCTCCAGAGAATGTGGTAAGGTTCATGGAGACTTATAAGTAGGGTTCTAATAGGTGTGGTAACTATAGTTATATCCTTGATTGGGGTACGTATAGCCTTACCTATAAGTACCCAGAACCTCCAAGTAGCTTTTCGAAGCACTGAATCCCAAAGCAGCTGCAGCCTAAGCCCCGAACCATGTACCTGCTTCATACCTAAGATGTGCAGGTTTCAAAAGAGCTGGAGGATTCACCTCGACTCCCAGTTGTCAGTTGTTCCTTCTTGCTTTTGAAGTACTTCGTTTTCTCATTGTATCTAATAATCCCGAAACCCTAAACCCTAACCAAAGCCGATTCTACTACTGCGTTCCGAGTTTTGAGCCCTGACCTGATGCTGCAAGACACAACTGTTTAAACAACACGCAGCCCACGTGATTCGGCCGTTGCAGCGCAGCAATCTGCCGAAAGCCTCAGTGTGCCAACCGTGACAGGCAGGCCGCGAACCCCAAAGCCCCCGAAAGATCCCAGAAGCCCCTCAAACTAGCTGGTTCCTGAAACATCATCGGCCGACTGCAGTCTTATCGGCCAACCAGTGGCCTTTCTGTGGGTATCTCGGAGCCTAAACCCTAAACCCTAAACCCTAAAACCTAAACCCTAAACCCTAAACGGGCTATCTGCTGCGCAAGGTTGGCCTGGTGGGAAAAAAAGGTCATTATTTCGGTGTGCTGCACATGACGGCACTACCGTGTTGTGGAGCACAGGGTTTTCTCCCAGACGAGGTTTTCCCTGTGCCCCAGTTTCAGTGCTGGCTCTCAGGTGTATCTGATGGGCACTCGAATGACCCCCAAACCTAAACCCTAAACCCTAAACCCTAAGCCCTAAGCCCTAAGCCCTAAGCCCTAAACCCTAAACCCTAAACCCCTAGCACTAAACACAGACCTTAGACCTCAGCATCCCCAAGGCCCCTACGATCCTCGAATCCCTCAACTCCTAAACTGGTCCTAAACTGTGCTTTCTGCACCTCGTGCCTGGAAACAACAAGGAAACCCATGAACTCAAAGGACACATACCTGACAATGAACTTTCGGGTTACCCTAAACCCTAAACCCTAAACCCTAAACCCCAAACCCCAAACCCCAAACCCCAAACCCCAAACCCCAAACCCCAAACCCCAAACCCCAAACCCTGAACCCAGGTCAGGGTTCTAGTCTAGTATGGGTTGAGCAGAAATATAGGGCCAATAGGGGACTGAATGACTACCCATGGTATGCCCTTGTGGTCCCTATATGATTGTACTATAGAAACCCCCAAGACCTTATTGTAAATGCTGAGGCCCCCGTATCTGCTCCTTGCAGGCGCGTTTCTTCACGCGCTGGCGGAGCGAGTCGTGCAAGCGTCGAGCAAAGCTTGCCTCCTAAACTTTGGGGACCAAATGAGCCCAGAATTGGGATTTAGGGTTTAGAGTTTTGGGTCCAATGCTACTATGGTCCGTATTGAGGTATGTGAACCATAAACCCTTTTAGGGGTCATTTAGTCCCCAAGGAATAGTCTACCGAGACGTCATTCCAGTGGCGCAGTGCTCGAGCCAAAACGAAGCAGGACAAGAGGTGCTCTGAAGCGGTGTCTCATCTGGCTGTTATTGCAGACTTCGATTCCGCCGAGATGTGCACGGTATCTTTCCCCTAAACCCTAAACCCTAAACCCTAACCTCTAAACCCTAAACCCTAAACCCTGAGTCTGTCAGGTAACTCCTCCTTACGGCCTTGGCATCTCACTTGCTGGCTCCGTCCCGCGACACCGCTGCAGGCCGGAAGCCACACCAGCGTTCCGGGGCGATGTTCAGCGATGTCAGCGCGCGCAAACGAGTTTGCAAAGCTGACACGGAGCGTCTCCAAGAACTCCCGAAACTCTAAACCCTAAACCCTGTAAGCCATCGTTCAGGCCAGGTGCTTACCTCGCAACTGGCTGTGATCGTGGAAGAGTCCAAAGGCAGGGAGGGGGTCCATGAGTAAAACTAATTGCTTGAGAACCCCCCCCCCCCAAATGACTAAAAGAAACTTCTCTCAGCCTGAACCCCGAACCCCACCCCTGTCAAAGCCCAACAACCCCCGAAGCCTCTCAACTCCTGATTGCGCCGCCCTCAGAAGTACGGACCGAGGGTTCAGTCATTCGTTCCGCAGCTCACACGCCACCCTGAATTGTAAAGCCCGAAGCGCCTGAAACCCCTAAACCCTAAACCCTGAACTCTAAACCCTAAACCTAAACCCTAAACCCTAAACCCTAAACCTAAACCCCAAGCTTCCTGAGGGCGGAAGCCAGCTGATGAGCCATTTCCCGGAGCTCGTGATGCCTCGCACTGAGAACCCATCCCTGTTTTGAAGGGCGAAGGCAAGATTACATAGACATCTAGGGGCCTTCAGCACTATGAACTCTATAAACCCTAAACTCCTGAGCTCCTCTGCCCCTTAATCCTAACTCTTAAACCTCAGACCTTGCAAGCAAAGGTCATTTAGAGGTGATTTAGACGCGCTCTCTCTCTCTCTCTCTCCTTTTCTCTCTCTCTCTCTCTCTCGCTCTTTCTCTCTCTCTCTCTCTCTGTCGCTTTCTCTGTCTCCATCTCTCTGTCTCTCTCTTTCTCTTTCTCTCTCTCTCTCTCTCTCTCTCTCTCCCCTTCTCTTTCTCTTTCTCGTTCTCATGCTCTTTCTCTTTCTCTCTTTTTGTTGTCTGTCTCTCTCTTTCTCTCTCTCTCTCTCTCTCTCTCTCTCTCCCCCTCCCTCGAACCTAATCCTCAACACATAAGCCCTGAAACCTTAAACCTGAAACCCTAAGCCGCCTATACCCTAAACCCCAAACCCTGACTTCCCCAAACCCTACACCCTGAGCCCCAAACTTTTGAATTGTGATGCTGTGCCTTCGTTTGCTCCCATCAGTTCCAGCCGGGGGGGTAGTTTGCGTGCCTTGGCGCGGTGCTGTCAGGACGGTGTGACGTGAGGGCTGCAGTTGGAAGAGCGACCACACCTTCCACAAATTTGGCACAGGAGACATGTCGAAGACTGGCGTTGTGAAGAATTGGATGGATGACAAGGGCTTTGGGTTCATAGGCGCCGTTGCACTTGCATGTTCTGGGCATGCACCTCGCATGTGCCCTGCCATGCTGGCATGATTGGCGAATTTCATTTCCTGTGCAGGCCCAGATGATGGCAGTGAGGACTTGTTCTGCCATTCCTCCAGTCTGCAGGGATGCAAGGGCCTGGGCAAGGGAGACAAGGTCAGATTCGATGCGGACTACGACGATCGCAAAGGCAAGATGCGAGCAGTGAACGTGTCTTTGGAGGGCGGCGGGGGTGGCGGGGGCGGCGGGCGCGGCTATGATCGGGATGATCGCCGTGGGGGCTACGACCGACGGGACGACCGCCGAGACGACCGCCGGGACTATGACCGCCGTGATGACCGTCGTGATGACCGTCGCGACTACGACCGCCGAGATGACCGCCGAGATGATCGCCGAGACGACAGGGGCAAGGGCAAAGGAGGCAAAGGAGGTGATCGCTTCGGGGGGGACACCCGAGGTGACGACATCAGCAATGGCGGCAACAAGCACCTGACAGCTCGCGAGCTCTACATGAGGCCGCTTGTTGCTGAGGGCCTTATGCATCTTAAGCGCCCTCTGCTACCAACTCCACTAGGGGCAAGCGCACAATTCCAGCCAGCAGTTGCACCTCGTCTCCAGGCACGAGCGCGAGAACCCGCGAAGGCGACGGCCCAGCTCGTCGAGGTCTGGCTCACGGAGCCCGCCGCCAAGGCCTTTTAAGCCCTACACCCTACCAGCACCCCCCAACTACCCTTCAACCAGAATCGTGGGGTATATAATAAGTTCCCTTTATGCAAGGGTAGTTGGGGGGTGCAGGTAACTCTAAACCCCATCAACCCCAGAAGTCAAGGGCCGGGTTCTTCTAGCGCATGCGGTATAGGTCCTCTGAGTTGGTTATGGTCCCTGGGGCTTTGTTCTCTAGCGGTGTAGGCAATTACTGGGTACCCTGTAGCTTCTATTTTCACGGCTCACACTGTCTTAGGCACCCGAAATGCGAGCCCCACCCCCCCTCCCCCACCCCCGGCCCGCGTCGCCCCCGTGCTTGAAGAGTGTCTTGCCGGCATCACGCATCTGTAGTCAGTCTCGTAAACCCTGAAACCTGGACCCTTAACCCCACTGGCGCTTCCTCACAGGGCTCGCCGTGAGAACTTCAACTGAGCTTGGAGGCATTAGTTTTTTTTTTTTTTTTCCGATCTTAGGGTTCAGGGCCAGGGTTTAAAAGGTTCCGGGTTGGGATTTAATAGGGATTATATAATAGGGGGTACTACAATCCCGACTAAGGACTGTTAGTATAAGGGGGAACATCCCAAGTTCTGAGTCTAGGGCATGGAGTTTACCGTTGTTGGCTTCGGCGTATGGGTTTGATGGGCTTTATTGGCTGTAAGGGTCCTCAGGGGCAGAGGGTGAGCAATTAGGAGGTTTAGGGCTAGGGCTTAGTCGACAGAGGTTCAGATTAGAAGTATGGACTGTCGTACAGGAGAGAGTGCTGTCAGTGTGGGTGCTAAAAGGCCTGCGTAGGGGCCGTTATGAGGGTTTACGGGGTTTAGGGGGTCTTCGGGCTGTAGGGTGTTTGGGCCTAGGGTTATTTGACATTTAGGTCTTCAGAGCTTTCAAGAACTTTGGGGCTTGCAAGTGTCTAGTTGAGGGTGTCATGAGGGAGTATGGCATTTGTTAGGGACCAGGGGTTTTGGCCTTGAAGGTTTTTGTGCTTTGAGGAAGAGAGGGCTTCCGGCATTGCGATTTGGGGTGTACGGCTGAAGGAGCTTGCTCTGCGGGAAGGACGCGTATGGCGCACCTAATCAAGTGACATGAAACAGGTAGGGAACGACATCCTCAACAGTCCGAACCCATCCGAAACTCTCCCCTACACCGTTTCGCCATAAGTTCCCTGGTTGTAAAGGGTTTAGTGTTGAGGGGTTTGGTTTAGGAGTCCCCCTCCGCATGTCAGGAAAGCAAAGGGAGAGTGAGGGTGGCGCACACCCATCTTGGCCGCGGCAGACCCTCCAGAGAATGTGGTAACCTTAAAAGAACCCTACTTGGAGGTTCATGAATCAAAAGTAGGGTTATAAGTGGGGTAACCACATAGTCATATCCTTATTTAGGGTACGTACAACCTTACTTGTAAGCACCCAGCAGCCCCAGCCCCGAATCTTAGAACCCTAAAGCCCCAAAGGGGCTGACGCGTGGGTATGTTGTCGGAGGTTTAGGGCAGGCTTGTGGTGGGGTTGAGCCATTGTGTAGAGCTTAGGGTTTAGGTCACTGCAGCATTGCAGGTCATGGTATTTCGGGTCGATGGTGGAAGCCATTGATGTCCTGTACCTCTTCAGAGGATGTAGGGCGTACCATGTTCCTGCTTCATTGCTAGGATGTGAGGGTTTCAAAAGAGCTGGAGGGTTCACCTAGACTCCCAGTTATGAGTTGTTCCTTTTTTCTTTTGTAGCACTTCGTTTCTCATTAAATTCTAGTAATCCCGAAACCCTAAACCCTAACTAAAGCCGATTCTACTACCGTGTTTCGAGTTTTGAGCCCAGATGGCCTGATGCTGCAATACACAGCTGTTTAAGCAAAAGCCGCAGTTGTAGCGCAGCACTCTGACGAAAGCCTCAGTGTGCCAACAGTGACAGGCAGGCCGCGAAGCCCAAGCCCCCCGAAAGATCCCAGAAGCCCCGCAAACTCGAATGACCCCAAAACCCTAAAACCCTAAAACCCTTGTAAAACCCTAAACCCCTAGCACTCTCCCCAAGGCCCCTACGATCCTCGAATCCCTCAACTCCTCATCTGCCTGGCAACAACAAGAAAGCCCATGGCCCAAAGCACCGAAACATGTCTGACAATGAACTTTCAGGTTACCCTAAACCCTAAACCCTCAACCCAGGTCAGGGTTCGAGTCTAGCATGGGATGAGGAGTAGTATAGGGCCAATTTTTGGGCTACTAATAGTATTCCCTTGTGCTCCCTATACAATTAATTATACTAGATAAACCCCTAAAGGCCTGTTATAAATGATGAGGCCGCCCCCATATTAGCTCCTGGCAGCCGCGTTTCTTCGCGCTGGCGGAGCGAGTCGTGCAAGCGTCGAGCAAAGCTTGCCTCCTAAACTTTGGGGACCAAATGAGCCATTAAATTGGAGTTTAGGGTTTAGGGTTTTGGGTTAAGGGTTGCAACAACACTATGATGCCTATTGAGGTCTATGAACCACAAACCCTTTTTGGGTTCATTTAGCCCCCAAGGAATAGTCTACCGAGATTTCGTTCCAGTGGCGCAGTGCTCGAGCCAAAACGAAGCAGCACAAGAGGTGTTTTGAACGTCGCTGTTTCATCTGGCTGTTATTGCCCGCTGCCATTCCGAGTATTTGTGCATGGTATCTTTGAAGAATCTGTCAGGTGCCTCCTTACGGCCTTGGAATCTAACTTGCTGGCTCCGTCCCGCGACACCGCTGCAGGCCGGAAGCCACGCAAAAACTCAGGGGTGACGTTCAGCGAAGCCGGCGCGCGCAAACGAGTTCGCAAAGCTGACGCGGAGCGTCTCCAAAAACTCCCTGAACCCCAAACCCTATAAACCATCGTTGAGGCCTGGTGTTTACCTCGCCTCGCACCTGGCTGTGATCATGAAAGAGTCCAAAGGCAGGCAGGGGGTCCATGAATACTACGAATTGCTTAAGAGCCCCCCTAAAACTAAAAATGTTCTTCCCTATAAGGGCAAGAAAGCGTTTACTGTCTCTTACTTTTTGAGGGCTCTGTAGCAAAATCATAGAACTGTTGGTGGCAATGAATCTTTTAAGCCCCAAGCCCTTGATGTCACTCTGCTTCACGGTGGCACGGTGCATCGTTTACGCTACTCGAGCCTCTGAAAGGGCATAAGGGAGGGACTCCTAGAAGGGTTTAGGGTTTAGGGTTTTGGGTTTAGGGTCTGGAACCCCCAGTGGCCCTTAAAAGCCCCTAAAGTCCTTAAAAGGGTCCCTCCTTTACCTCGATATTCGTTTGGGAGCCCTTGTGGCACCCATTGGATGCCTGTGCCGGCTTAGTCCATCACTACAGTTTTCGTGGGTTTAGGGTTTAGGGTTTAGGGTTTAGGGTTTAGGGTTTAGGGTTTAGGGTTTAGGGTTTAGGGTTTAGGGTTTAGGGTTTAGGGTGCTGCGAAGGAAGGGGCAGTCACTTCTAAACTGTAGGTAGATAGTATAGAGCCCCAGGTCGACTTTGTTGAACAAGCTGCCGGAAGGTGTAAACCCCCAGAGACTCCAAAACCCCTTAATTAAGGAATATACCTTAAATCATATTAGGGTTCCTATTCTAATTTAGGGTATATTCCTTAATTAAGGGGTTTTGGAGTCTCTGGACCCTGCGAATTAGTAAGGATGAAAATATATATCAGCGTTGCTTCGATAGACAACCCAATACAAGCGCATCCATCGAAAGAGGGCAGATGTCTAAACCCTAAACCCTAAACCCTAAACTCTAAACTCTAAACCCTAAACCCTAAACTGCATATCCGATGTTTGTTGAAGTGCGGAGTGCTTGCAGTCCCGCCACACTTGCGTCAGGTTTTGCCAGCTTTGGGCGAGGTGCGCGAAGGACTTGGGGGCATTTCCAGAAATGAGAGTTGTTCTATGAAGGTTCTTGTGTGGCATTGAGGAACCCACACGGCATTAAGACATGCCTCCACGAAAGATCCGCGTGGGGATTGCGAAAATATTTTTTCGTGAAAGTTCTTATGTAGCCCAGGTTTCGTTCTATGTTGCCGGCAGCTTCTAGGCTTTCAGTTTCCTGCTAGACTGCCCGGATGGCTCCGAAATACTTGCAGAGCCAAGGGGATCCGGAAACAGGTCTCAGGGCTGGATATTCGGCGAAAGTTCCGCGTAAGCCCCGCAGAAGTCGAGGTAGCCATTCCAAGGACAGCACTTATGTGAGGTGTATGTTGGCTGTTATTGGGATTCATATCTCTGAAATAGTGAAACCCATCCATTGCCGAAGGAACTGCAAGGCCCTGTATGGTTCTTGACTTGAACCCTAGGCCTGGAACCCTGGACCCTAAACCTTAAACCCCATCAGACACTTGATTTTGGGAAACCGCATTATCCCGACACGCGGAAAGACGTGCCGCATCATGTGGGGCATGTGCGGCAAGGAGCTCTTGATGGAGCTTCCGCGCGTGTGATCGGCTGATGGACTGAAACGACGAGAGTCTTCCGAATCATCTGCGCTGGCCAAGCGAAGACTTAAGCTGCTGTACAAATCATGTGTTTCACAATGTCAGATGTTTTCCAAGTTTCTTTTGGCGCTAGCACTGCGAGATGTGATAAGCATGCGTCCATGAAGTCTTCTGAAGGCAAAGCACTCACTGCAAGGGCAAGCGCTTGAATACTCTTAAGGAATGGCGATCTTGACTCCTGCCAAACGCAGCCATATAGATTGCTCGAACTGTTAACATGCATATACCAGATATATACCAGTATGCCAACATCACTCTCAGCCAGTCTGTTCTACACCTAACCCTGAAACCCAAAGCCAAACACCATTCCCGTGCTCGCAAACCCTAAACTTTACAGTCTGAACCCCAAACCCTGAGCCTGCTTACACGGAACTTGGGTACCCAAGGACTTTCTGCACTTGCGATCGGAAATCCCTCTCCCGAATAATGGGGGGGGGGGGGGGGACAGGGTACAGGGTTCAGTTGTTGTTGGAGCCTACGGAAGTTAAGGAGCAAGAGCCGGAAGCAAAACAGTTCTCAGCACTGGTACAGATCTTTCACCAGACTGATAGTAGGTCAATGGAAGGCGTAGTTTGTGCTTGGCTGCGCAATGACCTCCGCCTTCATGACAACAGCGTGCTGCACCAGGCTGGGGCAATGATTGAGCTTCAGTTTGCGTATCGGCGTTGCCCTCCAAACCCAAAGCCCTCGGCCCTACACTGCTTCCAATTGCAAAAAATCGAGAAGGCAAGGCCCGACTGTGAACTCAATCGATGCTGTCTACCAATAAACGGCCACCTGTGTGGCTTGTTACTGTGCTGGCTTCATGGGTTGAGCTTAAAGTGTTGCAAGAAGCCTTGCTACAATTAAAGCTTATGAGCCCTACAATGTGGTCTCTGGAAGGTAATGTTGTGCCATGGCTTGATCTGTTGTATTTTGCCAGCTGAAGCCAGAGTTCCTTGCAGGTGGCGAGGCATCATGGACTGGGGTCTTTCATGGAAATCAAAAGAGTGTAGGAATTATGGTGTGCCTTTGTGTATGTATATATATATATATATATATATATGGTGTGTTTTGAGAATGAGATTGCTGCCTCTGATACACAACGCGTCTTTCTGGTGTGTACACCCCTGCCTGGAGAAATCCAGAGGGCGAGGCGGGTGTAGTACCACCAATCCTTGATCGTTCGCCATAACTAGCCCTGAGCCCTACGAACCCTACTAAGCACACCCTGTTGCCCGAAGGCTGCAGCTGTGGCGTCCAGGAAGAACCTCCGTGTGCTTCCCGTGTACGACCGCTCCTGAGTTAAAGCCTTCTTCGGTGCCCGAAGCCCTGCAAGCCCTGTATTCTAACCCGTTTCCCTCAGCCCTGTATCGTAACCCACTTGCAAGCCCTGTAAACCCATCATCCCTATATCCGACACCCCTGGAACCCGAATCCCCACATCCCTACATCCCTACATCCCTGTATCCGCAGCCCCTGAAACCCCGACCCCCTGAAACCCTGAACCCTGAAAGCCTATGCCCCACATCCCTATATCCCAAAACTCCAAGCCCTAAACCCTCGCCCTAAACCCTAAACCCTAAAACCCTAAAACCCCAAACCCAGATTCTGGCCGCCGAGGTCTTCGACCCGCGCTACTTCCAGCGCACGCGCTACGGGACCCTCAGAACAGGCCCTCGCCGTCTCTTCGGCTTCATGGTGTTCATGGTTTAGGGTTTAGGGTTTAGGGTTTAGGGTTTAGGGTTTGGAAAGGGTGTAGACCTTTACCAAAAACCCAAATTTTCCCAAACCCCTAAAGCTTGAAACCCCAACAGTCGAAGGCAAGCAAGAAGAGCCCAGAGATGCAGGGGCTCTCCCCCCACTTCGCGGCCCCCAAAGTGCGTAGGTGATTGGAGATATTGGAGACTCCAGGGCTGGGACTTCATTCCCTGAACCACCCCCCGGGTATGGGATTTAGGGGTTAGGGTTTAGGATTTAGGGTTTAGGGTTTAGGGTTTAGGGTTTAGGGCTAAGGGTTTAGGTTTAGGGGTTAGGGTTTCCAAGATCTGAAGCTCCAACGAAAGCCTCCACCCAAAGAAAAGCTGCACTTGGGGATCCGTGTTCCTTGTTCAGACTCAATGAACCCTAAACCCTACCAAGCCCTACAAAGGCCAAACGCCTGAAATCCCCGGAACCCCCGGAGAAAGCAGAAGACCTGACAACCCGGAAACCCTGAAACCCGGATCATCCAGAATAATAATCATCATCATCATAATATTCTGAACAAGAATAAAACTCACCGTCTTCCCACGCAGGCGCTCTCCGCGGCCTCTTCTTGCTGCAGTCCGTCCTCGCCTTGCGGCTTAGCAGCCCAGTCGAAGCTCGCGGTCCGGGGGTTTGTAGGGTTTAGGGTTTAGGGTTTAGGCTTTAGGGTTTAGGGACTGGGGGGCTTAGGGGCTTAGGGTTACGGGGATTCGGGGCTTCGGGGCTTAGGGTTTTGGGATGAGGGGCTTAGGGTTATAGTGTCCAGGGCAGGGTTCAGGGTTAGGGCGGCCAGGCGGGGGCTACCGGGGGCCCATGCGGTTTGCTTTGTTGGGCGATGTCTTCAAGATTCCGCTTCCATGCCACCATGGGCCCTGAAAAAGCGGAAGTATTGGTCGTCAGGGTTCCGGGCTTGTGCTACTTTAGGGCTGAGGGTTTAGGGTTTAGGGATGAGGGTTAGCGGGTTTTGGGCTTAGATCTTCTGCTCATGGGTGGGCCATACTAGCCCCAATTGCCCTCAACTCTAACCGTCTTCACAGGGTGCCGACAACCTTCGTGATGCCAATGCGGACGAAGGGCGGCACGTGGAGCTGTTTGAGGTTCAGGGTTGTGTTTTGGGGACTGGGGTTTAGGGTTTAGGGTTTTGGGTTGAGGGTTTATAGGAAGTGGGTTCATGCATCAATCACTCACCAAACTCCGGCAAGAAATCCTACAAAGCGCCGAACCCTTACGCCCTACGCCCTCAAACCCTACACCTCGAAACCCTAAACCCTAAACCCTAAACCCTACATGTCGTAAGGAAGAGGCAGCTGCGACGAGTAGGCTCGGACCTCCTGATCAAGGCCTGGACGAGTCGGGACCCACTGAGGGGGAGCCTAATACCCCCTTAGTTAGGGAACGTACCTTACACGTTCCGCGAGCATATTGGGCAACTAGGTCCAAGTGGCCTGCCGGAGTAACTCAAGAACTTTCGGGCCACAGGTAGCAGTGCACGGAATAGTCTCTTCACTCCCTACCCCGAACCCTAATTATAAGTAACCCTAAACCCTAAGACCCCAAACCCCAAAACCCCATAAACTTTTAACCCGAATCCTAACCCTAAACCCTATAAATCCTAAACCCTAAACCCTAAAGTCCCCAAGGCTCACTGCAAGAATGGGCCAGGTCGGCCGCCCGGAGAAGGTCCTCCCAGCACTGCTCGAGCCTCACGCCGACACCTACGTTCTGACACAGCCACGGGCTTGGCGCTCAGGTTTAGGGTTTCGGGTTTAGGGGGGTAGGGGTGTAGGGGTTTAGGGGTTTAGGGGTTTAGGGTTTAGGGTTTAGGGGTTTAGGGGTTTAGGGGTTTAGGGGTTTAGGGGTTTAGGGGTTTAGGGGTTTAGGGGTTTAGGGGTTTAGGGGTTTAGGGTTTCGGGTTTTGGGTGTTTATAGGGCTTCGGGTTCAGGGTTTGAAAGGGAAGTTTTGGATTCATAGGGTTTGGGGTTAGGGTTTTTGGGTGTAGGGTTAGGGTGTAATTGGGGTGTAAGGTGTCGGGGCTAAGGTTTTTTTTGGAATCTCGGCGAGTTCGAGTTTGAGTGTCATGCTTTTCTTCTTCGTCACAGTCATCAACTTGTACATGGCGCATACTCAGAGCAAAGAGTCTAAGGAAAGCACGGAGAACTGAGTCCTAAATGAGAAAGTAAAGCCATTGTGATGCCTGCTCATATTGTGCAAGAGGTGGCTGTTCAAAGGTCCAGACATTTGCAGCCTCAAAGCCCAACACAATGCAGGATCTGTCAGACATCCAGACAGCGGAATACTTCTCAAAGCCAGCACCAGACCCTAAATTCTACTAGTGATACGTACCACCCTAACTAAACCCTAAACCTTAAACCCTAAACCCTAAATTCCGTAATTTATTGAGGGGCTTTGGGCTCTCTGGGCAGTGCGTCCCTCTTGGAGGCAAGAGGTCACCTCTGCTGAGCTCACGATTGACGGCGGAGTGCGACGGGCCTTGGACGACAGGCGAGATCCGTGAAACCCTAAGGGTTTAGGGTTTAGGGTTTAGGGTTTAGGGTTTAGGGTTTAGGGTTTAGGGTTTAGGGTTTAGGGTCCATGTACCTTAATATTATATACTTGGCCCCAGAGTCCCTATATAGGAAATACTTTAAGGCCCAAGTATTCCCTGTTTGGGTACATGGACCCTTAGGGAAAGCTGACCCGCTGCATCTAGCGGTAGATCTCTCTTGTGGCGTCGATCTGAGTTGCGAGCCTTCGTTTCTGTCGTGGTATACGTACTCCTTACTTTTTGGCGGGCCAAAACGGGATCAACCCAATATACCTTGGGGCCGGTCAGGTGCCAGTGGCAGTACTGCTGGGGCTCCACTCTCTTCCACAAGGAGTGGCTGAGAGAGAGAGAGAGAGAGAGAGAGACTTAGTAGTACTTGTAGAGTAGGTAGCCTTTATAACCTTTTTGGGTTCTTATATTCCCTTTTTAACGCCAAAGGTTAGCCTTTAGTTCCCTTAGGATACTGGAGACAGAGAGAGGGAAGAAAGAGATGACAGGGTGTGCCGAGTTTGGCGGACACAAGTGTCCCCCCCTGCGCCACTGCAAAACATAAGGCAAAGAAAGAGAGCGCAGACTTCTTGTGACAGATTAAATTAAGAAAAGGTCTTGAGAGAAACTTGATTCGCGAGCCTGGCGTAAGCCGCTGGGCCGCGAACCCGATCGCGTGCCAACGTGCAGCAGCAGAACATGCCTGTAGGACGACATTGGCTGTGCTTCCGGCCTCGACAATGTGCCCGAGCGCCTTGGCATGATGCTTAGGGTTTAGGGTTTAGGGTTTAGGGTTCAGGGTTTAGGGTGTAGGGTTTAGGGTTTAGGGTTGTCCAGCTTCGATTGGCGCAGCTGTTTTGTTCTGAGAGACCCCACTATCAAGCGGTAAGGAATCCTGTTCAAAGGGTATCTGGGGGGACCCTTCAAAGAAACACCGGGGGCTCACTGTTGTAGCCGGCCTTTGTGCTGCGGACCTCTACCCCAGGCCAAGTGCAACGACGTTTTTGAATCACCTTCGTAGGTGAAGTCACTGCGCATTCGCAGCTTGCCTGATCAAAGTGTGCCAGGCATCTCTAGAGTAGACTCGAATCAGAATCGCGACGATGCGGCAGATTTCCACGCACGACTGGGGGTCAATTGTGCTGAGGTACTTGTGGGAGATCCGAGGCTTGTTGCTGGATTTCACTCGGCAGCATGTCCGATTGAACACTCTCTGGAGGAAACTGGTGCGATTCCTCGCAGGGTATTCGTCGGTGTGAAGTGGGAGAACCCTCCAACAAGCCCATCCGGACATTCCTGTTGCTCGGGGCCACAGGGGCAGGCAAAACCACCTCTTTGAATGCCTTGGTGAATTATCTCTTTGGTGTCCAGTGGAATGATGACTTCCGGTTGCTCTTGAGCGATGAGACAACTGCAGACGCCAACCAGGCGCACAGCCAAACGAAGTGGGTTACCGCCTACGTACTGAACTGGTGCCTCTCAAAAGTACATCCTTGAAAGTGTACTGTCGATGTTTGGCAAGGACATTGCAGCCATTCTCGCCACCTTTGCCGACGCAGGATCTCCGCAGGTCAAGGCTGCCCTGCCATGGAAAAAGCAAGCATTCCGCACAAGACCGTTCTGAAGCTCAACAACTCGGCGCTCTTGGTTGACAATCGACTCGTGGACGGCGACGTTAACGCCACCGTCATCAGCACCTTCTCGAACATGGGCGCCGCCAGCTTCCAGAAGCTGTTTGAAGAGTTGGACAAGCTGAGCCCGAACAACAGGGCGTCAACTCGAGACGTCTTGCAAAGAAAGAAGGAAATCGAACACTGCATCCTGCACATTCGTGGAGGCATTCGACGTGGCCTATCCAGAGCGGCTAGTCTGCAACAGGAAATCGGAGTTATGCAGAAGTACATGTCGCAGATTGAAGCAAACAAAGACTTCATCTATACAGTAAATGAGCACAAGATTATGAAGCACAACTTGGAGCCCGGTGTGCACGTCACCAACTGCTTGAACTGCAACATCACGTGCCAGGATCGCAGCTCTGACTCCACCATGGGGATTTTTGAATCGGGAGTCTTCGATTAGGCCTGCGTTGCAGGCCGGCTGGCGAGTGCATCATGCAGCCTGGGCGGGAACTCAGGGCACCGGCAGCTCCGCAGATGCGGAGCTGCCGGTACTCTCAGCGCCCGCCCAGGCTGCACGCATGAGGCCTGCGCTTTTGCGGATGATAACCAAAAGGCTCAGTGCGTTGCAGTGGCTGCCACTGGTCGATGCACAAGAACATGCGATACTACTTCACCACGGAAGAAGCGCCTGTTACCAAGACAGCAGAGGAGGTGAAGAAACAATACGAAACAGCGAGCAAGAAGAAGCTGTCTCACCAGGAGGTGGTAGAGAAGATGGTGGGGGAATTTGTTGACGTGCAGATGGAGGTTCAGTGTGGCGTGGAAAGGGTCCGAACACTTGTGAACCTCCTGGCTAAGCAGGCCCTGAGGAACGAGCCGCTTTCCCAGAAAGATTATTTGAATCTCCTGATAAAGGCGGAAGAGCAGAAGCACGAGCCTGGTTTCCAGGATCGCATTGCGCAGCTCCAAATGGCACTCAACGAGGCAGAGTTGCGTGACAGTATGATGACCAACAGCTACGACCCCTTCAGAGACCACAAGGAGGCATTGGCCTCTTCCAAGTTGCCACCCGATGATCCTCATTGGCAAAGCCTTCGGCAGCGCTTTAGATGTGCGGCTCAAACAAAGTTTCCGTCGAAGTGAGGGAGTGATCGGATGCTAAGGGATGCAGGCATCCTGTGTGCTGTGCAGTTTTCTGAACAGCCTTCGTTTTGAGCACAGGCTTGGCACGCATGATTGGAATCTTTGTACAAAGCAGCATGGTTAGCAAAGAGTTGGCCCATCAGGGTGACGGCAGAGATCGGCCATCATCTGATGACTCGGGGGTTACACGGATTCCCGCTGCAGGGATCAGACGTAGACACGTGCAGAAGATGGAGCAAGAAATGCAGGGGCTGACACAGCTGCTGCAGCAGAACTCTGTGGCTTGACCATGCATCTTTTCTGCTAGGATAGCTCTAGGAAGTACTGGCTGGCTCCTGCAGAGCATGATTTCCCGCTCCCTTCTGTCGCCCAGGTACTTCAACCAGTTTGTGAAGTGCGTCTGGCCGGGAACATAGTTCGGCAAAACTGGGCTGCTGTCAAGGACCTGAACTTCATTTACATTGACAAGGAAACGATATCAGTTCCTCTCTACTATAATATACGGTATCATTTACTCTCTACTATCATATAAATATATACACATATATGATTGGTATCAGATGATTACCTGAGAGATAAGATGAAGTTCTCTTAGGAGCAACCGAGAAGGCAGCAGCTCCGACAAACTGGTCCAAAGCCCCGCGCCCCAGGTCGGGCCAGACGCGGTCCAGCTCTGCAGCGCAGGCAAGACGCATGGGGTTTAGGGTTTAGGGTTTAGGGTTTAGGGTTTAGGGTTTCATGTTGCAGGCTTGTGATCCCACGTAGGGATAACCTGAAGGTTACTGAGTACTTTTCAGTAGGGTACAGATGGTGTTAATCAGAGTTTCCCTAGGCTACTTGTAAGTTCCCATGAACCTGCAAGTGAAATTTAGGGCTTGCTTGGTCTTGGAAGGTGGACATTCCTCGCGTCGCGCAGCTTGTGCCTGTAGTCTCCTTAGGAGGCATTTGTTTTTTGTGCATCTATGAAAACCAAGGGAATAACCGTTGGTTGTATATGACTCAAAAATGAGTATGTTGATGCAGAAAACCCAAGGGATTTGTTTTCAATTCCTACATCTGTCTGTAGTTCCTACGACTATTTTTGTTTCTAACTGGGAAAGTCTAGGTACGACCGTGCTTGCCAGATCTGGCACCTGGGAGCCTACCGCTGCCCGAAGCTCACGACCTGGGTTTCGAGCCCGGTTGGCGCGCGCCTTGTTGAAGGATAGTTATTGCGTACTATTACTGTTCATGGTTTATTCCGCATACTATATATTTGTTTATGGTTATTATTCCCCATCCACAGTGGGGTTGTTATATTTTGAGGACAACTATCCGCATGGCGAGTGTCTCCGGACACCACAACAATGCAGCGCTCTACTAATGCTACCGCTCTGGATAGGAGGACATGACAGCTAGGAGATAGGACAGGAACGCGGACAGATATGAGGAGGACAGAAGTGGCCCAAGCCGGCGATTGCACTGCAAAAGAATGGCCATATAGTCATAGCGGCCAGCAGACCTGTAACGGCCAGCAGGCCTCTCAGGCCGGCGATTGCGCCGAAAAATGGTCGCCTCGTAATAGCGGCTAGCAGGCCTTTCAGGCTGGCCCCTTTCAGGCCGGCGAGCTTCTCAGGCCGGCGACTGCACCGCAAAACAGTGGCCATATAGTGAGGCAAACGTGCGTGAGGAACACGCATCCCAAACGAACTTCGGCAGCAACTGCAGTGACCGTCTCCTCTACAGGGTGGGGCCCCTCAGTTATAAATTGATTTATAACCTCTATAAATCAATTTATAATGTTCCTAACATAGTTTATAAGTTGTTAATTTCATGGTTTTGTTATAAAGTACTTGTTCAAGATATAAGTTAGTTATAAGTTTTTTGTGCCCAACTTATGAGTAACTTACACAACTTAGCTTTAAAAAACGTGTTTTCATGAGATCCATGCTCGAGACTGTCAGATATAGGATTTTGCAAGGTTATAGGCTCGGAACGATTGTTTTTCAGGTTTTTCTTGTCTCGAGGAGTTTCCACAGCTGATGTTCCGGGCCGGGCCGTGTTTTGCGAAGCGTTTGGCTTGGCACGCATTCGGGTCACATTCGGACATATACACCGACACGTCGGGGACACATCCGGACACATCCGGACACACGGGGGACACATTGGCGACATGTGGTGCAAAAGTGGGCGGACACACAGGAAAACATCGGACACACTCCAAAAAATGGGGCGGACACACCGGACACATCGCGGACACATCGCGGACACATCGGGTTTTCGACACACGCGGGGCACACGCGGACACATCGCGGACACATCCCCATATCCCAAGCGCATGCGCTAAACGTTTTGTGTCCTTGCCTGCAGCCGTTTCTCAGCCAGACAGCTTTCGTTTCTCCGCAACACCAACTTGCTTTGAGATGGCGTTGCAGGGCCAAGAGCACCTCTTCTTGAAGAGCGCCCAAAAACCTCTTCTTTTAACACATGGGCTCTGCATGATGATTTTTTACTACAAAAACAACATTTTGTAACTTATAAATCAACTTATCAGTTGGCTAACTAACTTAGCAAACTTAGTGTATAAGTTAGTTATAAGTGCTCTAAATTACATATACGTATCTTAACTTATTTATAACTAAGGGGCCCCACCCTGTATTTCAGGCCGCGCAGCAGCGCACCACAAGTGACGGCCTTATGCTGGAGTGGCACGCCCAGGGCAGCTAAGCTCAGAGACGACAGCTTCGTTAAAACTTGAATCCCCAACAGCTTGCCACAACAGAGGCTCCATCGGCGTAAGCCGTGCATCCCTAATCCTTGTAGTTTTCATAGGGCACCAAAAGTCGTTATTCGGAGGAGCCGAAAGTGCTGCCCCTGCCAATGAAACGACGTTTTAGGGCTCCGAAGAACTCCCCGGGCCCAGGCGAGAGCCCAAAGGTGCGAGCAGGCATAACTTGGAGCATCCCGACGCCTTGACATTGCTTGGTCTATGATTAAACCCTAATCCCTAAACGATCTGCACCCAGGCTTCCCTCCAAGAAAAGTGGATTGAGGTTGTTGTATAGTGCCGCAAGACAAGGCGAATCTGCTTTGCCGCCTTGCAACTTCTAGCCGTAGTAGAATGGGTCTGACCAGCGCACAGGGTGGGGATGAAAGAACCGCTTTTTTGTGAATAGTCATATTCATTGTCTTTTGTTGTTTATGACAATATTTTCATTACCATCTTCCTTTAAGGTTTAGATGTTTCGGGTTCATGGGTTAGGGCCTTTTTGTGGTGGAAAGTGCTTGGAGTTGCAGATGCCTGCCGAATGAGGATCTGCCATATGCGGAAGAGCTGCCAGAACCCGCCTCCTGCAAGGAGTTCTTCGGGGGGTTTAGGGTTTAGGGTTTAGGATTTAGGGCTGCCAGAACCCGCCTCCCGCAAGGAGTTCTTCGGGGGGGAGGCACTGGCTTTGGAGCGGCTGTCAGACTACGTGTGGAAGACTGACTTCCAGTTGCTTGGTTGAAGCAATTCAGGGATGTCCTAGGCAATCAAGGTTTTTTGCAGCTTGCTTTGTCTCAGGGTGTGCATTTCCAAGCAGAGTTTTTGCTTGCAACCATAGTTAGCAAAAGTATCCCTAAACCCCAAACCCTAAACCCTAACCCATGTATGGTTTGATCGCCCATCCCTAAACCCTGAACACTGAACACCCTAAACCCTAAAGGTACACGTTGCACTCAGACCGCCTCAAACACTTTGGCGAGTACTATGCGTCGAAACTGGGGCCATGGATAGCACACGGCTGCCTCTCACCGCGCAAGGCTACTAATTGCTTAAGAACCCCGAAAAAATGAAGATATTCTTCCTTGTTAAGGGTAATATAGGGTTTCTTCTAGTTTTATTCTTTTGGGGTTCTGGAGCAAATAGTAGAAGGTGTGCTTCTTAGGGTCGAGGGTTTAGGTTTTGAGGTTTGGGGTTTGGAGTTTAGGTTTTGAGGTTTGGGGTTTTGGGTTTTGGGTTTGGGGTTTTGGGGTTTCGGGTTTACAAGAAAAGCTAGTGTAGGAAGCCCTGATCATTTTCCAGTAGGAGACAATGGTTGGAGAAATATACCTTCTTGTGAACCCCTATAAACCCTAAACCTGAAACCCTGAGCCCTAGACCCTAAACCCTAAACCCTAAACCCTAAACCCTAAACCCTAAACCCTAAACCCATTGTTGTGCAGGTGTTTGAAGAGGTCCGCCGCTTTGAGTCTGACTCCCCGGGCGCGCCTCACACGCAGCGTTTGGCAGTTGAGCTGACGTGGCGGGATTTCTTCCGATTCCTGTCCGGGAAGCATGGCATCCCTTCTGCAGTGAATACCCCGAAAAATCCTCCCAAAGTTAAACAAATTCCTAAACCCTTGAATCCCAAACGTGGAGCCGTGAGTTGTGTGCAGATGTGTGCAGCTGAGGCAACAGCATCTTCCGCCAAGGCGGCCTCAAGGGCTACAAGAGGAACCTTTCTGCTTCTTAGTACGGACTTGTGTGGAGAACTGTAGGTCCCAGAGCGTTCCCTACTTAAACGGTCTTTCAAATACCTAAAACCCCTAGTTCCCTTAAAAAGAATCCTTAGCTAATCACTCAGATTTATGAGAAGGGGTATAAGATACTCATTTCCTTACTTCCTCATTCTGAGAACTTGAAGGCTCATGGGTACTTAGAGAAGTAGGGTCAGAAGAATCCGACATACGGTGTTATAGCCAATTCCAACTATACTGGCCCTGCTTGCAGCCCTACTTCTAAGTTCCCTAAGCCCTAAACCCTAAACCCAGAACCCTAAACCCTAAATCCCTAGACCAACAAAGTAGCCATGAGCCTGCAAGCAAGGAACTGGAAGCAGGACGTCCGGCTCTTCAACCTCTGGTCCGAAGGTCGGACAGGCGCCTCGGGAAGGAGCCGGCTGAATCACCCTAAACCCTAAACCCTAAACCCTAAACCCTAAACCCTAAACCCTAAACCCTAAACCCTAAACCCTAAACCCTAAACCCTAAACCCTAAACCCTAAACCCTAAACCGACCCTATGTGACGAAACCCTCAACCCTGCATGACTAAGCCCTAAACCCTAAACCCTGAAATACTGAACCCTAAAGCCGAAATTTCTGAACCTTGAACCCTAAACCCTGATTCCGAGACTCTCAACCTTGTACATTGACGTGTGCACGGCATGAGTGTATACCTTTATATGTTCCATGTATAGGCATAGTGTATATGTTTCTGTGTCTGTCTTAACGGTGTAGAATATAGTATGTATGCACATGCTAGTGTACGTACGAACATACATCGATGCGCTCCCCCACCGCCGTGCACGTTCTGTTGCAGCACTCGGCCCTGCGCGCAGGCTATCCGCTAGTGGACGCCTGCATGCGTGAGTTGCAGTCCACCGGCCTGCCTTCCAACCAAGCGCGGCTGAACGCGGCATCTTTCCTCGCCTGCAGCATGAGCTTTGACTGGAGGTGGGTCCACCTGGTTTCCCTGCAACCCCTAAACCCTTAAAAAGTAATTTAGGTTATACCACCCCGCCCCCTAGAAATAGAATGGAGGTCTTGAAGTCCCCGAAGCAATGTAGAATTGGCTCTGTAGCCGACTGTGTTGTGGGGAGAGAGCTGGCGGATGGCAGGCGCGGTGCGGATTGGTTTGAGAGCCATCTGTTGGACTACGAACCTGGGCAGCGGCAGCTACTGTCAGAACCGTTAGGGTTCAGGTTTAGCGTTTAGGGTTTAGGGTTTCCCCAACCGCCCCCCCCCCCCCCCCCCCCGAAATGTCGACCCCATGATTGGAACGTTATCTCCAATGATGACTGAGCGTCGCCCGGTCCTTATGTTCAGGGGTTGGGCTTACCACATCGTCCGTACGGACAGCACCCACGCCCAGAGCGCGCTTGGACGGTTTTTCGCGAGCCATATTCATGTTACTGCAGGGCCTACCACCCGAGATCATACGAGGAACATTGGTTTTTCGCTATTTCCCCCTGAGCTTTGGGCTTGGGATGGTTTGGAGGGTCGGATCTACAGTGCCCCCTATCTGGCCCTCAGTTGACAGGGCCGAAGGTATTTCAAGAAGCTGCAAGGTGTTAGGGCATACAGGCCTTGGTGCTTGGGGTTTAGAGATCAGGGTGTTGATCTGCAGTGCAGCCCTTCGCGTTGTGCACCTTTCCCAATCTTGAACTCCTCGCCCCGATGTGTTGTCCGAGGACGTTACATCCAACTGGGGAAACTGGGTTCGGTGTGCTGGCCTCACCGAAGGGCGTTTGGACTCTTTCAACGTGGTGCCTGAGCTGCCTTGTGCGCGCACACGTGCGACCTCGAACATGCGAGTTGGGCCTGCATATCCGCACTGCACATGGCACGTTTTTATGCACCGACACAAGTCATACAGATGCAACCGATTGTCGCAGAGCAAGGCTACCTGGCTCTCACATCCTGTGCCGTTATGGTTCCGCAGTCGCTGTTTTGTAAAGTGATATGGCCTGGCATCACATGATTGGTGGCTTGGTGGCTCGACACATAGGAGGACCCAGCAAGCATGTTCGCAAGCTATCAGTAGCATGTCTTGTAACAGGTCCGTTGGGCACGCTTTCGGTCTTGTAGAGCATCTCCATGTCCTGACCAATCCCGATGATACTCCCTTGCAAGCATGTGATCAGAGCATCGGAAAAGCCAACCAACCTATACGATTGGCCACAAAGAGCTGCAGGTAGAAGCTTGCGGTGTAAGGTTGGGGGGGGGGGGGGGGGGGGCTGGGAGGGGCTAGTATACAGGGTTGTAGTAGTAGAACCCATGAGCTGATAGGGTTTAGGGGTTAGGGATTGCCCATTTGCGTTAGTCAAACCCTGAGGTAAAGCAGTCGCAGAAGCTGGACCCCGACGGGGTGTACCTGAAGCGCTGGCTGCCCGAGTTGGAGCAGGTCCAGAAAAGTGCGGAATCACACGACCCGCACTTGGAGGTTCATGGACTTAGGGTGCTTACAGCCCTACTTAGAAGTACCCGTGAACCTCCAACCAACCCCTAGAAGCACCCAAGAACTTGAGGGTTGTTGCAAGTAGGGTTTCAGTTCAGCGGTTTCAACTCAAGGGAGTTTAGCTTTTTTGGCAAAAAGGATTTCAGCTCAACGGTTTAATTTCAAGGCAGACTAGGTTTTTTTGGTATTTCACAGCAAGGGGGCCTCAGTTCAGCTGCTGACAAGACTGTGGCCTGAAGGTTGCCGCCCCTCTGATTCACGAGCCGCCCGGTCCCAAGCACACCGATCCCGCTCCAGCTTTCCGCAGCGGGTTGGGTTTGGTTTCAGGGAGTTTGGCGCTTTCAGAACAGAGCTATGTCTGTCAAAGAAGGCTCCCGAAAAATGGATCTCAGCTTGCGGCAGTGTTCCGAACCTAAACAAACCTAGCCAAACCTTTCGAAGAACCGAAAGACCCTCAAAAAGCCTAAATCAACCGAAGCCTGAGGTGGCTCATGACCGCCGAGGAGGCTTCTGAATTGGGTGCATCCGCCTACCCGGCTCCCTGCATTGACCCCACCTTCTTCGAGGGCCGCCACGGACCTCGTCAGGGGGCTGCCAGGATTCCACCGGAGAGGTACAAGCTGGACGAAAAAGAGCTTAGCAGAGCGGCCAGAGCGGCCCATTTCAGCTCGAGTGTGTAGTTTTGACAGGTTAGATGGTGATCATGTAGCATGTACGGGGTAAATGTTTATATACATACATATATATATTATATTATATGTATGTATACATATTTCGACTCCTGAAATATTGGGTTTTACCTTAGGAGACAAGGAGGTAGATGATATAGTGTAGGGTTTCAGTTTCGCGGATTGAAGTGAAAGGGAGGACAGCACTGTGAAACCCTAAACCCTAATTAAGCCCTAAGCCCCAAACCGTTGCTTATAGGCTCAGGGGTCAGGAGATGGACGTTGGGACAAGTCAACGGATGCAACTTCCACATGGCATGCCAAGTGTAACATGGACATGCAGCTTGCTTGAAATCGCAAGTGCGAACTAGGGGTAGAGTTTAGGGTCTAGGGCGCAGGGATGAAGGTTTGGGGTTAGGGCTTAGGGTTTAGAACGCTGAAACCCTATGGAGGCAAGCGTCTTTCTGGAGTTTGCACGTCTGTAACCTTCGCCGGCACTGCACCTCTACACCGCTGCATCCCAGCTCTGCCAGGGGAACGGAAAGAGCACACAAATCAGCCATGCGTCCCTGCCCTGAGTAGCAGACAGCCGCCCAACAAAGCTTGCACATCCCACGTGGATCGGTCGGCCCTTGGGCCTCACAGACTCACCCAGCCCCACCTTCAACAAGCCTCCGGAATAGAGCACTTTATCCCACGGCTTCGTGATTCTGTGGTCTCCAGTGGTCTCCATACCACACTGAGACGCCGCAGCCTCAGCTGAGACAACGTTCAGCGAAGGGCACCCCAACTCAATCCCAAACCCTTCAAACCCTGTAAGCCCCAGTAACCCTACCAAGCCTGCACGCCTTAGAAACACCCCGAACCTGCCCAACCATGCACGACCTCTGGCCCTGTAAGCCCTAATAGAGTCCTATAAACCCTGAACCCCTTAAACCCTTAAACCCTTAAACCCTTAAACCCTAAAACCCTAAAACCCTAAAACCCTCAAACCCTAAAACCCTACAACCCTAAAACCCTAAAACCCTAAAACCCTCAAACCCTAAAACCCTACAACCCTAAAACCCTAAAACCCTAAAACCCCCAACTCCAATTCGATGCCTTGCGTGCAAGCCCAGGATGGATCCAGATCCTCGCACAGAAGATGCCCCTGAAGCTGCTACATGGGGCTAGGGTTTAGGGTTTAGGGTTTAGGGTTTAGGGTTTAGGGTTTAGGGTTTAGGGTTTAGGGTTTAGGGTTTAGGGTTTAGGGTTTAGGGTTTGAGGTTTAGGCTTTAGGGTTTAGAGTTTCGGGCTTACAGGGTGTTATAGGGGCTTATACAGGGTCTTATGGGGGTTTGATGGGGTGTTTGAAGGTTTCCAGGGTTTTAGCGGTTTAGGGCTCGCAGGATTCAGGGTTCACGGTTTATAGCATTTATAGGCTTAGAGGTTTTACATGCAGTCTGGGGCTTGTAGGGCTTGCGTGTTTGCTTCGGGTTTAGGGTTTGCAGAGCCTGTGCTATGAGGTTAGGGCTCCTGTTGAAGATGACTTCGAGACTCAGAGTGTTGTGCAGGATTGTTTTGACTGAATGAGAGACGAGAGAGAGAGAGAGAGAGTGTCAGGTCGGGAGAGAGGCACAGAGATGCCCTAAAGCCGAAGCCAGAAGAAAGCACCTCAACTTAAACCCTGAACCCCCAACCCCCGGAAAAAAGGGAAAGAGAGCGAGGGAGAGAGACAGCGAGAGAGCGAAAGAGACAATCAAGCCAGAGATGCACTGATCCGCAAGAGCCGCAGCACCCCACGCGTCCAAGGTCAAAGAGCACTTCACCCTCCGGAAACTCCAGGAGAGGGCTTGCGCCCCAGGAGACGAGCCTTAGGCCTTAGGGTTAAAACGCGGGTTTTGGGGTTGTAGTTAGGGTTTAGGGGCTTTGGAGCATCATTCCCGTGTTACGAACCTCCGAGTCAGAGAATGCGTAGCAGCCCTGCCTGCAAGCCTCCACATTTGCCACTTGAACTCCCCAAGCTTCAACTTCCTAATCCTAAACTCATACCGACCCGAGGGGTATCAGGGGGAGGAGATATGCAAGGGGAAGGGTCTAGAACCCCAAATGCGGATTTATTCCACCAGGGTTGCTACCCCTACAGGAAAACATCCCTAAGCCAGGGTTTAGGGTGTAAAGCCCTTGTGTCAGGCGAAGCTATCAATACGAATGCCTTAAGGCCCTAAACCCGAAAATGGCCCTAAAACCTGCCCCATGCCTAAGACAGAACACCCCAAATGGTGTCTACGCAAGCTGTATCGAAGGCAGAGCTTCCTAATTCCTAAACCCTAAACCTTAAAACCCTAAACCCTAAACCCTTGCAGAGTTGAGCGTGCTCTTCCCCCAGACGTTCCGAGGTGTGGCGCCTCGAATCAGAGAACAAGGAGCTGAAGGCACCTCTTCCGAGTTTTTTTTTCCCCCGGGGAGGTTCGGGTGTAGGGTTGAGTGCTTATAAAGGTTTTTGTTGGTTCTGCGGTGGCTTCAATTTTTTTTTTATGTTTGTGGGCTCCTCTGCAAAGGGAAAACGTTGGTCCCGTGTCTAGCAAGCGCGAGGGATCGCAGTTGTCCTTATTTAGTTCTGCACGGTTGGAGTATAGAACCATTTCTTCTTTTGGGTACACGAAGCTGTGGCAATACCGCTAGCAAAGATCACAGACTGGCTCAAGCCCCACATGCTTCTACGGCCTCTGAGTTCTTCAAGTCAGGTGAACAACTCCATCTTGCAGACGCAGTACACCTCGCAGTGCGAGACGCAAGCTGACATCCTCAGGAGCGCTCGTCGTATTCTGCACGACATCATCGACGGTGCCTGCTTACCATTATGAACCAGTATTTTCATGACCATAAGCGCGGCTATTGCTTCCACAAACCTTCTGATATCAGTTCAACGATTACGTCTTCACGTGCAATTGGCACACAGGTGCGGCAACATCGTTAGATCAGTTCTCTGGTGAAGGTCAAAGGAATCCATCCATGGCGCGCAGGACACTCCACTCCAACCTGGAGGACAACTATGCGACTATAGAGCGGCACGAGCGAAGAATTCTGGAGCCGCCTGCCTAAGCCGGCGAGCTTCTCCCGAGTGGTCCCGCACAAGAGGCTCCGTAGGTTTGAAATTCCACTTCCGTGAAAACGCTTCCAAGTGCATACTGCTTGCATGGAAATCGTAATGATAGTCATGGCCCTCGTACTGATGACAACATCAATAGCAACACTACAAGCCTCATCGTCGCCTTGTTCATAATGTAGTTTTGGGTCTACGGTGTACAGGGCTGTTTGGAGTTTAGGTAGCCTCTGCCCAGGTTGGAGCAGATGCTTGACGTGGGCGGCTGAGAGTGGGAAGATGACAGGGATTGGTTGGGGGGTGGGGGTGGAGGGGTTTAGGGCTTAGGGTTTAGGGTTAGCTTGACATCCTGCGGCTGCAAGACATGTTGAGGGTTTAGGGTTTGGGGTTTAGGGGTTAGGGTTTAGGGCTAGGGTTGCGGGTGGCTGAGGACCAGAAGCAGCAGGCGAAGGACGACCTAGAAAGAGAAATGGCCCAGCCAGCGGCTCAGGGGGGCAACCCTCCGTCGAACATTTCTCCCTTGCGCCCAGAATCCCGAAAGCGGCTTAGGGTTTAGGGTTTAGGGTTTAGGGTTTAGGGTTTAGGGTTTAGGGTTTAGGGTTTAGGGTTTAGGGTTTAGGGTTTAGGGTTTAGGGTTTAGGGTTTAGGTTTATAGGGTTTAGGGTTTAGGTTTAGGGTTGCTTGCCAAGGAAAGACAACAAAATTGCGGAGCTGAAGACGCAAAAGGAAGAGCTAGAAGACAAGCTCCGGGAGGTCGGGTGCTGCTGAGGAAGTGCTGCCAGACTCAACTCTTCGACTTTAGCCCTAACCCCAACGGTTTAGGGTTTAGGGTTTAGGGTTTAGGGATTCGGGTTTCGGGTTTAGAGTTTAGGGTTTAATTCAAAGTAAAAGCTCCTGTTAAATCCTAGAGCCCTAGCCTTGAAGCCCGAAACCACAACAAGATGAAGAGGACCCGAAACCGCCCTAAACCCTAAACCCGAAACCCTAAACCCTCAACCCTAAACCCCAAACCCTAAACCCTAAACCCTAAACCCTAAACCTGCCCGCAGGTGCGCGAGTTCCAGAGGGACAAGGAGAACATGGAGAAGGAGCCAAGAGCCTGCGGATGACTGAGGGTTTAGGGTTTTAGGGGTTTTAAGGTTTTAGGGTTTTAGGGCCTGAGGGCTTCATTTTCTTCAGGGTTTTAGGGTTTCAGGATTTAGGACTTTAGGGGTTTACGGTTTTTTATTGCTTTTCGGGGTTTAGGGTGTAGGGGTCAGGAAGCCCCACACACACTGGAGCCTATGAGCACTCAACTTACCCCCCGCCCTGAGCACCCCCAGTACACCCTACACCCCAAACCCTAAACCCTAAACCCTCAACCCTAAACCCCAAACCCTGAACCCTGAACCCCAAACCCTAAACCCTGAACCCTGAACCCTAAACCCTAAACCCTAAACCCTAAACCCTAAACCCTAAACCCTAAACCCTAAACCCTAAACCCTAAACCCTAACCCTAAGCCTATACGTAGACATGAGCCTTTAACTTGAAACCCTCAGCCATCTTGCTTGCAAGGAGCTCGCCTCACTGAAGCAGCAGCTCGAGGAGAAGAAGGAGGCGCCGAGAACCCAGTGCCCGCAGCGGTTTGGGGTTTAGGGTTTAGGGTTTAGGGTTTAGGGTTTAGGGTTTAGGGGTTAGGGGTTTAGGGGTTTAGGGTTTTAGGCTTGAGGGGTTTTCAGGTGCTTTGATTGTGAGCTTCATATGATACTAGGTGAGGCTAATGTACAGAGAGGCTTTGATTAGAAAAAACGAAAACACTCGTTTTCAGGCGCTCATTGTGAGAGCTTGATATGATACGATGTAGGGATCTTGTACAGAGAGTGTGGTTACATAAAACCCTCGTTTTCGGGCTCTTATAGGGCTAAGGGTTCAGGGTCGGTAGGGTTAGAAGGGCTTTGGGGGCTTCGGGTCTGGGGATCGTGGTCTTTAGTGTTTCTGGGGTTTGGGTTTGGAGTTGTCAGGTTTTGGGTTTGACCTCCGGGTTTGGGTTTAGGGGTGGCAGTCTCGCAGGAGTTCGCCCGGAAAATGAGCGACTTCGACCGGAAGAAGGCCATGGACATGGACAACCTGCGAAAGGAGAGTGACCTCACCTGCAGGTAAAACGTGTTGTTTTCTTCTTCCTTTTGGGGTGTTGGGTACCACATGTAGGGCCGGTTTTGCAAGCAAGGGCTTGGGGTCTGGGGTTCAGGGTTTAGGGTATAGGGTTCAGATTTCGCTCTGCGCAGGACATGGTCAAGCGAGTGGAGGATGCCAATGAGATGCTGAAGGCAAAAACCAAGGACCTCTTCGCGTGGATCTTGCGAGCATGAAGCTGGTTCTTAGTAGGGAATGAGGGAATTAGGGCTCTATACCTCGTACCCCTTTAAGGGATTCTATGGGGTACCTCATTCCCTCGTTCCCTCCTACGACCCAGGGGGGAGGGTTTTTCTCAGGTGATGCAGTGCTGATGTAGGGTTAGCTGGGCTTTTCTCGGAGGGCCAAGCCCAGAACAAATGCACCTGACGTCCAATGTTCGGCTTGTCCATCTTGCGGTGCTATATATGTCGGCCTCCGTGTAATCTAGTGGTCAGAATAATTATGTTTATAGTTTCCGTTATGGTCCCTTTATGTTTTTACTATCATAACCCCCCAAACCCTATTCTAGTTCTGACGGCCCCGCGTCTCGGAACAAGGATGTGCAGTGCATGAATTGAACTCCCTCTGCTCGACTGATGGCATGTTCCAGCGCTGGCGCATTCTTAACAAGCCGACAGCATTGTGACCAGGAACCCCAAACCTTAATCCCGAAACCCTAAACCCTAAACCCTCCGCGCACGCGCGCGCGCGGTCGGTGTGCCCAAAAGGATCAGTTGGACTCCACCACCAAACGAACCATCATGGAGAACGAGCAGATGGTGGGCCTCTCTTTCTTTCTCTTAGGGTTTAGGGTTTAGGGTTTATAGGGTCTAGGGTCTAGAGTTTAGGGTTTAGGGTTTACAGTTTAGCTTCTCTCTCCTCTAGGTAGCTCCTTGCGTGAATCCTCACCCGCACACCCATCCCCGACCTCGCCTGACTCGCCCAGTTTACAGAGCTCCACTTCCAGAGCAAGGAGACAGAAAAGCTGATGGACAGGCCTTGCCTCCTGACAGGTGCTTGTTGTTGTTGATGTCTTCAATCAGCCTCCCACACTCACGTTGTGCGTTTTAGGGCTCAGGGTTGCCCACCCCACGGCACAAATACAGCCAGGAACCAGTCTCTCCTCGAAGAGAACGCACAGCTGCGACGGAACCTTCTCATCCACAAGGATCGCGCAGCCAATCGGGGCAGGGTGTGGTGATGCTCGGAGTGTAGAGTCGGGTAGCGTGGCGTCAGCAAACCCTGAACCCTGAACCCTGAACCCTAAACCCTAAACCCTAAACCCTCGTCTCGGAGCAGGACTTGGAGAATGAGCTGGCTCGACGGACCCATCTATACCAGCGACTACTCAAGAAGATGGATCAGAAGCATTCCTGGCTTGTTTGGTTTGGGGTTTAGGGCTCCTCGCTGTTTCTGCTCTGCACTTCCGCTGCTGGTCCAGCTCACTTTTTTGGGTTTTTGGGCTTGAAGTTTAGGGTTTAGGGTTTATAAGACTTAGTGTTTAGGGGTTACCTGATAAGGAGCGGTTTTCAACTTATGAGTTTGTATCCAGTGCGGCTGACAGGTTGAAGTCAGAGGCCGCGCAGCAAGAGCAGCCTCGGCCTTGGTGAACTGCCAGGGTTGCTCAGGAAGTGCGACGATTTTTAGATGAAGGGTTTTAGGGTAATTGTAGGGTTTAGGGTTTAGATTAAGGGTTTAGGGTTATTGTAGGGTTTAGGGTTAGCAACCAAGCTACTCGTACCAAGACGTGCATGAGCTGTCGGATTTGATTTTCTGCGCCGTTTATGGTTGCAGTCAGCCTATGGCGGGAAGGTCTCGCGAGTTCAATCCATTGAAGTCGACAGAGTCTGCAATGCCGGAGCAGGACTGTGCGCGGCCAGTGACGCAAGCTCATGATTCATGCCTTCCGTTGCTTCAAAAGCCCAGCGGTAGACCCTAAAGCCTAAACCTTAAGCCCTAAACCCTAGACCCTGAACCCTAAACCCTAAACCCTAAACCCCAAACCCTAAACCCTAAACCCTAAACCCTAAACCCCAAACCCACTCGTGTGCGGAGTCCAGAAAGTACAGGAAAGCTTCTCGCTGGGTGGCTCCCGGGAGGTGTCTGGAGGCCATCCGCACAGCTGGGTGCCCAGGTCCAAACGGGTTTCGGGTTTAGGGTTTGGCGTCACATGTCTTTCCTTAGGGTTCAGGGTTTAGGGTTTAGGGTTTAGGGTTTAGGGTCTAGGGTCTAGGGTCTAGGGTCTAGGGTCTAGGGTCTAGGGTCTAGGGTCTATAGGGTTTAGGGTTTAGGGTGAGAAGCTCACGGACTGTTGGGGTTGGACTTTAATTTCCGGCCGCCCTTTGGGATGAGGCTTCGAAAGTCTTGCAGCAGGAACCCTAAACACTAAACCCTAAACCCTAAACCCTACAGGGTTAAACAAAAAAAGAAAACTAAACCCTGACGAAGCTGCATTCTTGAGGCACCAGCCTCTCCATGGAGGAGATAAGCCGCTTGCAGAGGCAGGTGGAGGCCGGGCCCAGCTTCGCCGAAAGGGTCTAGGTTCAGGGTCCAGGGTTTAGGGTTTAGGGTTTGGGGCGTTTCGGGAACACAGCAGGTGGGAAGCAGGTTGGAATAGCAGCTGGCCAGTTCAGGCCCTTCTGAGGGTTTTGGGGTTCCTCGGTCCTTGTTTTCGTGTGTTCATCCTAGATCCATAAGTTCTCTACCCTTTCGACTGCCCGAGTCCTTGATTTCCAAAGCCCGAAGTTGTTAGTCCTAAGCTCGGCAGGATCACCAGAGCACGCTGCAGATGGCCAGCAGCTGAGCCCTACTAAATTGCAGTTGAGACGGCGCGTGAGAACAGGACATTCCGATATAGACTGGTAGACCTCAGGTTCTAAATTACAAGCCTGCCTGCAACCAAAACCTAGTTATAGGGCTCCGAGGAGGAGTTGTGTCACAGGGCTTTAGGGCACGAGATCCTTGGTCGCTCAGGTGCGGCATGAGTTTGCACAATATCGGCGCGACCATGCGACCCTGGCCCAGCTTCAGGACGCAACGCTGCCCGAGCTGCACTGCCCAGCCTTTTTCATTTTCAGGGGTGGTGGGCTTTGTAGGCTCACCCAGCAAGCACAAAAAATCTAGCCCCCAAAATCCTGAAGCAAACAAGCTCCCAACTCTGAACCCTTCAGGACCAGAGCACGCGCCTGATCATTTCCGCTCTCTACGAGCTGAAGCAGCAGAAGGACAGGGATGTGTGTTGGGCCGACGCCTAAACCCCACCAGATCGACCTGCCCGGCAAACCGCTTGCGTTGCTGGTGCAGACATGCTTATCGAATGTCCTGCCTGGCGGAGGATCAAGCTCCCTTCCCTCCCACGTCGTCCACTCCTTACACGGACAGATCGTTCTACTTTGCAACGCTTGTTATCAGGCTAGACATTCCCACGAGGTACGACCCTGATGCTGAGTGGCAGTTCAGCAACATGACGCCCAAGCAGAAAGAGTGCGCCCAAGTGAAAGCATGGGCTTCTCTAAAACTGGTTGGTTTGGAAGAGCCTTCTGCATGCAGATGCATGGCGCCAGCGAAAGTCGTAGTATAAGATGAAAACCTCGACAGACAATCTCACGTGGAGGTACTTTTTCCGTGTTCTGCTGGAGAAGCTCAACAGCAGCATGTGCGCGATGTGCTTTCCTGTGGGTCCGCAGCTTTGCCTTCTTGCCTGCTGCAATCAGACTCTGCACTGTTAATGGATCTAAGCCTTCAGAAATGTAAAGTACGCAGGCGGTTTTGGTTACAGCGCCCCTTCCACCTAAGCCCTAAAGCCTTGAACCTTCCAGAAAGTCAAACGGCCTTGGGTGCTTAACTTGCTGTTGCTTAGTAAGGAATGGAGGAACGAGGTACCCTATATGATCCTTTAAAGTGTATATATGGGGCCCTAATTCCCTCATTCCCTGCCAACAAGCAGTGAGACTCCAGCCTAAACCCTAAACCCTAAACCCTAAACCCTAAACCCTAAACCCTAAACCCTAAACTCTACTTCCCTGCTAAACCAACAGTAAGCTAAGCAGAGACTCCCGAGGCCCTCAGGCGGCCTCCACAGCAAGCCTGCCGGCCATCGGGAAGACGGAGCAAGGGGGCAAGGAGGCTCCATACTCCGCCCTAGAGTTTAGGGTTTAGGGTTTAGGGTGTAGGGTGTAGGGTTTAGGGTATGGGGGCAAGGAGGCTTGGGGATTGTGTGGGTTTATGGGTATTGTGCGGGTGCTTGGGTTGAGAGTTGAGAGGGTTCATGGGTATGGTGTGGGTTTCCGGGTATTGTGCGCGTGTATGGGTTGGGGATTGCGAGGGTTTATGGGCATTGTGTGAGTTTCTGCAGTGAGGGTTTAGGGCTTATAGGTGTTTGGGCTTGTGTGGGTCTAGCGAGCTGAGGGTGTTAAGGCTCGGCAAGTCGGCAAGTGTCAAAAAAGCCTCACGCGTGCAGGGAATGCGCTTCTCCCAGTTCCTGTGGTCGGTGGCCACTGATGGCGGGCCCTCCCAAGGCATGTGGGAAGCAGGGTATATCACAGGCTTTAGGGATCTTTAGGCCCGAGTTTATATAAATGTATGGGCTTTGTTGCGAGTTTTGGTTGGAGTCATGATTTTGGGAAGTTGAAGTTGAGGGGAAGCGTTGGGGCGTGCAGTTTAAAGTTGCAGTGGCTTCGGGGTGTGTGGGCGGGGGGGGGGGTTTGCGGCAAGCATTCGGGCACTTCAGCCGTCACTCTCGCGTGAGGTCGTTGACCCCTTTCCCTACATCCATACCGTAGCTTGATAATGATGAAAAGCTGCAGCTTAGCATGCCATTCTCTGGAAGGCCTTCGGCAAGAGATGTGCACGAAAGCCTGCCAGACGGAGACCAGCACGGCAGATCCATGTTTGAAGGAGCACCTGCTGCGGGAGGGCAGGGAGTGGCTTTTAAATATGCAGGGATCCTGGGTTCTTTGAACTCAGGGTTCAGGGTTTAGGGTTTAGGGTTCAGGGCTTAGGGTTGCTATTCATATAGCTAGACAGCGAAAATAGAGTTCCTTTAGTTCCTTGAGAAGTTCATTCTTCCGTTCTAGGTCGGTCAAAAAGCTGCCATATGCTCCTATAGACCTATACGGGTTTAGGGTTCAGGGATTTGGGCTCAGAGTTCTTGGGTGGTTCATCCGCTTTGTGCTTTGTTCCACTGCAGGGTGTGCCGAATTGTTGGTAAACTTACACGCGGGTCGTTGAACGCATAGGGTGGGACTTTCTGGGGGACTTTGTAGGGGCTAGACAGGCAGACAGAGTCATGTGCTGGCGCGTGTTCCCGACTCCTCCTCCCCGCCAGACCTGCCCCCAGCTTCTGCGGAGAGCAGCGGAAGTTTTATTTCCGAGAGCACTTCCTACTTTGTGCCAATGGCTATGGAGAAGATCCTTAACCCTAAGCTGCCCTAAACCCTAAACCCCTCTTACTGGTACTCCGGGTAGCCACCACCACTGTGATGGTCAAACTTGGGGGAGCTTCAGGAAGCCGAAACTTAAGACGCAAAGGCCTTTAGGGTTTAGGGTTTAGGGTTTAGGGTTTAGGGTTTAGGGTTTAGGGTTTAGGGTTTAGGGTTTAGGGTTTAGGGTTTAGGGTTTAGGGTTTAGGACCTTGCAGAGCCCAAAGCTTCTCTCCACTTCCTGGTTCGTAGTAGGGGATGAGTGACTTAGGGTCGTCTAGGAGAAGATCAAGCACCTAACTCCCCAATCCCCCGTCAAGAACTGGCAAGTTGGCCCACAAAAACTCCCTTAAACCCTGAACCCTGTGCCCTAAACCCTAAACCCTAAACCCGAAATCCTGAACCCTAAACCCTGTGTGCAGGAGGGGATCTGGAACCCGAAGGGCAAAACCGCGAACCTCAACTCGGCGGGCATGCTCACTGCTGGCATGGTGCCCCTCCAAGTGGGCCTTCACGTCTAACGCTTTTCAAGTAGGGCTTAGGGCTTAGGGCTTAGGGTTTAGGGTTCAGGGTTCAGGGTTTAGGGTTGCCTCCAGAAGCCCAAAACCCCCTACAGCCCGAAACCCGCGAAACTCAAACCCTCAAAGCCCTAAACTCTCCCCTAAGACCCATCCCCAGCAGCAGGAGGGCTAAAGCTTCGTCTCGAGCGAATTAGGGTTTAGGGCTTAGGGCTTAGGGCTTAGGGCTTAGGGCTTAGGGTTTCGGGCCACGCTTCCATGATATTTAAAGTAGGGTGTGGGGTTTAAAGGTGCATGGTACTGTACCCTAAATAACGAGGCATCTATGGTTCAGAACCTTTTTCCGGAACACGCTACAGCGACCAATCTTTACGAACGCCTCTGAAAACCTTGGTCGCCCAGTGGTACCCTCTTGCCCTCTTTTTTGGTTCTTGTTTGCCTTGTAAAAGCAGCAGCCTCAAAAAGAGTACCCTTATTCGGAGATGGTTGCTGGGCTACCGAACCCTAAACCAAGAAACTCTTCAATGCCCATAAGTCAGGTGGCTGGCAATGTGAGGAACTGGGGCCCAAAGGCGGTGTCCCACCGGACCCGCGGCTTCTGAGGTTGAGGGTTTAGGGTTTAGGGTTTTAGGGCTAGAGGCTTTCTAGGCTTAGGGTTTAAGGGTTTAAGGGTTGAAGACTTTGTCGGTGTTGTCGTTCACGAGCCTTGTAATTACAGGGACAAGGGCTTTGAGGACGATTTGGGAAGGACTGGCTTGGAGTTCGAGAGAAGGATTTAGTCTAGAGTCTAGGGGAAAGGACGAAGAGACCGTTGTTCCTGGCGCAGCTCGTCAGTTCTCCGAAGAGCCGAGAGAACCAGAGGAATGTGTCTCACCTGCCGGCGCCGCCAAATGGTGGTGCTTGCATTCCCCATTCTAAGGTCGCTGAATGTGAGATGAGTTGCTGGCTACGCCAACCTCACCCTGAACTGTAGGTCGAAATATTGTTACGAACCTGGAGGTGCCGCGATGCATGCGCCAGGTGGTACAAACACGTGCCTCCCGAGGCACCTCGGCGGTTGGTGGGCTAGTTGCGTCTCATTCGGTGCCAGTTGCTACGCGTTTCACTGGCCTCGCAGTCCTCGGGGACTCAAAAATGTGTCCTCGAAAGTCAATGGCTCCAACTGAGATGACGGTACAGGGCAACCAGTCCTGCGAAACACAACTCATGGTACTTGCAAGGCTGCCATTGACTCTGGCCAACCACGCTTCAAGCCCAAAACGTGCCTGGCGCACTGCTTGCATCTGATCCTGTGGAGCATCGTGGGTTGCACGCTGTCCTTAGGGCCTAAACCCTAAACCCTGAACCCTGAACCCTGAACCCTGAACCCTAAACCCTAAACCCTAAACCCTAAACCCTAAACCCTAAACCCTAAACCCTAAACCCTAAACCAAGCATGGGTTGCACAGGGCCCTCAGCAGAAGCAATTTTGGCCCATCGGGCAGAGACTTTGGGAGCCAAGAACAGCCAATCTCTTCCAGGACATTCGGCTGCCAGTACCTGCTGGGAGGTTCATGGGTTTAGGGTTTGGGGTTTGGGGTTTAGGGTTTAGGGTTTAGGGTTTAGGGTTTAGGGTTTAGGGGTACTTACGAACCAATTATAACTGTACTTATAACCCACTTATAAGCCCCTTAAGTGCCCTAAGATGGTTAAAAGTATAGTTAGAAGTACAGTCGTGATTGGTTAATAACTACCATGAACCTGCAAGTAGCTGCCATGCTGCTCGCTATACTGTAGAGGGCTGCAGAGTGAAATCCGAGACACGGACGGTCCAGAGAGTTGCGCAAGACGTTGAACCGCGCAGAGCGCGGTGCCCCTAACAGCATGTTTATGTGCTTATGCTCGATGTACACGCTTCTTGCTACTTTAAGGTGATCATTACTACTTCCCCTAGATCCTACCTTCTACCCTAAGCTGTACCCTAAACGCTAAACCCTACACCGTAAACCCTAAACCCTAAATCTCTCTTACTATATCTTACTATATATATATATATATATACCCGAATGGGTTTCGTGGGCAAGGCACAAACCTTGGTGGGCAAGGCACAAACCTTATTGGGCAAGGCACAAACCATAGTGGGCAAGGCACAAACCTTAGGGGGCAAGGCACGCCCGTGCCTTGCCTACTAAGATTTGTGCCTTGCCCACCAAGGTTTGTGCCTTGCCCAACAAGGTTTGTGCCTTGTAATCAAGGTTTGTAATCAAGGTTTGTGCCTTGCCCGCTAAGGTTTGTGCCTCCCCACCAAGGTTTGTGCCTTGGGCAAGGCACAAACCTTAGTGGGCAAGGCACAAACCTTAGTGGGCAAGGCCTGCCACCCCCCACCGCCGCCTTCCCTGCCCTCCTCCCCCCCTCCTTCCTGTTTTGGGATTCAGCGTTTCAACAATTAATTAGTGTTTAGTGAGCTTTGGGTTTCGGGGTTCAGGGTTTAGTGTTCAGGGTTTATGGGTAGAGTTTTTGGCTTAAGGCTTAGGATTTTACGGTGCAGCTGAAATGAGAAGTGTATGTAATCTTAATGTTATGGGATTTTCTGAATTGGGTACTTCTCCATCACACGAAGAAAAAGCTTGACTAGTGAAAGCTAGTACACGAGCTGCTGAACCCTAAACCCTAAACCCTGAACCCTACTCCTCGCAACCTGGGGAGGATGTCACCGCGGCCAGCTGCTGCAACTAGACCGGGGCTCAGCTGTCAAGTTCTGCATGAAGAGAGACGCTCACACACCAGGGGCTCAGGTTGAGGGTTTATTGAGGTTGATAGGGCCTTTACAGGGCTGAATAGGGACTGATAGGCTTTAGGGTGTAGGATTTTTCGGGCTTCTAGGAGGTTTATGGAGTGCCGATTGTCGAAGTTGCAGTGGTGACATGGCACGGCGGTCGCATCGCCTGGTGCAAATGTCGATGTCTGCAATGTCTCCTCTGTTCTATAATGCCAATCCATAAACTCCTATAGCCCCTAGAACCCTGTGAACCCATTGCCCTATAAGCTCCTAGAAAACTCTACGATAAGACCCTATAAACCCTTATCTTAATGAACCAGCCCCCTAAAAAAGTCCTAAAAAAGCCCTCGATAAGCCCTCAACCCGAACATGATGCATCAGCGAAGGCATGCGGTCCGAGCCGGGCGCTCGGCTCGCCTTGTTTCGCCTGCTACTGTCTAGGGCCTATAGGGAGTTTTGCAGGGTTTGTTGTAGAGTGCTATGGGAGTTTCAAGGGGTTAGGAATTGGGGATTCGAGTTTGTAGGATTAGACGGTTTCTGGGGTTTATAGTACTATGGGGCAGAAACCCGGAACCCTAAAGCCTAAACGCTAAACCCTCCTGAACCCTAAACCCTAAACCCTAAACCCTAAACCCTTCTTCAAAGGACTTTGGGCCCGGTGGCTCTTGTTGGTGCGGGGCCTGGTGATCCGGAGCTGCTGACACTGCCCGGGGCCCCAACGCTGGTAAAGGGCGATGCCGAGTAGGGTTTAGGGTATAGGGTTTAGGGTTTAGGGTTTCGGGTTTAGGGTTTAGGGTTTAGTGTTTAGGGTAACAAATATGCAGCCCGTCTGGAATCTCGGATGTTGAGTCAGAAGTGGCTGGTCAGAGCTGTGCTCTAGACTAGCCAGGGCGTAATCAAGGGGTCGGAATAATCACACAAATAGTATTCCCTTATGGTCCCTGTATCATTATAATAACCCCCAAGGCCCTGGTCTAATCATGAAGGCCTCTGTAGTAGGTCACACGGCGCTGTGGCGAAGTCACACGCTACGGAAGAAGACTGCGAATGTGGTACCATAGCCGTCTTCCCTATAGACCTTGAATCCGAAAAAACCCTAAACCCATGTTCGGGCTTTGCCCAAGCAGAGGCGCGCTGTGCGTCGTCTGGAGGAGCCGAGGGATATATAGGTTGCAGGGATTGGGCTCTATAGGGTTTGGGCTTGAGGCTATTAGGCTCAGGGATGTAGATAACTATGGGGATTTAGATTTAGGAGAGTGTTTACCGATTTTGTAGTTTTTTTGGTTTGTGTGTGTGTGTGCGTTTGCACGCCCCTAAACCCTAAACTCCAAACCGTAGTAAATCGTTATCCCCGAGCCCTAAACCCTAAACCTAAACATCTCCGCCACCCGTCCCAGGTGGCGGTTGGGTGGGGATACAGTGATCAAGGTTTAAAGTGTTAGGTTTCATGTAGGGTTTGAGGTTTAAGGGGTTAGGGTTCAATTTTAGGTTGGGTTTAAAGGCTTAAGGGGTTTAGGGGTGGAGGGTTCCGGGTTTCGGGCTGAAGTAATGATCAAATTATGGGCCAAGGCTTGGATGTCTGATGGGATCGGCAGAAGTGAGCCCAAAGCCCAGACAGTTTAGGGTTTAGGGTTCAGGGCTTATGTAGGGTTAGGGTTTAGGGGTAGCTCCTGATCCTGGAGCACCAAGATCAGGCTGCTGACGTGGTGCTTCACGACAGCCTCATCCCAGAAGAGGCCCAGACGTGCATGGCTCGAAAGCTGTTAGCTCCGCAGGTCCGATATACCTTGTGAGGAATAGGGTTCAGGGTTTAGGCCAGCGATTGACTGTGGTGGAGTCCGGCTTGGTGATATCGTGAATCCACCATCTTGCACTTGCAGACAGTTGGAGATCTGAGGAAACTGGTTAGGGGTTCAGGGGCTTGGGGGTTTAGAGGGTTTAGGGCAGGTGCCCTGGGTGAGAAATCATGGCTGTATCCTTGCCCCTCCCGAGCAACAAAAATGCGACTCTGCACCAGTTCTGCCGGTGTTTTTTGCGGCCAATTCTGCGCCACCCACCCACCAACCCTTTAAACCCTAAACCCCAAACAATAAACCCCAAACCCCAAACCCCAAACCCCAAACCCCAAACCCCAAACCCTAAACCCCAAACCCTAAACCCTAAACCCTAAACCCATGGGCTCTGCGAGGTCCTGAACATGGTGCCCCGACGCGCGCAGCTGATCAACGTGGGCAAGCGATGTGGCGATGTCAAGGCTCTTGTAGTGGCTGCTTCATATTTGGGGGGTTTAGGGTTTAGGGTTTAGGGCCTAGGGTTTAGGGTTTAGGGTTTAGGGTTTAGGGTTTTAGGGTTTAGGGTTTAGGGTTTAGGGTTTAGGGCTTCATTTAAATAGGGGGTAAGGGAAGAATTACTAGTAGTATTCTCGTATATGGTTGGGGGCTGCTTAATATACAGGGGGGTAAGAGAAGAATTGCTAGTGGCATTCCCTTATGGGTTGCCATAGAGGTATACTAGAGCAGCCCCCCCAAAACTGCTGTTCTAATTGTCAAGACCCCTATATTAAGCCCTGCAGGGCGTAAGCCTCCAATCCGCTATATATTTAGCACGGGACAGGTTGGCGGGTATTAGTTAAACTACTGTCAACCTCTTGTAGAGAGCAAAGTGCAGCAGCAGAATGAGACAATATCAGGTTCAGCATTTTAGGGCAGGCTTGGCCAACCCTAAACCCTAAACCCTAAACCCTAAACCCTAAACCCTAAACCCTAAACCCTAAACCCTAAACCCTAAACCCTAAACCCTAAACCCTAAACCCTAAACCGTGAGGACAGAGGCCTTCAGCAGCAGGCGGGGACACGATGCCGCAGCTGTCTCAAAGCCCGCTCTGTAGTGTGCAGAAGCCGATGCAGATGCCGCAAGCTCCCGAGCCCGATCCCAGCCATGTTCACTTAGGGTTTAGGGTTTATTTAGGGCTTAGGGTTTAGGGTTTAGGTTTTAGGGTTTGGGGTTTAGGGTTTAGGGTTTAGGGTTCACTGTTCACTGACAAGCTTTTCATGCTCTAGGAGATCCATGACTTGATGCTGACGCACAGCCGACGTGGGTGCAACGTTGTTCGACTCAAATGCCCTCGACTCGGCGATGAAATCGTATTGGCCACATGAACATGGGTGGATAGGATTTAGGTTTGCGTGAGGGCCAGGCAGATTCTAAACCCTAAACCCTAAACCCTAACCCTAAACCCTAAACCCCTGTGGCTTGTCATGGGTGATGCCTGGGGCGTGAAGCCATGCTTGAGGTGGCGATCCCTTCATATTCGGCCGAGGGGGTGAGGCCAGAATGTCAACGGTTTTTGAAACACCGTGGCGTGGGGGTTTGCGGAATTAGGGTTTAGCGTTTAGGGTTTAGGGTTTAGGGTTTAGGGGTACCTTCATGGGGTCCTTAGTATAAGGGTATCCTTCCATGTGGGGGTTGATTTTAGGGGTCCCTTATTTTCGTAAACCCCCACGCGGACCGAGTGCAAGGATAGCAAGCAAGAGCTTTTTTCTTACTGCTGGTTAGTAGGGAATGAGGGAATGGAGTTCCCTACATCCCCCGAAATCTACCCTTGAAGGGATTATACTCGCATAGGGTACCTTTTTCCCTCACACTAAACCCTAAAACCTAAACCCTAAACCCTGAACCCTGAACCCTGAACCCTGAACCATCGTCAGGAGGTGGAGTTCTTGGCAGCGAACCATGCGCCAAGCTGAGCGACTGTCGGTGCTAATCCCTTCCTCATGGTCGGCCTCTTGAATCAAAACTTCCAAGTTCCTACTGAGGGTTCAGGGTTCAGGGCTTAGGGTTTAGGGTTTAGGGTTTAGGGTTTAGGGTTTGGGGTCAAGCTCTTAATTGACCAAGATGACCTAGCCGGAGGCACGGATTGATGCCTTCGCACCTGCCTCATTGGCAGGCTTTGCAGTTGAGGCGTCAAACCTAAATCCCAAACCCCATGATTCCCGGCGGATTGAATTTACCTTTCCAAACCTACCTCTACCTGTCTCTCGACCTATCTATCGATCTACTGGGTGTATCTATCGGATAGGCGGTAAATATAGTTCTAGCAGAATTCTGTCTTCATCCGGGCCAAACCCTCGTCACCCGGAACCTACACCGTAGTAGCTGAGTGAGTACACTTTACACTTTTTGGGATACTTCATCCCCTATAGCACTGAAAATGTGCACTTTTGGGGGGGCTTATGAACTCAGCAACTATAAGACGCCGCATGACTACACCAGGTGCCCTGCGAGGTGGTGCCCGGCATCACCAGCGCATTGGGCGCTGCCGCGTCCTGCCAGGCCAGGAAAAGGGGGTTTGGGGGTCTCTAGGATTTCTGGAGATCTTGAGTCCCGTACTGGGTTTAAGAGGGTCATATTTATGAACATGTTTCTCCCTTACTGGGCTTAAGAGGGTTATGTTTTGGAGTATTTTTCAGATGCTGTTCAAGGGCCCTCCTAGGTTTAGGGTTTAAAGCGGGAAACCCTAACGATCCTAACGCCTTGACCCCTCCTCCCCATGTGCAGGTTCCCCTGACCCATCGGGGCTTCAACACCAACCATCTCCACCTGTGCGTTGGGCAGAGCAAGGCCAAGGAGCTTGCAGCTGGGCGCTCAGGAGGCTTTTGGACAAGCCATTTCAACCATTCCAACCAGTTCGAATGCTTTGGGCTTTCCCCGGGAGCCCCGAAAAAAATCTCCATTTCAACCATTTCAAACCATGTCAAAAGGCTACTTTATTTAATCATTTCAACCAATTCAACCGTTTCAAAACGGTTGAAGGCTTGCGGCTTTAGGGAGTGAAAAACACATGCTTTTTAGTTTGGCAAAATTTGGGAGAACTTGGTGAGAAGCAAGGTATACCTAGCTAAAGGCAGGGGCGAAGAAGGTTGCCAGGGTTGCCGTTCGGGGAACTTGACTTACGAACTCATATCCTTCACCACCCCATCATGGTACCTCCCTAAACTCTAAACCCTGAATCCGAAACCTCAGTTTAGAAGGAGCTGAAGCAGCCACCAAAGTGGTAAGAGCAGCGCCGAAGGATATGGACTGGGCGGAGATGGCGAAGCGGGCGATGCAGCAGACGGCCGCCGGCGACCAAGAGATGCCATCAAGCGAGATGGGCCCCTGTTTTGAGGGCCCCCCAAATTATCGTCGTTTTGCTTGAGAAAGCGATACCTAACCCCAAAAGCGATACCTGCAATGAAATGTCTCAGTCGTGGCCTCTAGGTTTTGCCGCACGCTCATATAGATGATAGCCTTTCGCATGCATAGGGGCCACCTCTACTTTTGCAAGGCGCCTTCCTGCTATGAGTTGCTGTCCATGACGGCTCCTGTCATGCTTGTCGGTGGACATGTGTCATATTACGCATGCTTGAGGTCTTCTACATGGGCCTCAAGCTCCTGGACAAGATCTGCACAACCCTGAGGCCAGCCGTGCGAACTTCGCCTGTGTCTCCATGAGGGGCTTGACCCCAAGCAAAGGGTCTTTGTTGGTATACTCAGGAATAAATCTGCTACAGTTGCACCAGGGCCCCCGGTTGTAGTCTATCGGCACCCAGCGTGGAGCTTGGCGCGGCCAGGGAGAATGGCGCGCCGGCCGAGACACCCATGATGCTAGTCGAGCCTGGGGCCTCAGCTGAATTCCCAGGGGACTCCGCTGTCCACTGTCCTCCTATCAGGATAAACAGTAACTAAGGGAAGATTCCTGAAAGCATGAAATTATTATTAAAAAAAAAGGATCTAAGAGGACTTAGGGAGTCCATTCTTTCATTCTCAGGGATGCTGGAGGCCCCTGAGCTTGTCCCTTCTTGAAGCCACAGCTTGAATCGACCAGTCCGTTCTTATAGGGGTGGGTAGGGTCAACTGAGTACTTGCAAGCCACACGCACGGGCGCATGGAGTTCTCTAGTCCCACTCTTGAAGAACTGCCCAGAACCCAAGGCCCCAAGTTCTAAAGCTTTGTGTGTCTACCAGATGTCAGGGTTAAGCCTTAAGCCCTTAGCCTATAAAGCCTTACGCCCACATCTCTTAAACCCGCATGGGACTCAGCCAACGAAGCCCTGCAGTTCGAACTTGAGACCAGGTCTGCCACTTCTCCCACGGAGACGTCGCTGTACAGCACATTGGGCGAGATGTCGGATCCTCAGCGGAGAGGGTGTGAGGGGCACACAGGTTTAGGCTTCCGGGGGGGGGGGGGGGGGGGGGAAAACCCTAAACCCTAATTAAACCCTAAACCCTAAACCCTAAATACAAGGTGTGGTGAATGATACTCTCAGCGCTGCGCGATGCCAAGGCCTGCAGAAGTCAAAAAGCAGCAGGCCGGCGTTTCTTGCTGCAACCATTGCGATTCTTAAACTACTTCTAGGACCCAGAGTAGATTAATTATAAGCCCAACCAGGAAGGGTTGGGTATAGACTTGTCGTGGAATGTGGTGCAACGCACAAGATTCAAGCAATGCTGTCGCCACAGCGTCAGTCACTAACACCCCTGCACCAACCTGGAGACACGCAGTCCCGTATTAATCATTCACCCTGACCGCAAGAACTGGGTCAGGGTTTTAGGGACGCCAAAACCGCTTAATCCCAAAACCAAGGCCGCGATAGCCTTAAAGCCCGACCCCTCCTGAAGGTTAACACTGTCAGCTGATCCAGAACCCTAAACCTTGAACCCTCAATATATAAATGACCTGAAAGCTTAACCCCACACCCCTGAACTTTGAGACATTGCATCCCGGTTCCCAAAACCCTAAACCCTAAACCCTAAACCCTAAACCCTAAACCCTAAACCCTAAACCCTTGCAGTTTGGCAGCGGTGGGCCGGTCCTGATCATTTTAGGTGCGGAGCCCGGGGGGTGTGCCAGGGAGGGCCGCTGTCTCGAAGGGCGGGGGGGGCAGTGCTTCTGGGGGTGTCGGGGGTTTAGGGGTTCAGGGTTTAGGGGTTTAGGGGTTTAGGGGTTTAGGGGTTTAGGGGTTTAGGGGTTTAGGGGTTTAGGGGTTTAGGGGTTTAGGGGCTTAGGGGTTTAGGGGTTTAGGGGTTTAGGGGTTTAGGGGTTTAGGGGTTTAGGGGTTTAGGGGTTTAGGGGTTTAGGGGTTTAGGGGTTTAGGGTTCAGGAGTTTAGGGCTTTGGGGTTTAGGGGTCTAGGGGTCTAGGGGTCTAGGGTGTCGGCTTGATAGGGTTTACTGAGGGTTGTTGTAAGGGTTTCTACGGGTTTCTAATTGGTTTCTAAGGGTTTTAGGCCACCATTTGCTTGAAGCAATTAGTAGTTTAGGGGTTTATGGAGGGTTTATGGGTATGTAGGGTTTATGGGTTGTTTGTGTTATGGGGTTTTCAGGCTTTCGAGGATTTACAGGGTTCAGGGTTTGGGCCAAGTCGGTGCAGGTGGCTGGCAGGCGCTGCGCTATACTGAGCCCGAAAGACAGCTTTGAACCCTAGCCCCTGGATCCTTCCATATTAGGGTTTAGGGTTTAGGGTTTAGGGTTTATAGGGTTGCGGGTTCTGACTGCCTTGAACCCTATGAATCTAAGCGCTAAATCCTCCACGCTGTAGCCCCTCTGTCTATCTTCGTGAGGAGGATGGGGATTGTGAGACCAAAAACAGCCCACTGGCTAGATCCGTGCCTTTGCTGGTGCGCGCCAGTGGGTCAGTGAGCTGTCACCCCTGCGAAGAACGCTGAGCTTAAAACACCTACACCCTAAGCAACATCCCTAAGCCACAGCGTCCTTAAGCTCTCGCAGGACGCGTTTAGGGTTTTGAGGTTTTGGGGCTGTGGCTACAGGTTTAAGTTCATTGCGTGCTGAGAGCCTACCTTGTACAACGAGAAGTTGCCTGAATCATTGGGTATAGTTCTTTCTCTCAAAGTGAATATTATGGTTCTAGAGGCAGCGCACTAAAGCAACCTAAACCACCTAATTAAGACCTAAGGCCCTAAACCCAAAAGCCCTGAACCTCAAAATCCTTGCTTTCAAACGGCAAAACACACCCGGAGAGCCCAATAATACCCCCTTAATTCGGCAGCATGCCTTACACCATCATAAGGTTCCCTGTACACTTCATGGTAACCATGGTATACTGCTTAGAAGCGACAGGGAATTGGGATCTCTGGCAAGTATACCTTACACCATAAGAAGGATCCCCATGTACGGTATATTCCCTAGGAAAGGGGTATTGGGCTCTTTGGCAAGGCCCTAAACCCTAAACCCTAAACCCTAAACCCTAAACCCTAAACCCTAAACCAAGGTCCTACTGCGGCCTTCCCTGCCCATCTGGAGCGCCTGGCCAACGGCGAGGCCGCCGCCAAGCGGCGGAAGGCGCCGGAGGGACGGAACGTAGGAAGGCACGAGCGCAGCGTCATATGTATGTATGTATGTATGTACGTATGTATGTACTTACACAGATGTATTATGTATGCATATATATATATATACATACATGCATCCAGCACGTGTGTAGGTAAGTATGTATGTAAGTGGGTGCGACCAAACATACTGATCTACTTCTTTGGTTATGAAGTGCTATCAACTTATCCGTATCGCACTCGAATCGCCATAGATGTGTATATATATATACATATATATATATACAATCTTATTTATAGTTTTGTTTCTTTGCTTATTTATTGATTTCTACCATACGGTTTTATGGCTGCACCGTTATGCAGTAATTTAGCGAGCTATATGTTCATATGTTCAGGCAGCTAATTAATTGCGTGTTCTGCTTCTACAACTCACAAATGTATAGCATGTTCTTATACATGTTCTTCGTGTGATTCTTTAATCGCATCATATTCACTCGTGGGATAATTATAGACTAATTATGAAAATACAGAAAGTAATATGTGCATATATATATATGCAATACATGCATTTACTTCTTTATCTCTGTTTACATGTCATGGGGGGCAGGTGCCAGAGAAGATGTGTCAAGATGCCGCATCATATCGCACTACAGCCCGGCCACGTCCGTACCCACATGTGTGATGTGGGTTTAGGGTTGTCCATAGGGTTAAGGCTCAGGGATTTACTTTTCGGTTGAGGGCTTGCTTGGGAGGTCAGGTTCAGGGTTTGGGCTTGAAAGGGTGGGGAGGAACCGGGCTCAGCACCTTTTCAATATATATATATATATATATATGCATTTATATATTTAAATTTTCTTAAATTTATCTGCATCTGCATGTTTTTCATGAATATGTACACATGTATGCGCATACCGAAGTGCTTGGTCATTCTCACAGCCGCGGCAGTCTGTGTTTGTGAAGGCCAAGCGCATGCAAGCTCGTGTTGTCTTGGGCTGGATTGATCGGCGCTTTGCCCAGCGGGTGCTGGCTCAGGATTTCAGAAACTCGGGTTAAGCAAAGTTGCGACATTGTCAGGAGTCGTGATGACTACTTGCTGGGGGGTGATGCAAGAAACCCCAAACCCTAAACCCTAGGTGTTGCTTCGTTGGTGGTTGGGGTGTGCTTGCTGGTCGCAGGTTGATCAGCGCAGTGATGTGCGCCACAACAAGATGGCCGAAGCTTGCGATGCGTAGGGTTGCAGTGTAGCAGAGGTGCTGAGCACCTGCTCTTTACCCCACCTGCCTAGTCCAGGATGAGCTGCAGCAGAATAGCTCTTAATTACAGCTCCGCTACTCCAGGCGAGCTTGTGGTCAATCGGTCCTCAACCTCTGTGCTGCTCAGCCGCTGAGGCTCAGCCCCCTTGGGCCTATAACCCTAAACCCTAAACCCTAAACCCTAAACCCTAAACCCTAAACCCTAAACCCTAAACCCTAAACCCTAAACCCTAAACCCTAAACCCTATGCTCGGATTTTAGAACTTAGAATTACTGATGACTTGTCATCCCCGTTACTTTTGAGCATCTCTGGTTGCTGGACTTGTGTGCACGTCTCTTCGACAGCAGTAGACCGGAGGTCGCTGCAGCTGACGGGCCTTATCCCCCCCCTGCTTTAGGGGTTTAGGGTTTAGGGTTTAGGGTTTAGGGTTTAGGGTTTAGGGTTTGGGGTTCCCTGCAGGGGGGGTCGAAGGCTTCGAAGGCTTAGAAGCTTCGGACATATCATCTCGCAGGAGAGATCTGTGTCGCAAAGATGCAGCTCCCTGCGGAGTCTGTTCCGGTGTTGCCAAAGGCTCTGCAAAGCGCTGACCTCTGATGAGGTGCGGCTCAAGTGGGACAACCATTTTCCCTCCCACTCGGGGCGCGAAGGCTTTGCTATAGCCTTTGCCCCACAATCGGCTCGCGCGCCAGACAATCGCAACCTGCCAATTGCTGAAGTCCGGCAAAAAACCACAGAAGAACCGGCACACACCAGGGCTGGTACCAGTACTAGTATTCTCTTATGGTCCCTTTATAATTGACTAGAATATCCCCCCAAAAACCCTATTCTAATGATTAAGGCCCCTATATTATTACCATCAGAAAGCTGTCAAGCTGTCGAGTGCCTCAGAATTCCAGGAGCCATGCCCAGGTTCAGCAAAGTCTCCGCATCCGTCGGCCCTTTGAGGTAAGTGGGGCATGGGCTGTAGGTCATGCGAGTGGAGGACATCGTGGTACCCGGATACACTGAGCCACTGACAGAAGCATCTACCCAAAAAGCACGACTTGCAGGGACAGACTACGGAGAAGAGGGGCAATCCTTACTTCAAGCTAAATGATGGGCTACACTGCTCAGTGACAGCCATGCGCCGTCGTTAACAAGCGTGGGCGTGGCGGTCTCAGTCGGAAGAAGCCAGAGCTTTTGTTAGGGTTTCAGCTCATGATTTGGGATCTGTGCGGGTAAGGGTTCTGGGTTTAGGGTTTCAGCTTGTGATTAAGGATCTATGGGGGCAAGGGTTCTGGGTTTCGGGTTCAGGGTTTAGGGTTTCAGCTTGTGATTTAGGATCTATAGGGGTTAGGGTTCTGGGTTTAGGGTTCAGGGTTTAGGGTTTAGGGTTTCAGGTCTCTGTGGGTGCAAGATGAAGCACTGATGGCAATGTGTGGAAATGATTGCGAAGACAGCCACTGGCTAAACCCTAAACTTTACCCCCAAACCCTAAACTTTACCCTAAACCCTAAGCTTGACCCTAAACCCTAAGCCCTACACCCTAAACTGCATGCGGATCCTCACAGGCATGAACAGCTCCGACTGCCATGGGCACTCCCTGCAGAGTTTGAGAGGAATTTTGCCTAGGTTTCCCTGAGAGAAACCTCCAAAGGGCACCGCCTGAATAGCTACGGGGAGATTTCGTCAGCTGGGTGAGGACTTGAGCAATTCATCAGCGTAGGCTGCCCTTTGTTACAGGGCTTCCAGGAAGGATCGATGCTTGTCGGGTCGTGATGTATCTTGCGACGAGGACCGAGCCGTTATGCGCCAGCTATGCCTCGAAGCCTCTCATCCCACTTGCCCAGAACTCACATCCTCAGCAGCTGAAGGCTATGTCAAAAGAGGTGCAGTTTCCACCTCGCCAATCCGGCCAACATACAACAACCAGCACCTTATTTCGGGAGTTTAGCGACCACAGAACAGTTACCACTACTTGGAGGTTCATTTTGGTACCTTATAAGTCTATTATAAGTACGGTAACTATGCTTGCAGCCCGATTTAGGGTACTTAGAATTACTTCTAGTACCCATGAATTTTCGAGTAGCTCACACCAATTCTGCTTGGCAACGTTCACAAAAAGGCATAAACGGCGCGCGCGGAATGGCGTGCTTGTCTTGTTGTCGGTTGCTACCCCCGGCTTGCTCACCCATAGTTGACATCATGACGCTCCCACAATCTCTGCATCCATCTACGCCCGGTAGCTATAGCCAGAGCCATTTCTTCAAGTCATTTTTTGCCAGAGGTAGTTTCCAAACATGTCCTTGGCTCCTGTTGGCCTCCCAAACATGCTGCCGGCAGATGTGCTGGCAGAGCTCAAGGAGACTGCTACGAAGCTGTGCGCGCCAGGCACCAGTTCAGCACAGGGAAAGCAACAACCATGTAAAAATGTTGCGAAAGCAAACGGCTCACTTGTTGCTCTGGTATTTCAGTCATGGACTCATGTAAATGTGTGGAGTCTATCGCGATGCTGAGATACTGTTTAGTGCCGATTCTTGAGGAAACTTCCGACTGCCGCCCGATCTAGCTCTGTTCTGTGTTCCCCAAACGCCCCCTTCTGACAGCCACTACGGGCCTACGATCACGAGGCAAAGGCTTCCTAGCAGCTGATGAAAGCGCTGGACCGTGGCTTCGCGCGGGCCATGCAGAGGCAGCGAAGATTCCGGACGCTCAGCTTTGGCAGTCAAGTCTAGCAGAACCTGGATACCGGGTCCGGCAATATAGTGCATGCAGTCACTGTAGCAGTTTGTTGCAGCAAGTGGGGGCGAGAGCTTGCAGTCATTGCTTTTGAAACTGGCGGTTTTCCAATACCCGGCCGCTGCCCCAACAAGAACTCCGCTTGGCGTTCACTGCAGCGTGTTGAAGTGCTCAGGATGTCATCGAGAACAGGGCTGCCTACCGGGCGATGTGCTTCTCCACACCTGGCCTAAGTGAGCACATCAGCGGGGTCATTCTCCACTGGGAGACTCTCCTGCAGGACGATGCAAAGGGCAAGCCGATGGTGGAAATCATCAAGGAGAATGGCATGATTCCAGGCATCAAAGTGGACAAAGGCTACAACAAGAAGGGCATGTGGGGAACACCTGTTGGTCCTCTTGGCCATCCAGAGGTTGCCACCGTTGGCTTAGACGACCTCCAGCAGAAGTGCGCGCAGGCGTACGCGAAGGGCGCCCGCTTTGCCAAGTGGCGCAACGTCCTGCAACTGGATCCCTCCAAGGGAATGCCCACTGATCTTTCCATTGCAGATACCGTGCACACCTTGGCACGCTATGCCTCCATCTGCCAGAGCGAGCGCTTGGTGCCCATCGTGGAGCCTGAGATCGTTCCTAATGGCGGCCCATGCTGTGTTTAGCTGATTCTCTTGGGGGGGTTTTGCAAGGGTTGGGGTTGGAGGTTGATGGGCAAGGTTGGTGTTTTTTTGCTGAGATCAGGGCATCGAGGGTTGTTATCGCTGCTTTCCAAGGTAGTCATGACATCAACTACTGCGCGGAGATGACAAATAAAGTCTTGGCAGCACAGTTCAAGGCTCTGGCCGATCACCACATCTTCTTGGAGGGCGCCGTGCTGAAGCCAAACATGGTCAAGAATGGCCTGGGGGGTCCGAAGGCGAGCGCTGAGACCATTGCAACCCTGACGTGCCAGACCTTGCTGCGCACAGTTCCGCCTTCCATGCCGGGCATCTTCTTCCTGTCGGGCGAGACGGCCTTGAATGAAGATAACGAGGAAGAGGCAACCATCAATCTGAGCACCATGAACCGCCTCTTTGCGGGAAAGCTGCCTTGGCATCTGTCCTTCTCCTACGGCAAAGCCTTGCAGAAGACCTGCATCGTCACTTGGTTGGGAAAGACCGAGAACGAGGCGGCCGCCCAGAAGGCCCTTAAGGCACGCGCTAATGCAAACTCGGACGCGGTCTTCGGCAAGTACAAGCCGGGCAGCTGCGCCAGTGTTGGCACCGACGGCAATGTGATGCAAGCGGCCGGTCCTTACTGAGGCTGCTGAGCAATGAGCGGTGTGGAAGTGCCAGCATATCAACTAAGTAACTAAGCGTCCTTCAGCAAGACTGGGTAAAGAACGAGAACAGCGTTTCAGCGATTGTTTGCATGAAATTGAACTGGTTCTCCTCAAATCATTGGTGAAAAAACACACCGCTCATCCTCACACAAGCAAGTTGTGCATCTGAAGCCTTCGCACAACGGCAAAGAGGGGTGTCATCCATGATGGCCTGGCCCAACAAATTCAGTGTACAGATGCATGATGATGCGTGTTCTGAGGGGTGTTTTCGATTTTGCCACCATGGCACTACCATGGCTCTCTATGGTACGAGGTCATCTCCTGGAAAGCAGCCCGAAGCATCGCCCCCCACTACGCCCCCTAAGCCGTGCCTTGATCCAGGGAATTAGGGAATGAGGTACCCGCTATCCTCCTATCTATACCCTTTAAGGGGCTAAAAAAGGCGAATGTAGGGGCCTGAATAAGATCCGTTGCATTCCAGAGATCAGATATTGTGAGCTCCAAAAGCTCGAACGATTCCGAGCAGGCTCGTCATAATTTCGCGCGCACCATACTTCTTGAAGCAAGCTCTGTTGGAAAAAAGCTGCTGTGGGAGCCTCGGGGTCCGCGAGAGCCCGTGAGATTCCTGAATCCTGAACCCGAGCCCCCCAAGCCCCCAAGCCCTGCACATACTCCTATGGGTCCATGTACCCATCTAGTAAGTATATACTCGGCCCTTAAAGGCTTCCCATATAGTAGGTTTAGGGCCCAGGTATATAGCTATATAGGTACATGAACCCTTCGGGTACCGGGCTCAGGAGACCCAAAAGTCCGCTAGCGTCGAGCCACCGAGCTCCAGCTCCCGCCATGGCGAGCCGTCTACTGGCAGGCGGCCAGTCCGTGACGATCTTCGAAGACGAGCCGAAGTTGGTGAGGCAGCTGGTTCAAGAAGTCACGGAGACCGCCCGAGCCGCGATCAGCGCCAAGGGAAGCTTCAGCTCCTAAGCTCGAAGTAGAAGACATCAGGAGGATGCTGGAGGTTCGGAGTGAGTTGGGTTCTTACGGACTTTTTACGGAAGTTCAGGGATGTCTCTAGGCAGCAAGGCAATTTTTTGTTGCCAGGCACTAAGTTTTCAGCTTCTCACCGAGGCCTCTGTCTCGCGCGCCCTGTGATCCCGGCGCTGAAGGACTTGTCGCCTGATGCCTTGGACTGGAGCAAGGTCAACGTCTTCTTGACAGGAGAGTGGCCCGGCTGCCCACCTTTGTCTTTTTGCTCTCTCCTTCTTCTCATGTCACCTCTTTCCTTCACTAACTATGTAGGGTTTAGGCTTGAGGCTTTAGGATGCTTTTAGGGTTTACTCAGATTTGGGCGTAGATCTCGAGCGTCTCCTTCTGCGCGGGGGGCGCAGTGTGAGGCTTCTCGGCGCCAACAGCTCCTACTCCGAAGCCTCCTGCATCAAAAGAAGCACTTTTTGGGTTTCAGTGACGGTCAGTGATGGGCTACTATTTGCTTAAGAACTCCCCACGACAAACAAAAACAACAACAAAAAAAAAAACACACACACACATTATATACATATATATATACACATATAATATGGGTAATATCTTTTTGGGGGGGTTCTTAGAAAGCAAATTATGGTAGGCTAGTGACCGAGGCCCTGGCGACATTCGGCAAGAAGTGTCCGGTGCAGCCGCTCGGCCTTACGGGGACCCTTGGGGATATAGACCCTCTCAATAAGGTCCCGGTTTAAGAGAGCCAAAAGAGAGCTCAGAAGGGCTCCCCGAAAAGGGTCCCCCTAATCCGACCTGGGACTGAAGAGACCATGGTGTCTATTTTCCCTCCCTTTGGAATTCCCTTTAATTTAGATGTATTTGAAACTTATGTAGAGCCCAAGAGAAGTTCAAAAAGCACTATTGTTATGAAGGTTCTCAAGGTGGGAGTATAGGTGTAGGCCCGGGCCGGGGAGGTCTGCAAGTTTAGACGCGCCTTCCCTCTTCGGGGTGGTAGACCCATTGTTCTTATACTTATGACCCTACTTTCTAAGTAGCCATGAACCTCGAAGTAGACCTGCACCCCCCCCCCCGCCCCCAACTAACCTTTAACAAAGGGGACTCATATGCCCTACCCTGATGGTTGAAGGGTAGTTGGGGGGGGTGCTGGGACAGGGGCATTTTCTATCCCATCCTCCGGCCGCTCTTCAGCACGGGCACTGGGCTTCCGGCCTTTGCCGCCGAGGAGGCGGCGGGGGCCTACGGGGCGCTTCTGAAGAGCCACCCGGCCATCGACAACGCTGGGCCTATGCCATCCTTCGCCCCTGAGCAGCGGGGGGCTTTAGGGTTTAGGGTTTAGGGTTTAGGGTTTAATTAAGGTTCAGGGTTCAGGGTTCAGGGTTCAGGGTTCAGGGTTCAGGGTTCAGGGTTTAGGGTTTAGGGTTTAGGGTTTAGGGTTTAGGGTTTAGGGTTTAGGGTTTAGGGTTCAGGGCTGAGCGTTGGAGGTTGGGGCTTTGGGGGGGTTGGGTTGATATAGGGTTTAGGCTTGGCATGGATTATGCAAACCCCGGAACCCCTACTAAACCGATCAATAAGCCTTAAACCCTAGACTTTTAAGTATCTCGAAGTCCCCCTAAACCCTAAAGCCTAAACCCTAAACCTTGCCCCATGCTTAGGACCTATTGCTGCTGGGTCTTGGGGACGATGGCCACTGCGGCTTCTTGCATCCTGAAAGCAACCAGGTTAAAGCGACCGGGAAGGGCAAGGTAGTTCTGAGCATCTGACCCTCGGCCGAGCAGCAAACGCTTTTGAGGTGCAGTACTGGCGCCAAAAAACCCTAAATCCTAAAACCCTCAAACCCCCCTAAACCCCAAAACCCTAAACCCGATTCAAGAGGCAGTCAGGAGAGTCTAGGTGTCATGGAGCTCCTATTGTCGGCCATGCTGCAGGGGCTCCAGCGCATGCGCATTCTAACTTGAAGGTTCATGGGTATTTGTAAGCAGGGTCAGGGTTGTAAGAACCCTGATTAAGGTAATATTGCCATAGTTGCCCCCACTTATACCCCCACTTTTAAAGTACCAAAATGAACCCTCCAAGTAATCGGAGGCCAGTCGGGGAAGAGTCAGATCGCAGTCTCCATGGATGTCATGCGCGCTGCAAAGCCCCTTGACTGAGTCGAAGCAATCGGCACGCGAGGCTTTAGGTGCATTGGGTTTAGGGTTTAGGGTTTAGGGTTTAGGGTTTAGGGTTTAGGGTTTAGGGTTTAGGGTTTAGGGTTTAGGGTTTAGGGTTTAGGGTTCAGGGACTTGCCAGGATGGGCAATTATTCCCTAGAACCCTTAAGAAGGCCCTTAGTCTGGGGTTGGTTATGGGGATTGTCAGGCCTGGTGTGCTCTATGCCAAGGAAGACCCTCGTGACGGCGACGGGGGCCGGGAAGAAAGATGCCGTGCGCCGCGCCTTGTCCGGCGTGCATGGGCCATTTGATTGCCCAGCAGGCCTTCTTTCCAAGGCGTGGAGCCTGCCCTAAACCCTAAACCCTTAATAACCCTACAACCCTACAACCCTATAACCCTATAACCCTATAAGCCTAAAACCCTATAACCCTATAACCCTATAACCCTATAACCCTACAACCCTATAAGCCTATAACCCTATAACCCTATAAACCCTATAACCCCTATAACCCTATAACCCTATAACCCTAAACCCTAAACCCTAAACCCCAAACCAACTCCTCCCCGGCTGCTCGCAGCAGATGTTGCTGCTAGAGCCAGGCGCCGTCAACCACCTGGTTCGTGGACAAGGCGGCGTTCGCCGATTTTGAAAGGACGCTGTGCGAGACTTGACGGTTCGGGTACTTCTAAGTAGGGTTCGAAAGTACCCGAAAGAAGGCTCTAGCCATAGCCATGCCTGACCCGACTGTCGCAACCCTACTTGTAAGTACCCACATGAACCTCCAACCGAACCCTAAACCCTAAACCCTAAACCCTAAACCCTAAACCCTAAACCCTAAACCCTAAACCCTAAACCCTAAACCCTAAACCCACATTCCTCCCGCCCGCGAGGACCTCCACCATGCACAGCGGGTTGCCCGGGCTGCTGCCCGCCGCGCGGCTCGAGGAGCTTAAGGAGACGGCCACCAAGCTCTGCGCACCAGGCAAGGCAGATGGAAGGGGGTTCAGGGTTTAGGGTTTAGGGTTTAGGGTTTAGGGTTTAGGGTTTAGGGTTTAGGGGGTTTAGGTTTAGGGGTTTATAGGGTTTATAGGGTTTATCGGGTTTGCAAGGTTTATAGGGTTTTATAGGGTTTATAGGGTTTGTAGGGTTTGTAGGGTTTGTCGAGTTTGTAGGGTTTATGGGATCTATAGGGTTTGTAGGGTTTATAGGGTTTGTAGGGTTTACAGGGTTTATGGGTTTATAGGGTTTATAGGGTTTATAGGGTTTATAGGGTTTATAGGGTTTATAGGGTTTATAGGGTTTATAGGGTTTATAGGGTTTATAGGGTTTGTAGGGTTTGTACGGTTTATAGTTTGTAGGGTTTATAGGGTTTAGGGTTTAGGGGTTCAGGGTTTTTTGGAGTTTAGGGGTTATATGGTCGAGGGTTTATAGGGCTTAGGGTTTAGGGTTCGAGGGCTGGTAAAGGCGGCTTTTGAAAGGGTTCGTTGGCCGGAGTGGCCAAAGGAGGGGAGAACTCGAGTTAAGCCGCAGTACGCCGAAGGTAAATCCGACTTTCGCCAGTTTAGGGTTTAGGGTTTAGGGTTCAGGGTTCAGGGTTTAGGGTTTAGGGTTTGGAGGAATAAAAGAGGGATAGTAGAGGGGACATAGGCTTTGGGGGCCCTTTCAGGAAAGGGATTCCTTGCTGCTGATGAGAGCGCGGGCCCTTGGCTACGTGCAGGACATGCTGAGGCGGCAAAGATCCCGGACGCTTGGCTTGAGGGTTTAGGGTTTGGGGTTTAGGGTTTGGGGTTTAGGGTTGAGGGTTTAGGGTTTAGGGCTGTGTTTTCTTGAACAACTCAGTCGTGACTTGCTTAGTGTGGCTTGCGAGTCCTTGCGACTTGTGTTTGGTCTTTGCTGCTGGCCCAACGTCTTGCGACAGTCACACTCTTCGGGCTTAGGGTTTAGGGTTTAGGGTTTCGGGTTTAGGGTTTAGGGTTTAGGGCTGTGCTTTTTGCAACACTGCCGTGCTTGGCGCGTGCCTGTCATCCAGTCGCGCACGCTCGCTCGAGAATGATCAAGGACACGTCGAGTATGGAAAAGGTCTGATCTGGAATCTGCTGTTTGTCTTCTTAGTTTTCGGCGAAGGGGGGGGGGGGGGGGGGGGGGGGGGGGGGGGGGGGGGTTGTGCAATTCATCGCAAGATAAAAATGAGATGCATCCAACGGTATGAGTGCACAAACATGCGAGGTGGGCACCGAGAACTCTAGACCAAAGCCAGAAGCAATGTAGTCCATGAAGGGAGGGATGGATGACAAGCCATACAGCCTGGGTAGAAAGCAACTGCTGACCAACCTCAACTGAAACATCCCAAAACAATTTGTGAACCCAAAATGCCAACACGTGTCATCACGTGGAATGTGAGCCATTCTGTGCCTGACTTGCTATTTGCTGTGCAACTGTGCACAGTCGCAAGTGGCAATGTTGGCTGGGCATGCGTGAGAGACAATGGCAAGAACCGGCAAAAAGGGCGAAGTGATTGCTTTTGCCGTTGCAGGCTTGGAACCGTTGTGAGATGACAGAGATGTTGGAACAACAGACGTTTCTGGCAACTCGAATGACACCAAAACGGGCCTCCGCAGGCGGAGGCCGTTCCCGCAAGCTAATCGAGTTCAAAAACTTCAGGACCTTAAAACAGGCCTGCGGTCCACTCCAAATCCCCATAAGAAAACAGCTCCCCCCAGCTGCTGAGGATGTCGTCGAGAACAGGGCTGCCTATCGGGCGATGTGCTTCTCCACGCCTGGCCTGAGCGAGCACATCAGCGGGGTCATTCTCCACTGGGAGACTCTCATGCAAGAGGATGCAAAGGGCAAGCCGATGGTGGAAATCATCAAGGAGAATGGCATGATTCCAGGCATCAAAGTGGACAAAGGCTACAACAAGAAGGGCATCTGGGGAACATCTGTTGGTCCTCTTGGCCATCCAGAGGTTGCCACCTTGGGCTTAGACGACCTCCAACAGAGATGCGCTCAGGCCTACAAGGACATGGAGCGTTTGGGGACAAACTTCGTAGGGTTGCCGAAGTCCACGGCTACCTTTTTTTTTGTTGGGTCGTGGTGTTCACATGCTTCATGTGTGGCCTGGGAGAATTTTGAAGAGCAGACCCTTCAAAGGAGGGAGCGCGCTTTGCCAAGTGGCGCAACGTGCTGCAGCTGGACCCTATGAAGGGTTTCTTATCTCGATTGTTGGCGACTTCTGTTCTCACACGGGGATGCGGTGGGAAGCAGCACGCTTTGGCAAGAACACCGCAACACACTACGATGACCCGCCTTACATACGTATCCAAAATGAACCTCCAAGTAAGAACAGATCTACCTTCTAACCCGACTTCGATACGCACCCCAAGATGAACCTCCAAGCTCTTGAAGAAAGGTTTACCGAGCAACTTGTCCATCAACGATACCGTGCACACCCTGGCGCGCTATGCCTCCATCTGCCAAAGCGAGGGGCTGGTACCGATCGTGGAACCTGCGCCTCGGCACGAATAGGTTATATAGTATTATATAGTATTATATAGTATTATATAGTATTATATAGTATTATATAGTATTATATAGTATTATATAGTATTATATAGTATTATATAGTATTATATAGTATTATATAGTATTATATAGTATTATATAGTATTATATAGTATTATATGAGGTTATATATACTTCGAGATTATATTATTCTATTTTTTAATATATTGTAGTACGTAATCTTGTACTACATTAGATCAGATTCACTAGATTATGTGATATGATCATGTAGTTTAGTCTATTGTAGTATATTATAGTATATTTCATTACGTTGGATTCTTTTGTAGTAGACCCTACGAAGGTTTCCACACGAATATTAGATTGGATTCGATTACAGCGGATAGCATGGGTTGGATGTCCCGTTTGAGATCGCCTTTGCGGCACTTCTGAGTCTTATGAGGTGTTAAGGGGTCTTAAGTGGTGGGCACACGTGTTCGCAAAGAGCCTGAGGAGATCGTCCCCAATGGGAGCCACGATATCTTCTACTGCGCGGAGGTGACGAACAAGGTCTTGAAGGCTGAGTAGCTGAATGAGTACACTTTACGCTTTTGGGGATAAGATAATCCCCTATAGAACTGACAGTGTACATTTTTTCGGGGCTTATGAACTCAGCAACTACGAAGGCCCAGTTCAGGGCCTTGGCAGCGCATCACGTCTACTTGGAGGGTGCCGTGCTGAAGCCGAACATGGTCAAGAATCTGGGTTGCGTTGAGCTTTGGGAGGCGTTCCTCTCCTAGAGGGGTCCACGTACCTAAATCTAGAATTCTTGGGCCTTAAAGGTCCTCCCATTTGGGGAGTTTGGGGCCAAGTATAGAACAATACGGTACATGGACCCTTATAGGCTTTCGTCCTTGCTTACTTATAAAGGGAGCCTCTTGATAAGCCATGTGTCGTGGCCTTGAAAAGAGCCAGGAATGGCTTGGAGGGCCCCAAGGCGAGCGCTGAGACCATTGCAACCCTGACGTGCCAGACCTTGCTGCGCACAGTTCCGCCTTCCATGCCGGGCATCTTCTTCCTGTCGGGCGAGACGGCTTTGAATGAAGATAACGAGGAAGAGGCAACCATCAATCTGAGCACCATGAACCGCCTCTTTGCGGGAAAGCTGCCTTGGCATCTGTCCTTCTCCTACGGCAAAGCCCTACAGAAGACCTGCATCGTCACTTGGCTGGGAAAGGCCGAGAACGAGGCTGCAGCACAGAAGGCCCTCAAGGCACGCTCGCAAGCAAACTCGGACGCGGTCTTCGGCAAGTACACGCCGGGCAGCTGCGCCAGTGTTGGCACCGACGGCAACGTGATGCAAGCGGCCGGTCCGTATTAAGGCCAAGGGCCTTGAGGCCCCAGTGAACACCCCTAAACCCTAAACCCTAAACCCTAAACCCTAAACCCTAAACCCTAAACCCTAAACCCTAAACCCTAAACCCTAAACTGCGGTCCGAGGGCTCCGGTTTCCTGCTTTGTTTTCTGCACGGCGAATTCGTTTCACAGCCGGGCGATCGTGCAGCCTAGCTGCCAAGCTCTCCTTTAGGGGGCGGTGCCCTAGGGTTTAGGGTTTAGGGTTTAGGGTTTAGGGTTTAGGGTTTAGGGTTTAGGGTTTAGGGTTTAGGGTTTAGGGTTTCTCATGGGCCCCACCTTCTGAGAGCATTGAGGGGTTGATGCATCCTGCTGCATGAAGGCTGGCATGGGCTGAGATCTGGGAGTCCACGCAGTTTACCCATTTGCCCTGAGAGACGTGGCCTCGAAATCAGGGCCATGTCGATGGCAGTGTTCGCAAGAAGCGCAGAGGGAAGCAGAACACCGGGGAGGCTGCGAAACCCTAAGCCCTCTAAACCCTAAATGCTAAACCCTACACCCTAAACCCTAAACCCTAAGCCCCTGTTGGCTTCCGGAAGCGCTATTACCTGGGGTATAGGCTCCCCCCGACTCATGCCAGGCAATCGGCAAGGCTTGGTGCCTAAAGCTGAGGCGCCAGGATCTCAGCGGATCAAGGGGGGCGGTAGGGTTCAGGGTTTAGGGGTTAGGGTTTAGGGTTTTGGGTTTAGGGTTTAGGGTTTAGGGTTTAGGGTTGAGGTGGAAGGTTGGGGTTCCCTAAGGAACAGCTGAAGGTAAATATTGTGTAAGGGTACCAAGTCAGCATAGGTATAAGGGCTTGCTTGCATAGGGCCGTTTGTTCGGGTTTTCGGCTCTTCTCAGCGGGTCAGGGGGCTTGTTCAGTTCTCTCAGTTGCGGTGCCCTTCGAACTCTTGTTTTTGTGAGGGCAGCAATCGTTTTCTTGATTATGAAGCACTCTTCACATTCGAAAGAAAATCATCTCATGGCCCTCGATTGCTTAGCCCCCTTCTTAAATTCCCCCCCCCCCCCCACACACCGGAGGGGTCCCCTGAAAGGAAATCTGGCCCGTCAACTTCTAGCTCGAGGGGCGGGGGAGGGGGGGAGAATAAAATCTTAAACCCTAAACGGCTAAAGGCTAAAGGCATTGACTAAGAAATGAAGAGTCTGGATTTCTGAAGTTTGAGAATGAGGGGCTGGATTTCCCATTCGAGGTGGCGACCCCCACAGATTCAGAAATTTGGGGGGGGGGGGGGGGGGGGGGGGGCAGGATGGATGTCTTATTTGAGGGGGGTGGGGGGAAGGGGGGGGGAAGGGGTCTGTTGCAAAATCGCAGCCAAAGTTCGGAGATGTTGGTCCCCAGGCTGAGGGTACCTTCGGTTTCGAGGGCACCCTCGGTTGCTTCGTTTTGGCATGGCTCTCGTGTCTCCCGGCGGGGTCCCCAGACAGAGAGCGTGCTCAGCTATACTCTGCAGACAAGGGCCCCCGGTTTAGGGTTTATAAACACTGTATAGGGTGTGGGCGCCAGTAGCGTTTTCAATGAACATTTTTCAACGAAACGTGTTGGAAACGTTTCAACGAATATGTTCAACGAAACGTGTTCAAAGATCATGTTCCACGAAACGTGTTCAACGAAACGTGTTAAACGAGCCGTCTTCACCGATGTTTTTCAACGAAACGTTTCTCGTTTAAACTCTTTCTTTCACAATCGTTGCATCCCATGCCTGTGTGGGAACGAAACGTGGCCAGACGTGAAACAGATTTGAATCCCATGGCTGGATGGGAAACATATAACATAGGTTTCAATTTTACCAAGTTGGATCCGACTCTGAACGAAGCATGTTGAGCGAAAGCTTCTTGTTTATAACCCCACGTAAACCCTAAACCCTAAACCCCAAATCATCATTTTTGGGACGGACGCGTTAACCAGCTTTTCCTCCGGATGCGAGGGCCGTTTAAGTAAGCTGAGCCTTTGGCCCCAGGCGCATTGGATGAGTTTACTGAATCTCTGCTTGTCGGCTATGGAAGAACTTGTGGGAAAATTAGAATGATACCACATACAATGTCTATGTATTACTCTGAGGGTGTAGGGTTTCGGGTTTAGGGTTTAGGGTTTCGGGTTTGGGGTTTGGGGTTTAGGGTTTAGGGTTTAGGGTCAGATCAACCCCGACATGGTTGAGGCCTCTGATCGCGAATGGCGACAGCCAGGCTGACCCGGAAGCTGCCTGGAACTGAGGGTGTTGGGCACTACTGGTTCAGGGTTTAGGGTTTAGGGTTTAGGGTTTAGGGTTTAGGGTTTAGGGGTACTTATAAGTAGTGTTATAAGTACCCTAAATCTGGCAGGGTGGGGGCTTCGGTGATGGGCCCGTTTAGGCAGAAGCCGCAAGCCTTAAAATTATGCTTAAAAGTTCATGGGCAGTTGTAAGTAGGGCTGTAAGTGGGGTAACTATGGTTATAACTTTGCTGAGGTTACTTGTAACCCTACTTGTAAGTTTTTGTTTCAAGTAGGCCCGCCCCACATCTTGTTTGGACCCACCCTGACCTTGTCTGAGGTGCCAGAAGCCTTGTCCTCTCCGCTCCGGTCCCCCGCAAATCGGGGTGGCCTGGGTGCTGCCGAGACGACGGCAGGCTCTGAGCGTGGGGGGATAATGAGTGGGTTCAGGGTTTAGGGTTCACTTGGAGGTTCACAGTCCAAGCCGCCTGGCTTTTTTCAGGGTGCGTATACCCTCAGTTGCCAATATTTGCTCATGACCCTTCAAATCGGGTTGAGGGTTTTGGTCCCGGGGTGGGGTCAGGGCTTAAGGGTTTTGGGGGGTTCAAGCGGCACCGTTCGCAACTACTCAAATGCTTCTGCCTCAGCGTTGCGAGCCCTTTAGAGCTCAAACCATAAAGCTCCACACACACACACACACGGAGGGGCTAAAATCCTGCATCTTAAACCACCCTAAACTCTGAATCCAAAATCCACAGGTCGAGAACGGAAACATGTACCTTAAACCAGACCTTCTAAACTTTCAAGAAAACACAGAAACCCTGCACGCCAACTCCCAACCCTACTCGTATTTCCTAGGCCCTGGCCTAACCACGAAAAAGTGAGGCCCACCCACCAACCAAACCCCCACCTAAACAGCCCAACACCCCAAACCTTCACCCTGAACCCCAGACCTGAAACCCCATAAAACCGCCTAAGCCCTAAACCCTAAACCCTCAACCCTAACTCCTAAACCCTAAACCCTAATAAACCCTGAAAACCCTGAAACCCTAAAACCCTAAACCCTGAAAACCCTAAGCCCTAAAACCTAAACCCCAAAGCCAGGTTCGAGTCTCGGAGCTGCCAAGGCAGTGGCCAGGTGGGCGGGAGGGGTTGAGGGTTGAAGGTTTGTTGAGGTGCTTGGGTGGGGTTTAGGGTTTAGGGTTTAGGGTTTAGGGTTTAGGGTTTAGGGTTTAGGGTTTAGGGTTTAGGGTTTAGGGTTTAGGGTTTAGGGTTTAGGGTTTAGGGTTTAGGGTTTATGGTTTTTTAGGGTTTAGGGTTTAGGGTTTAGGGTTTAGGGTTTAGGGTTTAGGGTTTAGGGTTTAGGGTTTAGGGTTTAGGGTTTAGGGTTTAGGGTTTAGGGTTTAGGGTTAGGCATTTTTGAGTTTTCTTCTTTCAGGGTTTTGGGTTTAGGGTTTAGGGTTCACAGCCTTTCCAAAATATGGATGGGAGGTTTAAGTCGCAGCGCTCACGGGCCGGATCAGGTTTTATAGCCCTGGGAAGTTCCCCAGGTCTTTTGAGGCCTATTGAACTCCCCAGCAAACAGCAAAAGTTGGGATGTGCCTCCCTATACTAACAGTCCTTATCATAGGGATTATTATGGAACCCCCTAGTATAATCCAAAGCAAAAGTCGTCAAGGGATTGCGTTGTAAGGGAGCCCTCCCACTGACATTACCTATTCGTGCTATGCGTGTGTCGGTATGAGGGGGAGGAGCCGAACTTTGAACCTTACGTTGAGAATTTTCTGAGTTGTGCTTATGAAGGGGACCGTTTGGAATACTAAATCTTCAACCCTAAGCCCTGAACCCTAAGAGGAGGGAACACTTTCTTGGACAAACCTGAACCCCCTTAACCCTAAGCCCCTAGGCCCCTAAACCCCTAAAGCCCTAAAGCCTTAAACCCTTAACCCTGAACCCCCTCAACAAACCCTTGTATCGGCCGCCCCGGTGAGGCCCGCTGAGATAGGCCCAGCGCCGCGGGCGCAGGCCGTGGAGGCGAGTTCGGAGCCTGGGTCTTGGGGGTCTAGCCCACGTGCAATTTCAATCATGACTACCCCCATTGAATCTTCCAGTAGGCATGTGGGACCCACACTCAGACAGCTCTCCGCCGATTCTTTAGTCGATGTTCCATGAAAATGTCCGATTTTGGCTCTCATGCTGCGTTTACACACACCAACAAACATGCCCGAAGCTTTTCCAAGAGGTTGAGGTACAGGAGACAGCGGCTGATAGATCACAACGAGAAGAATGAGGATGCTAAACCCTAAACCCTAAACCCCTACACCCTTAACCCTGATTCCTGAACCCAATTAACGGGCATTGGAGCCCCAGGTCTGATTCAGTTTGGCCAGGACTGGTGGGGAAGTGCTCATGGCCTGGCTGACGCATTGCTCCACACCCAGAGGGTTCCAAGCTGACTCGCATGGCGCCAATTTTCGTGTCACCGCAAATCTACTGCTTCTGACACTTCCATTACTACTGTAGTCGGATTTCGTGCATGTGTCCCGCTGTTCTCCCTTTCTACGTTTGCTAGAAAGTTGGGGGGGGGGGGGGGCTGGCTGGGGACGAGACCCCATAAGCACCACGGCTACGTTTGACAGCTGCCGGGTGTTGAGAAAGGGCGCGCCTGGCAAGGTTACAACAACTGCAGGCAGAGAACGAAGCGCCGCGAGCCCAGCATCCCAACGGACCGAAGAAACTGACGGACCCCTCAAGAATGAGTTTCTTGGAGGTTCAGGGTA